TGTTTTGTTGTTGTTGTTTAAGGTTTTTATTTATTCATTTGAGAAAGAAAGAGAGTGCACGAGCGTTCGAGTGGAGGGGAGAGGCGTAGGGAGAGGGAGAAGCAGACTCCCCACTGAGCAGGGAGCCCCACACAGGCTGATACCAGGACCTGGAGATCAGGCCTGAGCTGAAGGCAGACACTTAGCTGACTGAGCCATGCAGGCATCCCAGGATTCACTGGTTTTAGTTGACCAGGACACAGGGCTCAGACAAACTCTTGGCAACAATCTGTACTTTATTCTCAAGGGAGCCTTTAGGAGAATGGCCTGATCTGATATTGGCCCTGGTCGTGTTGACACATGGGAGTTCACCTATTCTGAAGTGAGCTGTGCCCAGAACATAGTCCTATCCATCAATCTCAAGTGCACCCAGCCTCCTTGGACAGAGAATGTCTTGGTATCTGGTCAAACTGGAACCAAATCTTGGGATCACTCTTAGGAACCGATCATTTCAGATTTACCAGAGCCAGGATCTTCTGGGTAACTCAGATCTGGGAAGAGAAGGATGGTGCTCAAGCCGGCCTTCCAAATGCGTGAAGGACTTTCTCTGGCTCCTGTACAGGTCATCTGCCCTAAATAAATGCCCCCATCAACATGTAAACATGTATTCTGTTTCTTAGCGTGAACCCTCCTGAAGGCTCCTTGGTCAGTTCCTGTCGTCAGGTGAGACCTCCATGGTGACACAGCTGCAAAGTGCTGCCATGGCGTGGGTATGGAGGGCCAGGGTGGGGTGGGGGGGGGCTGGCGCTCAGAGTATGACAACTCAAGGGCTTTGCAACTTGGTGTGCATTAAATTGAACACAACCCAAGTAAGTTGAAAACAAAGACCTTTTTATTACTTGTTACAGGAAGGAGACAGGAAGATAGCTCTCAGAGTACTGTCTTCCTGTAGGGTTAGTACAAGAAGCCTTTATTCGGTGTATTAGGGGGCAGGGCAGGGAGGTTTTATATATATATTAAGAAACTTAGACATATTCTGTGCTTAGGCACTTTGGGTCAACGGAGCATGCCTAGCAGGTCAACATGCTAGTGCCTACACTGTATGTTCAAAAAATGGCAGAAAACAGCCCATAGGAGATCTTAATATTATAATAATAAGCTACACTTAACTTTAGGAGAATTCAGGGGGACTTCTATGGCAGGTCCTCAGCTCCAAACTGGACTAAACTGGCTCACATAAGAGGCATAGCTGGAGAAACACCAAGCTGGGGAGTCTCCTTGGCAGGCTGCTGGCTCTGCAAGACAAAACACATTACTTCCCTGTTTTTTTCCTTTACCCTCTTCCCTTCTGCTGATGGCTTTCAGCCCTCAGATCTGAGTAATTCCCCTTTGCATCCCAGCCAAAAAGAGGATGGGATTTGTATTCCTGAAGTAGAGGACTTGGCATGGCCCTGTGCTGCTCAGGTGAAGAAGACCTTATCTGAGGAACATTCTAAAGTGGTCTGCAGTATTAGAAACGAGGTAGGTTCTTGTATTAACTCAGTTTGTTTCATCCTATTTTATATGCCACAGCTTACAAGCTTTTACAGTGCTAGAAAGCAAACATTTTAAAGTTGTTAGATATTATAGAGATATGGCCCAACTTTTTGTTTCTTAAGTAGTTTAAAACTTCTAGAAAAGTGGAAAATATAGCATAAAACATTCCTATATACCCTTCACCCAGGTTCTTTAACATTTAAACTCATTTTGCCTTTTTCTGTCTCTGTCTCCTTCTCATACATGTATACATTTTCTGAGCCATTTTGAGAGTAAGTTAAAGATACTATGATCCGGGCGCCTGGGTGGCTCAGTGGGTTAAATAAAGCCTCTGCTTTCGGCTCAGGTCATGATCCCAGGGTCCTGGGATCGAGCCCCACATCGGGCTCTCTGCTCAGTGGGGAGCCTGCTTCCTCCTCTCTCTCTGCCTGCTTCTCTGCCTACTTGTGATCTCTGTCTGTCAAATAAATAAATAAAATCTTTAAAAAAAAAAAGATACTATGATCCATTATCCTTTAATACTTTAGTATTTCCTAAAAGCAAGGAAATTCTTCTATATAATTACAATATAACCCTTAAAATTAGGAAAATAACCATGTAATCAAAAGATGCCATTCAAATTTTGCCAACTGTCCCAATCACGCCCAGATTCCAGCCCAGGATCACACATTTGCTGTAATGTCTCTTTTGTACCCCCTTCAATCTTCATTTCAAACTTCATTTCAAACTTCAAACTTCAAACATTTCTTCAGACCTCTTTTTCATGGTCTTTACAATTTGAAGAGTACAGGATGTCCCTCTATTTCAGTATTTTGCTGTATGAAAGGGCTGTATTTAACCAGCCCCCTGTTAAAGAACACAGCATATTCCTAGTTTTCCACAGTGTAAATCACACTGCAGTTAGTAGCTCTGAGCAAATTATCTGATTTTTCTGAAGTGGAATTGCTGGGTTAGAGTCTACAGATTTAAAGTTTTGACACTATTGCCAGATATACATCCTGAAAGATTGTACTTATTTATAATTTCACCAGTGATGGATGAGAATGACTACTCCCCACACCAGCATCAGCACTGGACTTTTTCACTCTTCTTCATCTTGGCCAGTCAGGAAAAAGAAAAAAAAAAAAAAAAAAAACAACCTTGTGGGGCCCTTGGATGGCTCAGTTTGTTAAGGGTCTGCCTTCAGCTCAGGTCATGATCAGGGTCCTGGGATTGAGCCTGCTTCTCGCTCTGCCCCTTGCCCCCTGCTCATGATCTCTCTTTCACGCTCTCTTTCTCTCAAATAAGTAAAATCTTTTTAAAAATTCATTATTTTGATTATTAATGAGGCTGAGCATCCATCATGCTTGTTTTGTCTATTTTACTTTATTTTGCAAATTACCTTTGCCTGTTTTTCTGTTGGGCAGTTTCTGATTTTATTTTATTTTTTTTTAAAGATTTTATTTATTTATTTGACAGAGTGAGAGATCACAAGTAGAGAGGCAGGCAGAGAGAGAGAGAGAGAGAGGGAAGCAGGCTCCCCGCTGAGCAAAGAGCCCCATGCGGGACTCGATCCCAGGACCCTGGGATCACGACCTGAGCCGAAGGCAGCGGCTTAACCCATTGAGCCACCCAGGCGCCCCAGTTTCTGATTTTAAACTAATTTGTCAACTCATTCCTTGGCATTGAAGCCTTAAGTAAAGACACATTATGCATTTGAGAGCTTTGTTTCAACCTCTGTGGATATTATTCAAATTCTTACATGAAATCCCATTTCCTGAGTAAACATGTCAAGAATTACCCACAACAAGGTAACTGAACACCTGCAGGTCAACTCACCCCGACACAGCGCTCTGGGGCACAGCTGTAGGAACAGGAGGTGGGGGAAGGGGGAGAAGCAGTAAGGACAGAGAACAATTAACACCTAGACTATTTGTTTCCACTCATTGTCTCTAGGTGACTGTTTCAGTATAATTCTGGGTCAAGGTAGAGCAGTTTACCACTAATTTACTAGTTCTTATTCATTTCTTCCCTCCAAAATATTTGATATGGAAGAATAAATGCAATAAATATTAATCTTAAAGATAGGTCTTTATTCAACTTTAAATACTATTAAAAGCCATCACTTATATTAGGTAAAAGTACCCCATTTTCAGGTTCTTACTGTAGGTTGCTAAGGGAAGTATGAAGCTGGGAAATACTGCTTCAGCTAGTGTCGCCTTCCTCCTTTCTCCTGAATTGTAAAACTTACAGGAATAGCAAAGAATCTGCAAATGTCTATGTGAGCCTATATGTGGTGCAAAGCCCAAATCTCAAATGATATCAGAAAACATGTCCACAAGAAAATGCACAAGGTCTACTAGGTCTAGAGGGAAGAATCCTGTCAAAAAAGTAAATCAGAAACAAATACATTCAGTTCTCATTTTTTAATCAACCAAACCCACCAGTTAACCACTTGTAGCCAATAGTTACTGAAAGCCAAGTAACTGACTGAGCCTCCCAGGCATCCCAGATATAACATGCTCTTAAGGAACATACAATCTAGGGGAGGAACAAGATAGACAAGACTGAAACATTAAGGGGCCATCCTTGAGAAGGTGAAGTAGAACACACATTTTAAGTAGAGCAACAGTTTAGAGATGGTCAAAACCACTGCTCATGGGTACAGGGGCACGGGGCTGTTAGGGGAGTTAGAAAGGCTTAATGGAACGGTGGCATTTGAGTTGGGCCTGAAGGGATGGTAAGATTTGCACAGGCTGGGGGAAAGGTGGTGGGTATCGTGGCCCAGAGAACACAAGGCACAGAGGTGGCAGTCAGCAAGTTGCTCAGTGAAGGACATGTGAAAATGTGCATTGATTGAGGCATGCTGAGGACATGGGGCTGCCCCACAGATGCTGTGGCGGGCAGCAGGGGTCACCAGCAGCTCCAGAGCAGCAGGAACCATGAGGGACTGGTGTTTTGTAATGTTCTAGCCCATGCCAAACCATACTGGAGCCTAAGAGAAAGGAAACCTCAATAATACCAAGCCTATCTTGATTTAAAAATCTTGATATTTTGTTCATTTTTTTTGCATTAATTTTGATTTTTAAAAATATTGCATTAAAATATCATTTGTTTGGATGATTGAATTTTTCCATACCCCCTTACATTTTTTGCTCAAGGCAGGTACCTTGCTTATCTCACCCTCATCCCAGCCCTGTGTTCTATTTCTTGAAGTTCAGGAGTGGGAACATGGGTATTCATTTTATTTTCAATTATAAGCTACAGCTTACTCATGCTACAAATACTCTGTGGCTAGTAAACAGTACTTAATAAAAACAATTTAGATAAATTAGGATTTTAAGAAGATGAATTATGAACTTTGAAGCCTAAAAAGCACAACAGGGAAAAGAATCCTTTGTGCTTCTGAGTCGATATTTAGGGGAGAGTAACTCTCTGTTGCTGCAGTGTATGAAGTGCAGCAGAAAAGGGTTGTTTTGCTCATGTCTAAGTGGGTGAAAGGTAACTGTGTGTTGGCGGGTGGGGGGGGGTGGGTACCAGAGGCTGCTGTCCACTTGGAGACAGGTCTTGAGTAACTCAGCTGCTGTAGCCCTCCTGACTCTGCAGCATGGCCCGAGGCAAGCTTCCACAAACGGGCCACACAAGGTGGGCTTGGCCCACATCCCACATACAAGAGACCCATCCAGGGGTACCTGGCTGGCTCAGCTGGTACAGTACGTGACTCTTGATCTCAAGGTTGTGAGTTTGAGCCCCCACTGAAGATAGTTTCCTTAAAATGACAACCACCAGCACCAAACAACAAACCAATCAGCTGTCCTCAAAGAGAAGCTACTCATTGGGCCATAGCATTTACCACAGGACCATGGTTCAAGAAGCAGAGGAAGATTAATGAACTCTATAAATGTCTCAGGGCTATCTGCATCGAGAAGTAGTAGTGTTTGACACAGAGAGTGTAACTAGTGCCTCTAAAAATGCAAAACCTGAAATCTATTCTCATTAGTAAACCGATGATCAATGAAGGACACTTTTTAGCCAGAGAAGTCAATTAGCATGCAGCACAGATCTCAGAAAAGGCCAAGGGCAAGGCTGAAAGGTGCAGGCTGCTTCCCACGCTTGCCCGGGTGCACCACACCGTCATCGGACATGGACCTCCCAGTCAGTGCCGATGTTCAGTGAGAGCTTCTCCAGCCGCAGGGTGGACATCTGGGCACAATATGTAAAAGCCACAGGCTCATCTTTACCATCTAAATATCAAGACAGTAACAGGAAAAGTTTGATGAATATCTAGGAGAGAAAAATCTTTCCTTTGAATCTATACTATTTCTGACTCGGTCATAAAACCTGATACCCCACCTAGGAGAATCCAACTTAATAGCACTTTTACGCATGGATGTCCATGAATTTTTTTTAAATTAAAAAAAAATTTTTTTAAAGCTTCTTAGAAAAGAGACACTTTATAATGACAAAGGCAAAACCTTATTCTTTTCACTCCCTCGGAAAAATCGTAGCTTCGGAACAGAAAGCCACAGCAGAACAGTTTCCACATAAACTGTTGTCTCCCTTCCTCGGCTGAATTTTTTTTTTTTTTTTAAAGATTTTATTTATTTATTTGACAGAGAGAGATCACAAAGCAGGCAGAGAGGCAGGCAGAGAGAGAGGAGGAAGCAGGCTCCCCGCTGAGCAGAGAGCCCTATGCGGGGCTCGATCCCAGGACCCTGAGATCATGACCCGAGCCGAAGGCAGCGGCTTAACCCACTGAGCCACCCAGGCTCGGCTGAATTTTTTAAACATTAAACACTCCATCATTTTGAATGCAAGATTGGTTGAAAGGAAATTGTAAGGAACAAAGTGATTTACCTAAGAAATTTAGTAGGTAAGAAATGATACAGCCTTTTAAGAAACTCCATAAACATGGGTAGGATTCTCTGGGGCTTCAGCTATCTACAGTTAAAAATACATTCAGAGACGGGGCGCCTGGGTGGCTCAGTTGGTTAAGCCTCTGCCTTCAGCTCGGGTCATGATCTCAGGGTCCTGGGATCGAGTCCCACATCGGGCTCTCTGCTCAGTGGGGAGCCTGCTTCCTTCCTCCTCTCGCTGCCTGCCTCTCTGCTTACTTGTGATCTCTCTCTGTCAAATAAATAAATAAAATCTTTAAAAAAAATACATTCAGAGAAGCTACAATATCATTTCAAGGCCCAAATAATCCCCCTTAGAAAAATATCCACAGCTTACAGTTCGCAGAAGGCCCAGTTGATGAGGAGAAGCAGGATCGTCTTGCTCCCTCTAGATACTAGTATATTTGACCTCCATCAGAAAGTGCAGGGTCCACTTGGCTAAGTGTGCTATATCAGTGTTAGGACTAATCATTTCTTTGCGGCAGATACTTCCATGTTTATAAAAACAAATGACCTGTTTCCTCACCAGATGAACGGGTAGTCACAGAAGATGGCTGTTTCTTGAGGCCTAGGACAAAGATCTGCTCCACCACACACTTGCTGGGATAATGACCTCTTTTGTCAGCACAACTGGAATAAATAAAAATGGTGTTAGGAAAATGAGAGAAATAAGAATTTGGACTGGTTATTAGGTCAATATCCTAGCCTTGGGAGTTCCCCTCCCATCTCTCCCTATGGAGGCCTGAACCATAAGGCTGTCAAGTTTACTAGGATGAAGGGATGCAAACAAACGATTCCCTGTGCCAAGGAATGCCTAACCAGTAGACAAGCCAGTCTCCCTTTAACAGGGCATTTGGAGAGAAACCATCTAAGGACACTGAAGTCTCAAATGTGACTTGGACACTGACTGCAATCAGATTTTAAGAAATCAGATACTTAATGAATTGCTGAATGGGTGGATAAATGGGACTAATCAAAGCTTAAATTGAATTCTTTTTTATTTTTTAAAGAGTGAAGAACAGGAAGATGGAGACGATAAGGAAGAAGGTTCATAGAGTGATTGAAAAATACTTCAGGGAAATTCCAGACCAAGATGGCAACATTTAAGAGGGCCCCTAATTTCCTTCCTCCCACGGATGCACTGAATGTAAAGCTACATGTGGAGCAATTCCCTTTTAGCAATACAGAAACTAGCTGAGTGACTCTTGTATATCGGGTGACTGAGGAAATAGCCACATCAAATCAGGTAGGAAAGGCTGAAACACATGGTAACCTCCACCCCCACCAGGACAGTGCTATACTGTTGGGAGGGGAACTCCCAACTCCCAACTTCTCTCTGAGAAGAGTGAAAAGTTTGGACAACACTTCTATTGCCCCAGTTTTTTTTTTTTTTTTAAAGATTTTATTTATTTATTTGAGAGCGAGACAGTGAGAGAGAGCATGAGCGAGGAGAAGGTCAGAGGGAGAAGCAGACTCCCCATGGAGCTGGGAGCCCGATGTGGGACTCGATCCCGGGACCCCGGGATCATGACCTGAGCTGAAGGCAGTCGTCCAACCAACTGAGCCACCCAGGAGTCCCTATTGCCCCAGTTTTAAGGCCCCCATCTGAGGTATGGACCCCCAACCAATCAGTAATTACTTTAAGTGTCTTTGAACTAAATTCTCCAATCAATAGAGATAGAGTTGATGAATGGTTACAAAGTCAAGACCCAACTATATGCTGCCTATAAGAGACCCACTTCAGCTTTAAGGACGCATACAGACTGAAAGTGAAGATATGGAAAATGATATTCCATAGAAATGGAGGCCAGAAAAAAAAAAGCAGGGATAGCTAATATTTATAACAGACAAAACAGACTTTATGCCAGAAATTGTAATCATAGACAATGAAGATTGTTATATAATGGGTCAATTCGCTAAGAGGTTATATAACACTTGTAAATATTTATGCACCCAATATCAAAGCACCTAAATATATAAAGCAGGTATTAGTAGATCTGAAGGTTGAAATAGATGGCAATACAGTAATAGCAGGGGACTTCAATACCTCCACTTTCAACAATGGATAGATCATCCAGACAGAAAATCAGTAAGGAAAACGTGAACTTAAATGGCATGTTAGACCAGATAAATTTAACAGTTATATATAGAACATTCCATTCAACAGCAGGAAAATTCATATTGCTTTCAAGAACACATGGAACATTCTCTAGGATAGATCATATGTTAGACTAAAAACAAGTCTTAACAAATTTAAAAAGACTGAAATTATATCAAGCGTCTTTTATGACCATAATGGTAGGAGCGTAGATACCAATTATAAGAAGAAAACTGGAAAATTCACATATATATGGAGACTAAACAACATGCCCCTAAATAACCAGTGGGCCAAACAAAAAATCAAAAGGAAAATAAGATATCTTAGACAAATTAAAATGGAAACACAATATATAAAAATATAAATATATAAAAATATATATATATAAATATATAATATATATATAAATATATAAATATATATATAAATATATAAAAACTTACGGGATGCAGCAAAAGCAATTCTAAGAGGGGAGTTTATAGCAATAAATGCTTACATTAAGAAAAAAAAATCTTAAATAATCTACCCTTATACCTCAAGGAGCTATAAAACGAAGGACAAACTAAGGCCAGATTTACCAGGAAGAAGGAAATAACAAAGATCAGAGTGAAAATAAATGGAACGGAGGCTAAAAAGATCCATAGGAACGATCAATGAAACTAAGAACTAGTTTAAAAAAAAAATAGACAAATATTTAGCTAGACTCACCAACAAAAAAAGAAAGAGGACTCAAAATCAGAAACAATATCATTGTATGTACTATACTGGAATTTAAATTAAAAAATCAGAAATGAAAGAGATGTTACATTTGATACCTCAGAAATCCTAAGGATCATAGGAAACTACTATGAACAATTACACACCAATAAATTGGATAAGCCAGAAGAAGTGGATAAATTCCTAGAACATACAACCTGCCAATACTGGAATCAGGAAGGAATAGAAAATCTGAACAGACCAATTACTAGTAAGGATACTGAATCTGTAAACAAAAAACTGCCAACAAAGGAAAGTCCAGGACCAGATGGCTTCACTGTTTAATTCTATCAAACATTTTAAAGAATATCAATCCTTTTCAAAGTCTTCCAAAAATTGGAACACTTCCAAATTGATTTTATGAGGGCTGCATTACCTTGATACTAAAGCTAACAAGGACAGTACAAGAAAAGAAAATTATAGGCCAATATTCTTGATGAACACAGATGTAGAATTCCTTAACAGAGGACCACACACCATGATCAAGTATTATTTATTTCTGGGATACAGAGATGCTTCAACATAGGCAAATCAATAAATGTGATATATTACATTAACAAAAAGGATAAAAATAATATGATTATTTCCGTAGGTATAGGAAAAGCATTTGACAAAATTCAACATCCTTTCAGGATAAAAATTCTCAAAAAATTGGGTACAGAAAGAATGTACCTCAGGGTGCCTGGATGGCTCAGTGGGTTAAGTGTTCAACTCTTGATTTCATCTCAGGGCATGATCTCAGGGTCATGAGATCCAGCCCAACATCTGGCTCCATGCTGAGTGTGGAGCCCACTTAAGATTCTCTCTCTCCCTTTCCCTCTGCCCCTTCCCACTCCCATGCTCATGCTTTCTCCCCCTAAAAAAAAAAAAGAAAAGAGAAAAGAAAGCAAAAGAAAGAATGTACCTCAACTTAATAAAAGCCGTCTATGACAAGCCCACAACTAACATCTCAATGGGGAAAACTGAATCAAGATCAGAAACAGGAAAATGATGCCTACTTCTCACCATTTTTGTTTAACATTGTACTGGACATCTTAGCAAGAGCAATTAGGTAAGAAAAAGAAATAAAAGATGTCTAAGTTGGAGAGGAAGAAATAAAATTGTATTTGCAAATGGAAATAGGGAGAAGATGGTAAAAGGATACGAACTTTCTGTTATAAGATGAATAAGGTCTGAGTATCTAATGTACAAGATGGGGACCACAGTTGACAGTACTATATTGTATAACTGAAATTTGCCAACAGAGTAGAAAAAAAGAAGTATGAGAGGTGATGGATGAGTTACTTAACTTGATGGTGGGATTCCTTTTATAGCACATACATATAGTGAATCACCATGTTGTACACTTTAAATATATTACAACTTTACTTGTTAATTATTTATTGAAGCTGAAGAAAAGTACTCCACAAATGGCTTTCATCATTAATTTCTTTAAATAGTACCTTAAGATATTAGCTGTTTTTGAGGATCACATATTTAAGAAACCACATGGCTTTTTAGCTGCCATTACCTGTTGATCAAAACTCCTGACAAGAATGAAAACTTCCTGTGCAAGAATTGCTTCTGGTGGAGGTACCGGAACGAATGGCCATCGTCGAGATAGAATTCACCCATGGCAGAATCCTAGAGAGTGAATCATAGAGAACGTGTTTATATAATAGCTTACTAGGTTAAAGAATGTCATCCACTAAAGGGACTAAAACATTTGTGAAAAATTTTATTTAAAAAAATTAATATTCAAGCTGTACAATGTAGTCATATAAATATGTACATTCAATACCCATTAGTGAAATAATATGCATAAGTCACGTAAGAGGAGCTCAAAGAGTTAGATTTTGTTGAAAAAAATTTAAACTACAAAATATGGTCAGTGGCATAGGTGGCTTCTTTGAAAATACTACCCTAGAATGTGATGACAGGTCAAGAAAAGTTCCCAGAATGAAACTAAAGTTTAAAAGATTTAGTATATAATGGATGAGATCAGCTATTTTCATCTTTATCCTCCATTTAGAGGATAGCATCTAGTTCCTACTTCCTTTCAGAGGACCCCTTTGGCAATTCAAACAAAGGCACAGCACTCCATATGGCTGTTTATTATTTATTGACAATGCTTGATGTGCTATGGATCTCTTGTATTTTTTATGTGGTCTGAGACTTATAATTTGGCCCAAAAAGAATGTCTAAGTGAAACAGATGGAAAAGCAAGTTTAATTATTCTATATTTGCATAAGAGTATGAATTTATGTTCAGTCCTGTAGAAGAGTAAGAGTTTGTGTTGGTACTATAAGTGGGCAAATGGATAGGATGGGAGTCTGTTATAGGTTTCATTTGGCTCAAAAGATCTTCTAAAAGGACATACAAATTCTGGATCCTTCTGAGCTTTACCCCAGAAGATTTTAGTTGTTTGAGCCAGCTGATAAGAACAGAAGTCATTGTGTGGGGTTGTTGTTCCTGAAATACTGCAAAGATACTGCCATCCTTTTATAGGAGACTGACTTTTAGGGCTAATCCATGTGGCAGGCTGACTAGGCCCAATGGGCATTTGGTCCAATGGTAATCAAGGCCAAGCTGCAGGGCACCAAGGGTCACAGTGCCCCAGAGGAGATTTCTATCATTTCTAATTCTCGGAGTTCTCTTAAGAACAATTCCAAGGAAAGGCAGACAAGCTGGACAATGATTCAGAAATGATTCAAAACTTTGATTTCTAGAAAAACATCAGGAGCACCTGTTCCATCACTGGGGCTTATTATTTTTATATAGTGTCCCATACTCAAAAGACCACTACTCCTATAAATTGATAAAGTAATAACGAATGAGATGTGTAAAGGTAACATTTTCCAAATACCTTAGTGCTTAGAGCCACCCGGAGTCCATATGGGGAATCGGTCATGTAGCCTGTGGATTTTCCTACAGTCGTCTTTATTGGTACTATACTTCCACCTCGCTGAAATACCGGTATCTATAACAGAACAATACTCTCAGGGAAGGAGTATTCATAGAAAGCGATTTCAATGTAGAATCTAAAAATATTTCATTGCATGAGACTCCCATTCTTTGCAAGTATACACTCAGAGGCAAAAGAAATCTGTGAGCATAGAAATGGAAAATATGGAAGTGATAGCATTAAAAGGAAAAGAGTTCAAAGATTAAAAATTGTCCATTTTTTAATTATCAGGGAAACTTCTCACCCTTCATCAATTTGTTATCTATTCTGCCTATCCTATCAGTAGTTCCTATTTGGTATTTTACATTTTCTTTCCTTTTTTTTTTGAAAGATTTTATTTATTTATTTGATAGACAGAGATCACAAGTAGGCAGAGCAGCAGGCAGAGAGAGAGGAGGAAACAGGCTCCCTGCTGAGCAGAGCCCAATGAAGGGCTCGATCCCAGGACCCTGGGATCATGACCTGAGCCGAAGGCAGAGGCTTTAACCCACTGAGCCACCCAGGCACCCCTGGTATTTTTAATTTTCTTGTCAGCACAATATACATGTTTATTTCTAGGGCCCTGTTAAGGAGTGAGTTTTTGTGCCTGTTTAAGTAGGCCCCATATATGTACATGTGCATATAAAATATTATGATTTCTTGGTTTCAGAGAGATGACTCTGTCCTTACTACAGTCTATACCCTTCCTGCTCCCTGCTTCCCTGAATCACCAGGATGATGGACTCAATTCTGAGAGTAAATTTGTGGAACTTCTGTTGTAGAAGCCACCAAAGACACATGAAGTAACCCTAAGCACAGTTTTATAGGTATGGCCCATACCTATGGTTCTTCTGGAATGGCATTCCAGCAAGGAAAGCCCAGTAAATTTCCTGGGTCCCCATACTGTCCTCTGCAAGGAAGCTCTCTGAATCATATGGGGGCTTGTACTTCGTTCTGAGTAAGGTACAAGAGGGAAAAAAGTACAAGAGTATAAATGAAGGTGGGAGTGAAGGTGGAGTAGTTAAGATGTCCAGCCTCTGCTTGACTCATAGTTGGCAGCAAGAAATAACGCACATTTATCTCCCCCTCATCAACCAATCACTTCTTTTCTTTTTTTCCCAAAGACGGAGGTAGTAAGTTAGCACAGTATGGGCTGTGAAGTGGGAGTGGCGGACCTGGGGTCTGATCTGCCACAATCTAACCACAACCCTGAACAAGTAATTGAACTTCTCAGAACACAGTTTCTTCACCAGTAAGCACAAGGGATTGAAGTAGATTAATGTTAAGGTCTTTTTTAGATCTGAAAGTTGACATCTGAAATCGTTTTATTATGGAGATCATACTACTGATAACAGCTTTAAAAAATAATGTCAATATATCTTTATTAATTTGAACACTACTTAGGGCCTGCGGCATTGGTTGTGATTTAGTGGCAAGAGCAGAATTCCCTTCACAGGTTCAGTCTGGATGGGTCCCCTTGACTCTACCATCGTTAACTGACCGCCTTCCCTTGGGCGTAGAGGGCCAGCCAGGTTTACAACTGAAAACTCAGGTTTTGTGACTTGGTCCTACAGGAGGACATTCTGTATGGTGTGTGTGGTGACCACCATTTTTACTCTGACTTTAGTGTTATTATTTTTCTTAGACATACAAATAGAAATATATGGAGAAGAGTTGTTTGGCCTTGATGTTTCATACTGTGAAATCAGGCTATATGCTGATACTTTTTTCTCATGTTTCCATGGCTTTATTGGTATAATTTGAATGCCCTACAACTCATCTATTTAAGGTGTACAATTAAATGTTTTTTGAGTATATTGAGAGTCATGTACCTGTTACCACAATCAATTTTAAATCATTTTCATCATCCCCAAAAGAAACCTTGTACCCATTAGCAGTAATTTGCCATTGCTCCCAAACTCTCTCCCTGCCTTAGCCCTATGCAACCCCTCATCTATTTTTTGTCTATGTGGTGTTATCCAGTACACTAATGTCCCTGGTTCCTTCTATGTAGGCACATGTTACGAACTAAATGTCTGTGTCCCCTCCCAAATTCCTATGTCGAAGCCTCAACCATCAATGTGACTGTATTTGGAGATAGGGCCTTTAAAGAGATAATTAAGGTTAAATAAGGTCAGAGAGTGGGGCCTTAATCTGATAGGATTAATGTCTATAAGAAGAGACATAAGAGAACTCACTCTCTCCCTCTGCCATATGAAGACACAGCAAGACACATATATGCCTATATGTCAGGAAGAGAGTCCTCACTAGGATCTGAATTGTTGGCACCTTAATCTGGGACATCTAGCCTCCAGAACTGTGAGAAAACAAACTTCTGTTGGTTAAGCCACCGCATCTGTGGTAGTTTATTATGGCAGCCCAAGGAGACTGATATTGCACAACAGGTAAAAATAACAGCCTGAAAATTACTTACGGTGTCTAAGGCTACCTGGACCTTCACAGTACGTGCTCCTTCCCAATGAGCAAATGTTTTAGAGTCATACCAGACCTGGAAAGGAAGAGATCCTAATGAAAAAGAGTATAAGAGCAACTCTGCTCACAATTTCATTATTCAGCAAAGCATTCATTTTATCTGGATTTTGAATAACTGGAAGGCTAAAATAAGTATAGTTTAAAAAAAATCTTGAGTAGGGGCACCTGGGTGGCTCAGTGGCTTAAAGCCTCTGTCTTCGGCTCAGTACATGATCCCAGGGTCCTGGGATCGAGCCCCATCGGGCTCTCTGCTCAGCAGGGAGCCTGCTTCTTCCTCTCTCTCTCTCTGCCTACTTGTGATCTCTGTCTGTCAAATAAATAAAATCTTAAAAAAAAAAATCTTGAGTAGAAGTTAGGAAGGACAAATATTTTTAAGAAGATCCCAAAGGACTAACCTAGTACTGTGATGGATTAAGTTCACTAAAAGGCCATTCATTTGTCCATCTGTCCATCCAGAAGTTATTTGTCCAACAGTCTACCACATGCCCAGCACTGCTAGGCATGCATGAGTGAACAGAAAGACAGACTTCCTGCCCTCATGGATTTTATTATAGTCTGGTCGTCTCATAAACTTAATGCATTTAGAGTAAAAAAGATGATGGAAGAAAGAAAAAGCAGTAACAAAGAAGAAGAGCACACTGCGAGCAAATAAATTACAAACGAGGCAGGAGAAAAGGAAAGTGTCAGAGAAGGAAACAGATCCAGGAGAAAGACAAATGGAAACTTGGATCAGTACCATAGTTATTTTTTAGCACAGTTCAATTAATGGAGGAAGTTCAAATTCTTATCTGGGATCCTAATCAAGGCGGTTTAGTTGCTGAAGTACCCAAAAGGTCCTATAAAGTAATTTGATAGGATAAATCCTTAAGACACTACCAACAGCAGTAGCATGGAAACAAAAACCTCTTTTTCTCTCTTTCAGCCCAGTATGATTTCTGGCAGCAGACAGTCTATTTCACAAGGTCACCTTCTGGGATTACCATATCCTTTCTAGAGCTCCTGTCCTGCAGTGAAGGTGAGAGGGCTGTGGCCTATCGCCAGCCCCAGTGACTCTCAGTTCAACAGGATCCACCCCACCTTGTCTCCATGTATTATCCTTGGCTAGATCCAATTTGCTAATGTTTTGCCAAGGATTTCTGTGTCTGTGTTGATGGGGGATATTGTCTTAGCTTTCTTTTCTTATAATGTCTTTCATTTGACAAATTCTAGTAGCTTTATTTATTTTTTTTTAAAGATTTTATTTATTTGACAGACAGAGATCACAAGTAGGCAGCGAGGCAGGCAGAGAGAGAGGGGAGAAGGAGGCTCCCTGCTGAGCAGAGAGCCCGACGCGGGGCTCGATCCCAGGACGCTAGGATCATGATCTGAGCCGAAGGCAGAGGCTTTAACCCACTGAGCCACCCAGGCGCCCCACTAGTAGCTTTAGATAGAGTAGTGAGAGTGAAAGTTAAAACAAACAAACTGAATTAAGTAAGATTTTGAGATTACCTGTCTACCATTTCCAGAACTAACTAGAATAATTAGAATAAGAGGTATATGTATAGGGTGTGTCCTCTGGTGCTATATACAAAGGTCCCCAGCCTTGGAAGGGTAAAACTGGCATAAAGTCCTACATAGATCAGACCTAGTGCTCAGTCACCAAGCTCCTCAGCAAGTACGTACAGAAGGCCTACTGCCTGTCAGGTACCTGTCTAGATGCTGGGGATAGAGAGTGAATGTAATAGAGGAAAATCACCTAAGAAGCCCTTAAGAAGCTAATATTCTAATGGGGGAGAAAGGTCATCAGCAAAACATATCATTAATACCATGAATGTTAAAGATGTCAGGTTCTGTGGGAAAAATGAAGGATGAAGTGGGGTTGGACAGTGGGAGTGGTCTGTAATCTTAACTAGGTAGTCACGGAAGGCCTCACTGAGAAAAATCTATTTGAGCAAAGACTTCAAGTAGAGGGAATGGGCCATCTAGAAAAATGGGGAAGAGTGACAATGAGGGACTGTAGGTAGCCCCCTTGCACAGTGTGATGTGGTACTAGCTAACTGGTGAAGTAAAAATATGGCAAGAAATAGCTTGGCTTATCTCCCTAGGGTTTTGAAGATATGAGAGAAACAATCACAGAACACTTTGGGAAACAGTGTTGAACGAATACATTATACAGTCATTGCAGTGTGCTTGCAATGATGATAGGTCATTAATAAAAAGTTTTTGTTAATTAAATTAATTTAAAAATTCATTTGTGGCTACGTCAGAAGGAGAGCTAGCTCTTCTTAATGGGAGCCTACTGCTTTGTTAAAATTGACTTGAGAAATTCTCAGTGAACTGCTAGGCAGGACAATTTATTTAGATGTTGTTGTATTTAACCTTTTTCTCAGATTTTTACTTGGTGGGGGAAACTTTATCTTCATCTTAGATGAGGGTTGAGGGGGAACCCTCATCTAAGAACTACACATTACTGGAGAAACCAAGAGGGAAGAACATAATTGATGAACATTCTGGAGAAAAGCCTGGGTATCATCCTATCAGTAAAGACAAGTTTACTGGGCTGAATGGTAGCCCCTCCAAAAGTTATACACACTTCCTAATACTGGGAAGGAGTGAATATAACTTTTTATGGTAGCAAATTTGATTAAATTAAGGATCTCAAGATTAGAAGGTTATCTGGGATTATGCAGGTGGGCCCTGAATGTCATCATAAGTGTCCTCATAAGAGAAACAGAAGAGAAGACACAGACATACAGAGGAGAAGGCGTGTGAAGACAGAGGCACAGACTGGACTGATGTGATGTGGCTCTGTGATGTGGCTACAGAGCCAGGAACCACAAGGACCTCAGGCAGCTGCCAGAAGCTAGGAGAGAGGCATGGAAGAGATTCGCCTTCTGGACCTCCAGAAGGAACTTACCCTACTGACACCTTGATTTTGGGCTTCAAGCCTCCAGAACTGGGAGAGGATACATTTGTGCTATTTCAAGCCACCAGATTTGTGATAATTGCTGCCTTAAGAAACTAGCACAGGCAAAAGTGTAAAGCTGGATGGACAGAGAACACTTGGGTTGATGTATCGCATATTGCTTCGCCCGTACCTGACAGTACTAAGCAGAGAGCATGGCCTGGCTCAGCCACCTCATCACCTGCCTAGACAGTCCAAGCATATCTTTTTTTTTTTTTTTTAAATTTAAACTCTAGTTAGTTAGCATACACTCCAATATTGGTTTCAGGAGTAGAATTTAGTGATTTATCACTTACAAACAACACCCAGGGGTCATCACAAGTGCCCTCCTTAATGACCATCAGCTATCTGGCCCATCCCCCACCCACATCCCTCCATCAACCCTCACTTTGTTCTCTGTAGTTAAGTCTCTCATGGTTTGCTTCCCTCCCCCCCTCCCTTTTTTCCATCCCATATGTTCTTCTGTTTTTTGTTTTTTTTTTTTAAGATTTTATTTATTTATTTGACAGACAGAGATCACAAGTAGGCGGTGGGGGGGTGGTGGGAAGCAGGCTCCCTGCCGAGCAGAGAGCCCGATGCGGGGCTCAATCCCAGGGTCCCTGAGATCATGACCTGAGCCAAAGGCAGAGGCTTTAACCCACTGAGCCACCCAGGCGCCCCATGTTCTTCTGTTTTCTTTCTTTTTTTTTTTTTTTAAGATTTTATTTATTTATTTGACACAAAGATCACAAGTAGGCTGAGAGGCAGGCAGAGAGAGAGGAGGAAGCAAGCTCCCAGATGAGCAGAGAGCCCGATGCGGGGCTCGATCCCAGGACCCTGGGATCATGACCTGAGCCGAAGGCAGAGGCTTTAACCCACTGAGCCACCCAGGCTCCCCCTTCTGTTTTATTTCTTAAATTCCACATATAAGTGGTATCATATACTATTTGTGTTTCTCTGACTTATTTTGCCTAGCATAATGCACTCTAGCTCCATTCACATCACTGCAAATGGCAAGATTTCATTCTTTTTGATGGCTGAGTAATATTCCATTGTATATATACACCACATCTTCTTTATCCATTCATCAGTCGTGGGACATCTGGGCTCTTTCCATAGTTTGGCTATTGTGGACATTGCTGCTATGAACATCAGGGAGCATGTGCTACTTCGAATCACTATGTTTGTTTCCTTTGTATAAATACCCAGTATTGCAACTGCTGGGTCATAGGGTAGTTCTATTTTTAACTTTTTGAAGAGCCTCCAAATTGTTTTCCATAGTCAGTCCAGGAACATAGGGGTCTCAAATCAGTTTAGTAACCTCGATGGTAACCTTCTCCCCCTGCCTGCAGAAGCCTGTGGTGATGCTCAAGGACTCTCTCCAGGGTCTGTCTCCTCCTTGCTCTCCATTCCATACCCTCTTTCCCTGGTCTGGTGCCCCAAGTTTCGGCCCTGCCTCTTCTCCTGGCCCCTCTGCATATATCCTTGGTCTGTCTCTGGAGGTTGTTGCAGTTATTCTCCATGGCCCTCTGCTCTGTAGCCCACGGGCTAATCCCACCTCTTCCCCGGGCTCTGCCTAGGTTCAGTGCTGTGGGCTCTAGCAGAGCAGGATGATATTTTATACTGCGATAATAATCAATGACAATAACAAACAAAAGGGCTGGAAGGCTCGCGGAGCATAAAGGGAAGTTGCCACTGTTAATTTTTACCCACTTTGGTGAGTGTCCAGAGACCAGATTTTGGTACCAAAAACTTAGGATTTATTTATTTACTTATTTATTTTTAAAAAGATTTTATTTATTTATTTGACACACAGAGAGATCACAAGTAGGCAGAGCAGCAGGCAGAGAGAAGGGGGGGGGAAGCAGGCTCCCTGCTGAGCAGAGAGCCCGATTCGGGGCTTGATCCCAGGATCCTGAGACCATGACCTGAGCCGAAGGCAGCAGCTTAACCCACTGAGCCACCCAGGTGCCCCAAAACTTAGGATTTAGACAGAGCCAGAACCAAAGAGCAAAGTCTCTTTTTACTTATGCTTCCCCCCAGAGACTTACACCTCTTACAGACTAAAGATTTCTTCCTACTCAAAGCCTCGGTGTGTTTATAAGGAGTCACTTATACAAGCCCAAGTGTGAAGGTAAAGAACCATGCTGACTCTCCTTGGGGTTCTTACCTATTCATCTTTCTCCCTGCTCTTCCATTAAGTTTCTTGACCTCCGAGGTCATGACCTACAAGAATCTTCAGTAGGTATAGGCATTTGGGCTGTCTTTACAACTGCATGATGCAGAAATCTATTTCCTAACAGGGGCTAATTCATTAGAATGAAGGGAGGAGACAGGAGACATGCAAGATATGTGGCTGTTTGTTATTTATTCTTACCTCATTTGATCCTGGCAGAAACACATCAACTGTGCTGGCTTTTGGTTCTGTGACTGGATGAACCAATAAAGCACTTCCTGAAAAAAAAGAGAAGAAATGAAGTTGAATATCATTCTAAGAGGTCTGAAAACATCCTTCTCCTTTCAGTGCTTTTGTGGTGTTAGAGACCACTCAACTATGAACTTGGTGAAAGTAGAGACCTTGGTTAGTTGAACCAATGATTCATCAGAGAGATGCATTGTAAGATAGAGGACCGGTGCTCAAAATGGTGACTGTATTATTACTTATCATTTATCCACTTAGGGTATATCAGGATAATAGGGAGGGATCCTGACACAGTCTATCAGTCTCATTTGCACATAGCTGCTAGTGTGCCAGGAGTCTGAAAGAGCCGTCACATTACTCCAGGTGCATCACTGCTGTAAGTGATTTTGCAATGGTGAGCCTACAGCTGTTATCCAGAACCATGATTAGCACAGAGTAGAGTATATCCATGGGCAGTTATCATTAGGAAGGCTGTAATTCTCTTAAAGGCAATCTAGGTTATTAATTTTGTTTTGACTATGGCACCACATGTATGTAAATTTCATCCATTTATGAATTCACTCTTTAAATGTACAAATATTTACTGAGTTCCAGGTGAGTGCTAGGTATTATGCTAGGCTCTGGAGATACAGTGGCAAATAAGACAATGTCCCTGTCCTCATGGAGTTTGCAGTCAGTAAAGACAGATATTATAATTTATTTAGAGTTAGGACAAATACCAAAAAGGTAAAAACACAAAATGGAATGAAAGTTATCTAATAAGAGGGACTGAGTTTGACTAGTTAGGTGTAATTAGCTATTAGAAGCAATTCTGGTCAGGGAATTGTTCTCGAAGGGAGCAGCTATTTAAACTGAGACCCAAGAAAGAAGGGAGAGGTAGCACTAGGCTTTTTACATTTTGATTTCCGCTTTTTAGAAACAGAATGCATCTTTTGGGCAACTCTCTGTTCAGCTTGGTTTTTGAGTCCTATTCCCGAGATGATAAACTTCCATATCCTGGATTTGGTGGTCAACCCTTGTTTAAAAAGAGGCCATCACCACCACCACCACCAATTACTGTATTTTACCTATGAAGTAAGCTCTCAATCTTTACTGTGACCATCTGGTCTACTGTTTATAGGGGTATCATTAGGCTCAGGAGTGGACCCAGAACAAGAATCTCAAATTGCGTCCACAAATAGAATGGATTTATATGAAGTTAACAACATGAGAAGTGAGAAGAGATCTATCATTCCACAGAAGAGAGCTATCATTCCACTAATATACTAAAAATCTTAATGACAGAATTTCTCTTACTTTTATTTTTTAGTTTTCTTGAGACTAGGGATTTATTTTTCTTTAGTGCTCTTATACTAGGAAATGTAACAAAAACATAATTACAGCATTTATCATAACAATAATTAAGAAATGCTCACCCAGCATGTATTCATCTTCTACCCCAAAAGTGTCTAATTCCTCTGGGAACTCTATCCACAGAGGTCTGCAGAAAGAGAAAAAAAATTCTTATTTCAACATCATTAGATGTTTTATTGCGGTTAAATCACTTATATTTTCAATTTTATAATTACTGAAAGGAAATTGGAAAAACCAAATAGCCAAGACTCTTCATGATTTAAGATTTTATGAGCAACTGGTAGGATTACTATATATTTTCTAATGTGAAAAAGCTATTTACTTGCTGAAATGCTCCAATGAAGATTGAGAATTCTGGTACTTATAATTTTTCCTTCTGATTGTTGAGTACTAAGTACTACTCTGAAGGCAGAATTAAGAGTTCTGTACAAATCAAATGCTTAACACATTCAGCATGGAACAAATTATTTGTAAAACCATAGTTTATAATGATATAAAATCTGTGCCATGTTTTCATGCTGCCACAGCCTTTCATGCATCCTTAATCATTATCTATTTAAAAGAAAAGAATTGGTATTACTTGTTTTCAAGCAGGCAGTGGTTTTGGAGGGTTGAGAAACTTTTTTTTTTTTTTTTTAATTATTGTTTTACACAACTATCTAGGAGGCATCTGGGCTTAAAGGATAATAAAATCTTCAATATCTGTGCATCTGGATATCAACCTAATGGTTCTAATATTTTTTTTCAACCTCATGAGTAAAGGGTATTCTTTAGTAAGAGAAACTTATTTTTAGTTTATTCATTAGCCTTTGTAATAATGTATCCCTTTCCTACTGAATAGTAGTAACGAAGCAGTAGTCTCAATCTGGTTAATGTCTAGAATCACAAGGGAAATGTCTAACAAATCTAGTTCCTGAGACCTACCCAAGGAGATTCCTAGTAGGTCTGGAGGTGTGGCCCTGGAATCTACAGTTTTAAAGAGCTCCCCTGGTGATTCTCATCTGAGCCAGGTTTAGGATCAGCTGATCTGGAAGCCTCATTGTATTATGTGTGTCTCTGCATCATTCTCTAACCTAGAAAATTGCTTTTTTCACATCCTGCCTCTAAAATAGGATCAGAATATAATTTATACACTGGGAAAAATGTTCACCTCAAACTTGGAATTGTTTAACCCTTAGGTAAGATAGAGCCTAGACTGGCAGAATAAATTATTCTTCATGAGAGGATTCTTGTGGATTAAACAGCAAATTCAGTTATGGTCACTTCTTTTTCTTTGAAAAATCGGTCTCTCAAATATTAACACTTGAATCACAAAGTAGCAGGGGTTGTGGTTTTTCTTAGACCTTAACTCTTTGGCCCTGCTCACAGTTGGTGCTCAGTAATCTGAAGCGTACTTGATGAAACATATGGCTTTTCTCTTGAAATCATGGTGTAATTACTCCGTTCCCCAATGGCCAGGGGGTTTTCTGGTGTTGCAGGCTGCTGGAGCCCGCAACCGGTGAAGCCCGTTTACCTCATGACGGGCTGGGCTGTCACGTGTGCGCAGTAGAACAGAGAATACCAATAGGGCAGGAGGGTGTAGCGCTGCCGGATGGCTTCCCGGATGAGCCGGGTGTATTCCTCCCCAAATAGCCAGGGTTCCCGCCGCTTGGTGTTCATGGTGGCGTGGCCACGGAAGAAAGGCTGGTAGGCTCCAGCCTGGTACCATCGCACTAGCAGCTCTGCCTCCGGATTCCCAATGAAGCCGCCTACGTCAGCTGATTAGACAGAGAGAGAGGCTGAGTGAGGCAGAGAGGCCCAGTGAGGCAACCAGGCTTCTAACAAACGTTGCACCCAGGTAAGATAAGGGCTTGAAGACTGCCAGGACAAATGTGCTGTATGTGCACTTATAAAATCCCAGAACAACACTGTGGCCTGAAATTAGGGGGCACATATTTAAAAACTTTGCCTGTTTGGGGGATCTGACTATATTCTCTTTGAATCCTCTCTTATCAAAAAGGTCTGAGGTTTGGGGAGCCTGGGTGGCTCAGTTCCTTAAACATCTGCCTTCCAGGGTCCTGGGATCAAGCCCCTCACTGAGCTCCAAATTGGGCTACCTGCTCAGAGGGGAGCCTGCTTGTCTCTCTCCCACTGCCCTTCCCCCCCCTGCTTGTGCTCTGTCTCTCAAATAAATAAATACAATCTTAAAAAAAAAAGTCAGAGGTTTTACTACAAGATCAAGATTTTTGTATGTTCCCAAACCTAGAAATTGCAAAATGTTGACCTTATTCATTACGTCTGTGTTTAGTAGTGTGGTGGGGGTTTTGGCAATTGATTTTTTTTTTTTTTTTTTTTTTAGTATATGTGCTGCCGAAGCGAGCACTGATTTCTTTTTTTTTAAGATATTATTTACTTGACAGCGAGCGAGCACACGCAGGGCGAGTGGTAGGGAGAGGGAGAGAGAGAAGTGGGCCCCTTGCTGAGCAGAGAGCCGGAGGTGGGGCTCATTCCCAGGATCCTAGCCTAAGGCAGACACTTAACCAACTGAGCCACCCAGGCACCCCTTGATTTCCGTTTGAAAGCAGTAGCTCAAGAAAGATAAAAATTGTAGAACTAAAGAAAAACAATCAGAATTAGAAATTTTAGGTATAATTTCATGTTTAGTCCTTAAGCAGGATACATATTCCTTGTATGTGGACCAATGCCATAAGAAAAACATCTATCAAAAAGTGATGTTAGGGGTGCCTGGATGGCTCAGTTGTTGGGCGGCTGCTTTCGGCTCGGGTTGTGATATTGGGGTCCCCCATGGGGCCCACATGGGGCTGCCTCCTTGGCGGGAATCCTGCTTCTCCCTCTCCCACTCCCCCAGCTTGTGTCCCCTCTCTCGTTGTGTCTGTCAAATAAATTTTAAAAATCTTAAAAAAAAAAAGTGATGTTAACTTCTATTCCTACAGAAAACAAGGAGCAGCAGGAACTATTCATATGCTGAGCACCCTCCATATTGAGATTTCTCATCTGCAGAGAATTACTAGGATTTAGGGAAGGCAGTCCATCAGGGAATCGTATTTTAACTAAATTTATCTTTCCCAAGAGCATATCTTTTTTTTTAAGTTAAAATATGTCATAAAATTTTAAACCTGCTGAGTAAAAAGCATTTCTGTAAGGCTGATTTCTGATTTGCTAAATTCTTTGTACTCTCCATTTTTCTCACTTTGAAGAAGAAAAGGTGTATTTCAGGATAAGAAATTCAGTTCTCAAGAGCATCTAAGGAGGAATCAGAAAAAGAGGGAAAGAAGCACTCGGGATCTCTGATTGACTTTATTTCATGTCCTCATTTCAGACAAGACAAACTGGAAGCGTCCTTTCACTTTCCTCATTTTCTTGTTCCCACAGTTATCCCTGCTGGAAACTGCTAATGAGAAGGCACTTATGACCAGCCTTGACGGAAAACACCCTTGCTTTTTATTTTCTCTCACTTCAAGCCTGCAGATATCATCTTACCTCCGCAAAAAGAGATCCCAGTAATGCTGAGGGTGAGCAACATAGGGATAGAAATTTTCAGGTAGCTCCATTCTGCTGTGTTGTCACCTGTCCACACAGCACCTTGGATCACCGGTAACAAGGTATTAAAAAAAAAATCACAAATCAGCCCATGCAGTCAATTTCATAGATTCCTTATTTGAAATAGACAATATAAGGGAAAACATTTCTTTCTGACCTTAAAATATATAAATTCTGGTTTCTGCAATGAAAATATATTAATCTTCTAATGTGAAGAAGTTCTTAAAATCTTTTCACATTTTGTGAAAAATGTTCTGAAATGGCACTTATTTTTTTGAAGTATAACTCCAGCCTGATTTTAGGAGAAACATTTAAAAAATCAACTTTACTGGGAGCGCCTGAGTGGCTTAGTGGGTTAAGCCTCTGTCTTTGGCTCAGGTCATGATCTCAGGGTCCTGTGATCAAGCCCCGAAGTGGGCTCTTTGCTCAGCAGGGAGCCTGCTTCCCTTCCTCTCTCTCTGCCAGCCTCTCTGCCTACTTGTGATTTCTGTCAAATAAAGAAATAAAATCTTTTTAAAAAAAATCAACCTTACTAAAATATAATTTACATATAATAAATGTACCTATTTTAAGTGAAGAGTTTGATGAGTTTTGAAACCTGTAACTGTCACCACAAGCAGGGTACAGAACCATTTCCTTAATTGTAAAAGATTACATGGGCTTCTTCGTAGTGAATAATCCTCCACTTTACCCAACTGTTGATCTGAGTTCTTGAAGTCTTTTCCAGAATTTCATATAAACGGTAACATAAAACATACTATTTTGTGTTCTAGTTTTTTTCACTCAGCATGATGTTGTAGCTTATTTCTTTTTATTTGATTAATAGTATTCCATATATGGATCTACCACAAGTTGTTTATCCAATCACCTACTGAGGGACATCTGAATTCTTCCCAAGTTTTGGCTATTATGAAGAAGCTGCTATAAACATTTGTGTCTTTGCATGACGTACGTTTTTTATTTCTCTTGGGTAACTAGTTGGGAGGGGAATTGGTGGGTCTATGTTCAGTGTATGTTGAACACTTAAAAAACTCCAGCGGCACCTGGGTGGCTCAGTGGGTTAAAGCCTCTGCCTTAGGCTCAGGTCATGATCCCAGGGTCCTGGGATCGAGCCCTGTATCGGGCTCTCTGCTGGGCGGGGAGCCTGCTTCCCACCTCCCACCCCTGCCCCGCTCTCTGCCTATTTGTGATCTGTCTGTCAAATAAATAAATAAAACCCTCCAAACTGGGGGTGCCTGGGTGGCACAGTCGGTTGGTTTCAGCTCAGATGGTGATCTCAGGGTGATGAGATCAAGCCCCGCATCAGACTCTGTGCTCAGTGTAGAGTCTGCTTAAGATTTTCTCTCCTCATCTCCCCACAGCACCCTGCCCCCCACCCTGCTTGTGCTCTCTCTCTCTCTCAAATAAATAAAATCTTTTTTTTTTTTTTTAAAGAAAACTTCAAAGTGTTTGGCACATGGCTATACTGCTTTTGCAGTATCAGTACATGACCATTTCAGTCACTCTACATTCTTGGCAACAATTGGTAGTGTCAGTCTTTTTAATTCTAGCTACTGTAATGGATGTGTAGTGATGTCTCTCTGTGGTTTCAATTTGTATTTCCCTACAGACTAATAAGGTTGAGCATCATTTCATGTATTTATTGATCATTCATGTGTCTTCTTTTGTAAAGTGTCTATTCAAATCTTTTCCTTATTTTTAAAAGTAGATGTCTTTATTTATTTATTTTTTAATATTTTATTTATTTATTTGACAGAGATCACAAGTAGAGAGGCAGGCAGAGAGAGAGAGAGAGAGAGAGAGAGAGAGAGAGAAGCAGGCTCCCTGCTGAGCAGAGAGCCCAATGCAGGACTCAATCCCAGGACCCTGAGATCATGACCTGAGCCGAAGGCAGTGGCTTAACCCACTAAGCCACCCAGGCACCCCAAAAGTAGATGTCTTTAACTGTAAAAGTACTTTACATATTTTAGATACAAGTTCTTTGACAGATATATATGTATATCGCAGATATTTTCTCTAATCTGTGGCTTGACTTTCATTTTTAAAATATCTTTGAAATGGTAGAGGTTTTTAATTTTGATGGAAGTACAGATTAGCACTTCTTTTCCGTTTATGGTTCATGCTTTTTGTGTTCTATCCAAGAAATCTTTTCTATCTCAAAATCACAAAGATTTTTTTATGTTTCCTTTTAGAAGTTTTTTGTTTTAGCTTTTATAGTTTAGGTCTATATTCCATTTCGAATTACTTTTTGGGTACTGAGAGGTAAGGGTCGAGATTTTTTCCCTCTCCTTCCTCCCCCCAACTCCTTACTCAGTGTTCTGACACTGTTTATTGAAAAACTCCTTTCTCCTCTGAATTGCCTTGGCAACTCTGTTCCTAATTAATTGATCATCTCTGTGTTGGACTCTTTCTGGATTCTTTATTCTGTCCCACTGATTTATATGTCTATTCCTCTACCCCCTCTCAAAAAAAAACCACAAAACCCTCTATAATTTAAGAGGAGTGGTACAGACTACATAAAGGAGACATCATAGTAGCAAAAAAGATAGTTAACGCTTACAAGCCCCTACTGAGCCAGGTGAGTCTACCTTGCATGTAGTAGCCCACTTGAATCATCACAACCCTACCGGGTAAGCACTATTTAACTTCATTTTACAGATGACATAAATATGGCAAATAGGGGTGGTTCCAATATACCCCCAGTAACACAGTTACTATGTGGTAGAGGCAGGACTAAGCTCAGGCAGTCTGGCTCTAAAGCCACTGCTCTTGATACTGTATAATAGAAAAGAATTTGTGAAGATAGATTATATACCATTAAAGAGATCTACAAAAGAAAAAAAAAGTCTTGTTTTACTAAATCTAGATTAGTCCTGAAGCATTTTTGTCTATCTTCTATCAAAATAGCTTTGGTAGCTATTTTTGTTTTAATCTTCCACAGAAATTTTTGGCTGTTATATGGGCAGCAAAGAAGAATCTTTTCGAGGGATCGTTTTTTTGTTTTTAAAGATACTCTAATAATTTCGCCTTGACTTCAAATGAGATAAAATGGTTTCGAAGTTGACATGATGGTATTCTCATTAAGAAAGAAAGTTCATGTAAAAGCATGCAGATCTTTTCATGTCTCATATGGTGTTCAGTCAGAAGCGCTCTCTGGCTATCAGTCTAAGCTTAACACTTGACACAGTAGTGTTCTCTGCAATGGGTCACTTGCCACACTTCAGGGCAGGCTGAGTTTCACACTGAGCACTGAAGGCTAGGCAGTAGGCCAATATTTAAGGGATCAGAGATTACTTAGTATGCATATCTTTTATCATCTTTTTTTAACTGCCACTTAAAAATGTTTTCATTAAAAACACTTGACTTTTTTAGTGATTAAAAATGACACTTGTAGAGAACATGGAAAATAGGGATAGGTAAAAAGAAGAAAATTTAAAAATCACTCATAATCACCAAGGTACTAAACTTACTGACTTTTTTTTTTTTTAAGATTTTATTTATTTGACAGAGAGAGATCACAAGTTGGCAGAGAGGCAGGCAGAGAGAGAGGGGGAAGCAGGCTTCCCGCTGAGCAGAGAGCCCAATGCAGGGCTCGATCCCAGGACCCTGGAATAATGACCGGAGCTGAAGGCAGAGGCTTAACCCACTAAGCCACCCAGGCACCCCTAACCTTACTGATTTAGATTCCTATCTATATTTTTAAAACAAAATCATGATAATATACTACAAACACATTTAAGCATTCTGCTTTTTTCCCCCCATTTATCATGATGTCACAAACATTTGCTCATGCAATTGAGGCTACAATTTTATTTTATTTTATTTTTTTAAAAGATTTTATTTATTCACTTGACAGAGAGAGATTACAAGTAGGCAGAGACGCAGGCAGGGGGGTAGGGGGAAGCAGGCTCCCTGCTGAGCAGAGAGCCTGATGCGTGGCTTGATCCCAGGACCCTGAGATCGTGGCCCGAGCTGAAGGCAGAGGCTTTAACCCACTGAGCCACTCAGGTGCCCTGAGGTTACAATTTTAAATAGTCTTAAAATAGTCTATCATATGCATATATCATATTTTTTATAAATATTCCTTTATTTGTATTTTATTTCATTTTTTGCTTCAGGAACCAATGTGGTGAGCATCTTTCTGCACATGAATCTTTGCCTGAGATGACAGTATTTTGGCCTTTTGAAGGGTGCCCCAGGGGCTGGTTTTCAGGGTTGGAAAATAATCATGTCTATAATACAGTAAAGGCTGGATTCTTCAAACTAGGACCTAAGCTCCCAGTTACTCAGGTAACTGGGCAGGGGACTTAAAATACTTAAACTAACAATATTAATTTAATTTAATTAATTTAACAGTATTATTAACTAAAATACTTAACTAACTTAACTAAACAGGGGACTTAAAATAGCCTTCCTGCTGAAAGGTGGCTAAGTTGAATTAGATCTGCATTAGCTAGTAAACTGAATCCAGTTATAGATGACCCTGACCAGAAGCAACAGCCAGGTCTATTTTAAGTCATGGCTAAGTGAAACAGGTGGTTGAGGGAATGTCTAAGAAGTGTATTTTCCCTGGTTTAGACAAATCGAACAGAATCAGAGATGACCATCCCAGCAAACTGAGATACTATGAAGTCATTCTCCCAGCAACTAAGTGGCCATTTCTTCAATGGGAAATAAGTAACTAAACTTTATTAAAATAGATGTGTCTCACAGGACAAAAGGCATACTTCAGGGCACGTCACTTGCTACAATCAAAGGTGTGCCCAATCGCCACAAATGGTTAAAAAAAAAAAAGTCTGCTAATTTAGGTTTAATTCTGATCGTATGTGCCATTCCTTACCATACTTTTGTGATCCAGCAAAGAAAGAACGGGTAAGAACAAAGGGTCTCTCCTTTCCCTTAGATCGTTGTATTAGTCCTTCTGCGGTAGCCATTTGCTACAAAGACAAAGGAGAAAAAATTTCAAAGGGATGAAGATTAGAGCATTGTGCAGACATCCCTAATAAGCTACTGGACATGCAAAAAGTAAATAGTAGGTGGGAAGGTAACATGGGAAATATGAAAATAAATCCACCAAATAATTTTCATGATGTAATGAAACTACTCTAAATTCTCCTATTAAGAGTGGAAAATTATCTTTGATCAAAATAGAAATAAAAATAGTAAATAATATGCTAACATATTCAATGCTTATTATAACTAGGTATTTTATAAAATTTTCTCATATACTCTATAGAACGTCTGAGATTGACCATTTTCATTGATTAAAAAAAAAAAAAACGAGAACAAAAAACTGAGATTCAGAGAGGTTAAATGACTGGACCTGGCTTACATAAGAAAATTCTCTGTAGTAGTTTGCAGTTATAGCAAGAGACTTTTAAAGAAGTAAACACATACTATCTGAACTATGCTATATGTAGCCAGTAACTCACACTGGAAAACAGACCAGTTGGTGGGAGGGCCACAGGAACACAGTCACAGTGAAAATAAGAAAGAACAATGGATATCAATTAGGGCAAATAATAACTGACTAATGTTTTGGATGTGATTGGCAAATGGAAGAAAATTCTACCACCTTCTAATGGGAAGGCTAAGTAGTTAATGAAGGCTTTCTACATTTAAAAACCCGTTTTTAGGGGTGCCTGGGTGGCTCAGTGGGTTACGACTCTTCCTTCAGCTCAGGTCATGACCTCGGGGTCCTGGGATTGAGCCCTGCATCTGCTCTCTGCTCGGCGGGGAGCCTGCTTCCCCCCCACCCTCTGCCTGCCTCTCTGCCTACTTGTGATCTGTCAAATAAAATCTTTAAAAAAAAAAAACCCTATTTTTAGAAATTCTACATCTATGTTCTAAATCTTTTAAAATAAGATTTTATTTATTTGACGAGAGAGACACAGAAAGAGAGGGAACACAAGCAGAGGGAGTGGGAGAGGGAGAAGCAGGCTTCCCACTGAACAGGGAGCCCAATGTGGGGTTCCATCCCAGGATCCTGGGATCATGACCTGAGCCAAAGGCAGATGCTTAACGACTGAGCTACCCAGGTGCCCCTCTATGTTCTAAATCTTATTCCCCTGGTATGAGACTTGCCATTTTAGACATTTGTGAAAGTTCATTAAAAAAAAAAAAAAAGATTTTACTTATTAGAGAGAGAGAGCAAGAGCACGAGTGGTGTGGAGTGCCAGAGGAAGAGAGAGAAGCTGAGCTGGGAGCCTGACTCAGGGTTCAATCCCAGGACCCTGGGATCATAACCTGAGCCAAAGGCAGATGCTTAACTGACTGAGCCACCCAGGAAGCCCCATTTGTATAATTTTAAAACATTTATTTTAACTGCCTTTGTTTATGTATTATACATTGCCTATTTTACTTCAAAAGAAGTTTTGAGGTATCCAATGCTATTTATTAATGACTCCTGTCAAGGAAGATCTTTCATGGTACCATTAATCTCATAACTCTGTAATTCATCAAGTTCATTAGAGAAAGAAAAGGGTGCAAAGAAAGAAATAAGTCCTGCATTGGCTACAACCTGGTAAGATCCATTGCAGTTATCAGAAAAGTCACACAAAGAGAAATGAACAACATAGTACGGCTATTACAAATGACTTTCAACCCAAAAGGCAGGGCACATGGGTCCAAGTGGCTTCTTTATGGATGTTTTACCTGATAAAAACCATAGATGTTGTGAAGTTCCCTGTGCTCCCAATTGCCATGATGAATGGCATTCTTCTGCATGGTTAGCTCTGGCCCTCTAAATACGGAGGGCTCATTCATGTCATTCCATATGTAGAGGATGTCAGTAGATCCCTAGGAAATAAATTTCTTCTTTGGTCAGTGCAATACTCCTATAGTGCTGATGTTAATATGATAGCCACCCTATTCCTCTTGTATACTCCATTTAATTTATTATTACTGTGTTTCTTATCTACGCTCTCTCTTTTGTCCCAGTGCTACAATAAAAGATCCACAGGGCAGGGAATTTTGTTCATAATAAATTCCAAACACCTAGAACAGTAGCTGAACACAGAAGGTTCCTGGTAAATATTTGTCGATGAATGAAAAAATGCTGGGTGGTATTGTCTGTGAAATACAACTGCCCAGCATGCCCACTCCAAGACTTACTCTGGCATACCCTCATACAGGAAAGGTTGTGAATGCTGACATTTAGATTCTAGAACATCCATCATCTGCTACAACTCTTAACTAAAGGCAATTAAAGCTTTCCATGATAAGATTCTGCCTTCCTTCTAATACTTTGAAAGATTGTTTTTTAATTAAAGATTTTTATTTTTATTTGCCAGAGAGAGAGAGAGTGTAAGAGCACAAGTAGGGGGAGCAGCAGGTAGAGGGAAAAGCAGGATCCCTATTGAGTAAGGAACCTGATGTGAGACTTGATCCTTCGACCCTGGGATCATGACCTAAGCCAAAGGCAGACATTTAACCGACTGAGCCACCCAGGCGTCCCTACTTTGAAATGGTCTAGAGTTTGTGTTCTACACAGAATTTTCAATTTAGAGTAGGAAAGGGCTGCTGAGTCATCTAGTTAACATGGTGTTGAAATCCCTTTTATAGACTCCCTGGTCTCTGAGCATGTGACTCAGTAGCAACAGGGACAGGGACAGTCCCTCAGGAAGCTCATTCCATTACTTTCTAAAAGTCCTGCCCTTGTAACATCCTCTTAGTGGGCCTGGCTTGCCTTCTGGGATGCCACAGAGTTCATGGGCTGTCTCACACACATGCCAGTTGTTCAAATGCCTAGGGGAGACTTATGTATATTCTTTTGACTCTTTATATTCAACTATTTCTAAACATGTATACTTTTTTTTTAATTAATTGTTTTTACTAACATACACTGTATTATTTGCCCCAGGGGTACAGGTCTGTGAATCGTCAGGCTTATACACATGAACAAGGCTATATGCTTTCCAAATATTTAACTACTTTAACTCCCTTTCTGTAGCACTCTCCAAGTCAGGGGTTGGCAAATGTTTTCTGGAAAAGGCCAGATAACTTTTTCTACTCTTCTGACTATAGGCCTCTTTTTCAATAACTCAACTCTGATATAGTGTGAAAACAGCCACAGACAGTAGAGAAATGAGTGAACATGGCCAGATTTCGCCTGTTAGGTATCCCTGCTCTAAGTTGTTTTCTGTGTCCTAATACATGATACTGAGAACCAGAGTTTAGTGGTTAAGATCGGACGTGAGAGACAAACAGACTGAATTCAAATCTTGGGTCCACCACTTACTGACATGGGTTAACTGAGCAGGGTTCTGTTTTTTTTTTTTTTTTTCTTAAGATTTTATTTATTTATTTGACAGATCACAAGTAGGCAGAGAGACAGGCAGAGAGAGAGGGGGAAGTAGGATCCCCGCTGAACAGAGAGCATGATGCGGGGCTTGACCCCAAGACCCTGGGATCATGACCTGAGCCTAAGGCAGAGGCTTATCCCACTGAGCCACCCAGGCACCCCTGATCAGGGTTTGAAACTTGTTCATATATCAATTTCCTCATCTGTGGGATTAGAATTATAGCTCCAACTTCAGAAGTATTTGTGAAGATGAAATGGTAAAATGTACAGAAACTGCTTAGCACAGAGTTTGGCACACAGCAAATAATTCAATTTATACGAGGCATCACTATCCTCTTCAAAATTGGCTGAAAACCATTCTCTACAAGTGACCTCTCTGGGGTTCTTAGAATATTTTAAGGATTGATTTATTATTATACCTTTTTAATTTCAAGTTTTATTACACCTTTTTAAAAAAGATTTTATTTTTTTATTTGAGAGCGAGAGAGAGAGCAAAAGCAGGTAGAGGGGCAGAGGTAGAGGGAGAGGGGGAAGCAGGCTCTCCACTGAGCCAGGAGCCTGATGTGGGGCTTGATCCCAGGACTCTGTGATTATGACCCGAGCCAAAGTCAGATGCTTAACTGACTGAGCCACCCAGGCACCCCTAAACCTTACCTTTAATGTCACATTACACTTTGCAAGATATTCTCATAAATACCTTATCATCATCTTTAAATAAGCTATAGAATATTATTTTATGTAAAGTTTATGTATTAATTTGGAAATACAAATGTCTTATTAAGTACTTTGATATGTCACAGAGTCTATTATAATGGAGGTAAAAGTCACAGGTTTTGTGCATTTGGTAATTAATATGCCACCTTTCCTGGTCATTAAAGTCTGTAATGTGGGTGCCATCCTTGTGTTTTCATCCAAGAATTATTTATCAAGAGCTACTCAACAAAGTAGAGTAGTTCTATTCAATCATGTTTTTTCTTCTTTCATCCTTCCAAGTAACTAGGAAACAGCAAAAGAACAAAAACAAACCTGATAAGCAGAGAAAGTGAAAAGACCTGAATACCACTCTCTGACTTTGGGATTGGTGAAATCCAGGTAAGAGGAGAGACCTGTAGAGGCAGAAGAGTAGACTGTGAGAAACAGTGGTGCTCATGCTAGGATGTGTGGTAAAGATGTGAAAGCTGGCTGATCACGGGGCATCTCAGACGTAAGACAGATGATGCAGAGGCACCATCTGGCAACAAGCGAAGGCAGGCCATGCTGGACTCCAGTGATAGTCACTAGACCTCCCAATCTGAGAGGCCCAGGGGAAGGCCAACGAACAAGCATCCAGATGGAGCTTGTCCCTCACAGATGGCCCAAGACAGCCCAAGTAAGCATGGCAAATATCCTAGAGTGACCCTTCTGTCCTTAAAAGAGAACGAAGTGTTCATGAGTGGTGTAAGGGGAAAGGAATGCATGGGGTGTCTCTGCAGCACATGAATTTGTGACTGAGTGCCAGGATATGACGGAGTTTGTCCTCAGGTTTCTACCAACGCTTGAAACTAATAATTTCTGAAACAAAGAATCCAGAGTTGCTGGAAGCAGCTGAGGTCCCTCATGAAAGCCTGGGAAGTCACAACTGTGGGCTAACAAGGCTCAGAAAATTCACAGGGAGAGACTGTGAGAACTCTTTTTATTTTCTTCTCTTCTCCGTTTCTTATTCCTTGGCTTTTTATTTTTGTTTGGTTAGAGAAATAGAGTGCTTATTTTTTTATTCATTCATTGATAAATGTATACAAAGCACACTGTACCAGATGTTAGGGCAGAGAGAGAAGAAGGTAATACCCTCTCTTTCTTAATGGTCCTTACACTGTGGCAAGGGACATCTTTAAGAAATGAGGGTGACGGCCATGCAACCTTCATTAATTGGGACTAAAGAAGTGAAATTAAAAAGTGCATAAAGTGCTATCTTACCAGGCCAGCAAACCCCTTCAAAGTCTCCTCCTTCATGATTCTTCACAAAGAAGCCCTGTTCTTTGGCCTTAACATACACTGAGTAGTCAGGATCAATCTTGATGTGGGGGTCACTGATGACCACAAGCTGTCCAGACACAGAGGTTTGAAAAGCTCATCAGTTTCATATGAGTTATAAGTTTCAGGCTTTCATCATAGTTTTGGGGTTCAAATTTTATTCAAATAATTACTAGGATTGAAATATTTAAGACATCAGGAAAACCCTATCACTTTTCATGCTTATGGAAACTGAACTGGTATCAAAACCAGGCCAGTGCTCTTTTATAATTATTGCTGCCCAGCCAGTACATGTTCTCAACATAGCAGTTACTAAGCTTCTGTCTGAGGTGCTGGGTGCTATACCTAAAGGAGTCATCCTTGCTCCCTAAACATCTAGAGGCTAACACTGACAAAAGCAAACATTAAAGAAAAGAAAACAAAAACAACCCAAAACCCAATGGTATAGACTTATTTAGGAAGGAGGTTTGAGAAGAGCTGTGATCACAGCTCTGTGTCTTTATTATTGCTATACCTTTCTAATGCCCTCACTTCTGAGTCTAGGGCCTCAAAACTCTTTATTTGGTTAGAACAACCTTCTCATCATCCTTCCTCAAGTCTATTCACATTTATTCTACACACTGAAGTTTTTTTTTTTTTAAGATATTTTCTTTTTTTTTCAAAAATTTTTAAATTTATTTTCAGCATAACAGTATTCATTGTTTTTTGCACCACACCCAATGCTCCATGCAATCCGTGCCCTCTCCAATACCCACCACCTGGTTCCCCCAACCTCCCACCCCCTGCCCCTTCAAAACCCTCAGATTGTTTTTCAGAGTCCATAGTCTCTCATGGTTCACCTCCCCTTCCAATTTCCCTCAACTCCCTTCTCCTCTCTAACTCCCCTTGTCCTCCATGTTATTTGTTATGCTCCACAAATAAGTGAAACCATATAATTGACTCTCTCTGCTTGACTTATTTCACTCAGCATAATCTCTTCCAGTCCTGTCCATGTTGCTACAAAAGTTGGGTATTCATCCTTTCTGATGGAGGCATAATACTCCATAGTGTATATGGACCACATCTTCCTTATACTGGGTATTTACCCCAAAGATACTGGGTATTTACCCCAAAGATATAGATGATGTAGTGAATAGAAGGGCCATCTGTACCCCAATGTTTATAGCAGCAATGGCCACGGTCGCCAAACTGTGGAAAGAACCAAGATGCCCTTCAACACACTGAAGTTTAATTCTCCATTGCTCAAACCCTTAAAAAACTTTTAATTGTGGTAAATTATACATAACATAAAATTTACCATCTGAACCAATTTTATGTATAGAGTTAAGTAGTGTTAAATATATTCATGGTATTGTACAATGCCCAGAACTCTTTCCATCTTGTAAAACTGAAACCCTATACCCATTAAAAATAACTCCTCAGGGGCGCCTGGGTGGCTCAGTGGGTCCTGGGATCGAGCCCCACGTCGGGCTCTCTGCTCAGCGGGGAGCCTGCTTCCCCCTCTCTCTCTGCCTGCCTGTCTACTTGTGATCTCTGTCAAATAAATAAAATCTTTAAAAAAAAAAAAAAAAAAAAACCTCCTCATTCCCTCCTCTACCCAGCCACCATTCTTTCTGTCTCTATGATTTTAACTACTCTAGGTATTACAGATTACTGAAAATTATATAGTATTCATCTTTTTGTGAGTACTTTATTTCACTTAGCATAATGTCCTTAAGGTTCATCCATGTTGTAGTATATATCAGAATTTCCTTTCTTTTCAAGGCTATATAATGCTCCATTGTATATATGTATGTACCACATTTTGTTTACCCAATTGTCTGCTGATGGACACTTGGTTTGCTTCTACCTTTTAGTAATTGTGAATAATGTGGATATGAACATGGACTTATCTGCATGAGCACATCAGCTGAAGTACCTGCTTTCAGTTTCTTTGAGTATATTCCCATAAGTGGAATTCCTGGATCATATGGTAATTTTATTTTTAATTTTTTAAGGAACCACCATACGTTTTCTGTAGTGGCTGCACCATTTTCTGTAGTTTTCTGTAGCGGCTGGACCATTTTACATTCCCATGGTTAGTGTTCCAGTTTCTCTACCTCCCCTCCTCACTTAGTATTTTCTGGTTTTTCATAGTAGCCATCCTAATGGTATGAAATGTTATCTCATTGTGCCTTTGATTTGCATCTCCCTAAAGATTACTGATGTTGAGCATCTTTTCATGTGCTTGTTGACTATTTGTATATCTTCTTTGAAGAAATGTCTATCAAGTCGTTTTCCCAATTTTTAATGGGGTTGTTTGCTTTTCGTTGTTGAGTTGTAGGTGTTCTTCATATATTCTCTATACTAACCCCTTATTCAAAAACTTTTAATGTCTCCCAAATGTATACAAAGCAGCCTACAGTAAGTTCAGATTCCCCACTACTCAAACCTTGCACATGCCTTTTCTTGCCAAACCAATCTGTGCATGTTTTCTAAACAACACTGGCTGCTTCAGCCTCTAGCTGCACTGTCTCCTCCCCCTCCCCACTTCTCATCTAGAGACTCATCCCTCAGGGCTCATCTAAAATGCATACGCTCAGCGTGAGTCCAGCTGGATGCAATCTTCTTTCTCCTAGGCTACTCCTGACCCTGACCTTTCTTTGGCTGTTGTATTATTGCCCAATATTGTGGTTGCTATACACCCGCCTCTCCCCTACTCACTGTAAGACCCCAAGGAGCTCATCTTTGCATTCCCTTCATCTTTAGAATAGCATTTTGAACATTTGACGGTTTCAATAAATAGTTGCTTGTAAGAGCATGGGTTCTGGAGTCAGGCAGATCAGAGTTCAGATTCTTGCTCTACTACTTACATGCTTTTGTGCAAAATACAAAACTATTCTTAGCCTTAGTTTCTTCATCTGAAAAATGGGCTAACAAGATCTACCTTTTAATCTTGGGATGACTGGATAGAATAATGTATTCTCTCAAACTCTCTGGCCCATAGTAAGTACTTGCCAAATGGTAGCTATTTATTAATTGGGAAGTTAGGAGAATGGGAATGAAGAATCTGACTCCATTTCTGATTGACTGTTAACAGCTTTCAAGCCCTTCCATCCCCCCTCACATTCTGCCCACATCAGACAAAGAAAGCCCTAATGCTTCCTCCTTGGGTGCCAGTGGGAAGTTCAAACCACACCAGCCCTGGGCACACATAGGAATCCCCACCCCAGTCCAACCCTCTAACCACTGTAAAAGCTAGCTGTTTCCATTCCCAGATCTCTCAAGCCATCTTCAGACCAGCCTGGGAGTCAGCCCTACTCTCCAGAATGCCTCACTATGTGACTACTTAACCTTTCCAGACCCTGTGGTGTTGATGTGATGTCCTCAATCTTGAGATTGATGCTGACATCAGAACCACATTTTGCTTTTGGGGTATCCATCATATCCCTACAGGTGGCCACAACAAATGGGACGGAAGGCTAGACCCTGTTATCCTGTGGGGCCCTAGACAGCTATGGCAGGGATGATGGTGAGGCCATCTTTCCATCACTGCTTTCCTGTTATCACAGTTGCAATTATATTATAAGGAACTATTTTCATGGCCATTTTTTATCTGACGGCTCTACTCCACTATTGTGCCAGGGCAAGTTTTGTTTTTTTTTTTAAAGATTTTATTTATTTATTTGACAGATCATAAGCAAGCAGAGAGGCAGGCAGAGCGAGGGGGAAGCAGGCTCCCCGCTGAGCAGAGAGCCCGATGTGGGTCTCAATCCCAGGACCCTGAGATCATGACCTGAGCCAAAGGCAGAGGCTTTAACCGACTGAGCCGCCCAGGCACCCCAAGGCAAGTGTTAAAAATTAAACAAGTGCTTTGTAATTAAGAGGTTTCCAAGGGTTGGCTTATTTTACCTTACGGTTTTTGCTTCTGAGCAGCTCTTGCATCCCTTTGGGGTTTGGGAATCTTTTCTTGTCCCAAGTGAAGTACCTTTTGCCCTCGGTATGCTCTATGTCCAGCCACATGACATCATAAGGAATGTCATGTTCATCAAATCCTGCATCCACCGCCTTTACATCCTGCTCATCCTCGTAGTTCCAGCGGCACTGATGGTACCCCAAGGAGAAGAGAGGGGGCATGGCTTGTGTGCCTGAAAGGGGAAGATGACAACTGAGCTGGCTACCACTACAGTGATTATTATATATTTGATAAACATTTTCTGAATGTCTACAGAGTCTAAGCACTGAGCTTGGTACCCAGCATATCAAGGAGAATAAAACACAATCCTTACACTCAAGAAAGTGACAATTTGGTTGGTGAGGCAGAATGTACATTAACTGCTCCACTCTGAGGTGTAACTGCTGTGTTAAAGGTAGCAGTCTAGTGTTATGGGAATACAGAGCCTGCAGTAAAGTGTGGAGTCTTAAAATACTTCATAGAGGTAGTAACACTTGGTTGGGCCTTGAAGGTCAAATAGGAGGAATCTACCAGAGACAACAGATAGAACACTTAGGCACAGGGAATAGAAAAGACACAGACACAGAGGCAGAGAAGTACATGATAAGCTTCTAGGATGGTTACACTGTGAGAGAGACCAGTAGAAGATGAAACTGGAGAGAGTCAATTTGTAAGGGGCTCTGTAGTTCACTCTAGGAATTCTAAATCTCTTATGGGAAGTTATCAAAAAGTTTGGTAATATGTAACCTTAGCAGGCCTACATTTTAGAAAAATTAGTGAGGGAGCAGTATTGAGACTGACTTAAAGGGAAAGAGACTAAAGGCAAGAAACACTCAAATTATTATAAAAGTATTTACTGACAATATGGAGGACTTCTGGTCAACCACTTGCATTTATCTCCTTTCCCTCCTAAATTCCCAATAAAATCCGAGTAGAAGAAAGAAAAAAAGAATAAAGCTACAAGAACAAAGAGAATGAGAGAGGAGTAATTTCAAGAAAATTTTAGAAGGTGGAAGGCAGGGGAGGAAAGGTAACCACTGAGCAAAGTGAGGGAAGCTCTCACCAGAGTGCTTGTGAGGTGGATACTGATGAGAAGAGATCACCCTGCGCCCAGCACACTAGCAGATGGGAGACCATTCCCGACACCCACCCCAATTTCCAACCCCAGTACCAGAGTACTTCTAGGTAGAACCTTATTCAAATCTTTGAAAATCAGAAGGCCCCACATATAGAAATACAATAAAAAGACCTCTGAGAAAACAAAGACAATACAAGAAAACAAAATAAATATCAAAACGTTATCATCAGGGGTGCCTGGGTGGCTCAGTGGGTTAAAGCCTCTGCCTTCGTCTCAGGTCATGATCTCAGGATCCTGGGATTGAGCCCTGCATTGGGATCTCTGCTCAGCAGGAAGCCTGCTTCCTCCTCTCTCTCTTTGCCTGCCTCTCTGCCTACTTGTTATCTCTATCTGTCAAATAAATAAAATCTTAAAAAAAACAACAACGAAAAAGTTATCATCAGTACCTTCGGGGAGATAAAAAGATACAGCACCCATGAAATAGACTAGTATAAGATACTGGGAACAAGGAATAATCAGAGGATAAGAAAAAGTATGAAGAAATTATAGACATATAACATAAATGGAAGGTCTAGAAGATAAAATTGAGAAAATTGCTCAGAAAAAAGGGAGATTATAAAATCTGTACAGTTGAAAGAGAAAAGGAAGGGAAGAAATTGTCAAAAGAATAATGATTGCTTTCCAAAATTGAGGAACACATTTCTCAAGACTGACAGAATCCACATCTAATACCCAACACCATAATTATTTAAAAAGATCCATATAAAGGCATTTTATTGTCAAATTTCAGAATTTCAGAATATCAGAAATTTCAGAACATATTTCAGAGAGAAAAGACCTATCATAAACAATTCAGAGTGATTTTTGAGCAAGAAGATAGAAGGTAAAAGAGAAATGCCTTCAAATTCTGAGAGAAATAATTTTCAATCTAGCTAGCCAAATGATCAATCAAGGGTGAAGGTAGAAAAAGAGATGTTTTTGTACCTGCAAAGATGCAAAAAGTATACCTCTAATGCACACTTTCTTAGGAAACTCCCAGGATGACAGCTGTGCAGGGAGCCCAGAGAGAACCCCAATGGGGGCAGGACAGAAAGATCTGGGAAGGAAGTCTCTGGGGAGGAAAGTGAAATGAATACAATATGACACTCTTGATTATTTGAAAAGTATAAGCACTAAATATTGAGTTAAGCAAAAATAAAGATGTAACTGTAATGATATTGGGAAAGAAGAAAGAGCGATCTGATTGAGTTAAATCCTCATCAACAGATAATCTATAAACTTAAAACTTGGCTTTCCTTGGACATGGTGGTATATCCACTGTTTCTGAAGCATTTTCCTATAAACTAGTCTTAGAACAGTGTTGAAGGGGCCTGTAGGTGGGCCTTTACAGTACTTTTTCCTCTATGAGTGTCTTTCCATATCTATAGATTTTTGGTCATTTCTTCCAAGTTGGAATTAAATTCTTCCTCCTCAACATGGGCTGGATCGAGGGACTTTTAACAGAATGCAGCAGTAGCAATGCTGCATTACTTTTATTTGTAACAGCTTTATTGAGATATAACTCACATATCATAAAATTCAACCAATTAAAGTATAAAGTTCAATTTGGGGGGATATATTACACTACCATTTTTTAAAAAGTGGCAAAAATATATAATACATAAAATTGGCCATTTTAACCATTTATTTAGGCCTTTTAAATTTCTTTCAGCAATGTTTCATAGTTTTAACCACCTACTTGGTTAGAGATATCCTTAGGTAGTTTATTCTTTTGGATGTTATAAAGGGAATTGTTTTCTCAATTTCTTTTTTAGATTGTTCATTGCTGGTCTACAGAAACACAACTGATTTTGTGTGTTGATTACAGACCCTGCAACTTTGGTGAATTTCTTTATTAGTTCTGGAGTTCTTTGTGGATTCTTTGGGATTTTCTAATATCTTGGATCATATCATCTGTGAAAAGAAATAATTTTACTTCTTCCTTTTCAATTTGGATGCCTTTAATTTCTTTTTCTTGCCTAACTTCGCTGGCTGGAATTTCTAGTACAATATTCAGTAGGAGTGGTGAAAGTGGGCAGCCTTGTCTTGTTTCTGATCTTAGGGGAAAGCTTGCAGTCTTTCACCCCTGAATAGGGTGTTAACTGTGGATTTTTCATAAATGCCTTTTATCATATTGAGGAAGCTTCCTTCTATTCCTAGCCTTCTGAGAGTTCTGATCATGAAACAGTGTTGGATTTTGTCAAATGCTTTTTTCTGCATCAACGAGATGATCTTTACATCTTTTAAAGATAAAATGCTTTAGTGCTAAAGCCAGTGGTATGTTTTAATGGAGAAGAGAACATAGAAAAGTTCAGGTTGGGACACTGATTGTCTGAGATGAAGGCAGAGAAAGCCCACAACTTAAAGGGTCTGAGGAAAGCAAATGGAGAGTATTAAGGATCAGAGAGTAGAGCACTCTAGCTCCAGGATATTTTACCAAGCTGAATGGGATGAAGGTGGAAGGAGAAACGTTTGTTTCTTGAAAAGCTTGGGTAAATTGTGTATACATTCTATATGGGTGCGACAAATATTAACTTACAGCGATGATACATATAAGAGAGGAATTATAATGGGATAAGAGGCTAGCGCTTCCACATGCAAGTACCTGTAAGGTATGAGTACTGCTTGAAGACGTCAGAAGGCGTAGGTCCTGTCAGCAGAAAGACATCAATGATTCCACTCTCTGACATCCAGTGCACATCAGTTCGACATCTGACCTTTTGCTTAGCTGCAACAGGGCCCATCTGGGTTACCGTGTACTAGAAAAAGAATGGAATGAAGTTCTAAGGAATTTCCCTCATATTGTAATATGTAAGTATCATCCATAGGTCAGTAACAGGTACATATTATTAACTTTCATTGATTATACTGCAAAGGCTTTGGTGGCAGAAAATTGTCACTACAAAGTCCAGAGCTAGAACTACACTGGTTTTGTTTCCTACATGAGCATGGCATACAGCCACGATCCATAAGCTCACCTTTACTGCAGGCTCCGTATTGATCTCCACTAGAGTTTCGGAGGCATTGAGCCAAAAAATGCCTAGAGTTCTGCCTAGTTTGTGGGCCAGGAGATAAGGCACTGAACCATAAATGCCCATTTTGTCATGTATTTTATATCCATAGACGTCCAGGTTATAAAGACGGTAAGCATCACCATCACTGAAACACACAAAGATGGACTATCAGTAGTTATAATCACAAATATATTATCAATGAATAGCATAGTTCCAATCTCCCCTGCAAACACTTGAGTCCTATGCATCTTTCAAGGCTCAACTCTTAACACTTCCCTAACCCAAACATGGTTGATATGATTCCCTCCTTTGATTCCTTTAGCCTCCACTCCTGTGACAATTGGCATGCACAGCCTCATATCTTAGATATCTCTTTCGAATATCTCTCATGAGGTGAGGACTGTTTCCTGTGACTTCTCCACAATAGCAAGAACAGAGCAGATATAATTGGCAAATTTTGTATTTCTCCAATGCCAGCACAAAATGACAGTCTCTTAACATACTTCCACAGTGCTGAGTAGGGAAAGATGAGGAACTGAACTGGGGTGGGGAGGCCAAAGCTTGGCTTGGTGTGTGAGCAGCACAGTTTCTGATTCGCTTGTGACCATGCCCACCTGTTGACCAGTTGTGCAAACAGCATCTCAACCCAGCAAACTTGATCAGACTCTTCTTTTTGGTTTGGCTTCCTCTCAGTCTGATACCTCTGGCATTTACTTGTCAATAGTGTTAGTTTGAAATGATCTCCCTGAAGGAATCAAAGGTTACATGAGATGCAACACTTTTCCATTCTCTGGCTCACTGTCCTTTTTTGGTAGGAGACTTTTTCTAGGTCAGTGATTTTCACAGGATATTCTCTCAGGTTCCACAGAGAGGCCTTGAGGAGTGAAAGCAAAACCTGGAGAAGTGGTGTGATGAGGCTATCTCCCCTATTTTAACCACAATCGTTCCATATTTTTATTTCCTCTGTATATTTTAGGTTCAGCATTACAGTTTTTAAAATGTTCAATTTTTTGCCGAAAAAAATAAGATAAAAATTAAGAACCACTGCTTTTAAAGATCTACAAGCAGTATCAAGGAGGAAAAGGCTAGGCACATATTGGCCCAGGTTCAGACAACTCAAATGTTTTCCCTTCAAAGTTTTCCAGTCTAGAAACCAGAGCATCCTCTAAGAATTTTTCACTTTACCTAGTATTTTTAAGTTGGTGTGAGTCTGCATGTTGCGGGATCCCATAGAGATGCTCAAATCCATGCAAGGAGAAATCCAAACCAATGGAGGCAGGACCTATAGGGACCAGAATACTGAGTTTTGCTTCTCTGTGGGACAATCAATTAAGGAGACTCATTTACCTGTGACTAGGGATCGAGAGACCTGAACTTGGCCTGATCAGTTAGCAAATCACGTGTGTGCTCTTTCTCAATTAGCAATAATTGCACCTCGGATAAACCTCATTGGCTATGATACTGCCACTGCACAAAGCTTGTGTGCCCTTTCTATAAGATGTTACATTCAGGTACTGTGGGGATGCAAACATGCACAAGGCAAAGTTCTGGTGACTTAGTAGTGTTTCTTTAGCTATGTGCTGAAGCTCTTCATGTCCTCATTTATAGTAAATCTCCTTTCTATCTGTAACATATGGCTATGAAGTTTTAGATTTTTTTCTAATCTAAATTTTCCTAAAATGTATTGCATGCTTCTTTACATTAGGAAACAAAGGATATTGAGCAATTTTAATGTTCACTAGATAAAAGACTGGGTGTCTTCTCATGATCATTTATTCTTATTACATACAGGGACAGTAATGTAAAAAGTACCAGAAAGATCTTTTCTGGCTCCTCCCTGTGATTGTAGATAGGTAAATTTTTTTTTTTTTTAAACCAGAGACAAAGTCCTTTATTTAACAATTATTTTAGAGATATGGGGAAAAATGCAAGTAACTAGGAGAAATAAGAGACTTAAATTCACTCTTAGGGAAAAGTAGTGGATGTGAAATGGTCTTTATTTAAAGGAATTTATGGAAAAGGGGTGCTATAGAGAAGGTAAAAGAGATTATGATGTTACAGAAAGGAAAGCCCGATGGCCCCCCTACTTATAAATTTTGGACATGTTGTCAGTCCTAATCATTATCCTAGGCTATAGATCCAGATGCTAGAACAGAAATTCTCAAGATGTTAGGGAAGATCTGTTATCCTACTGGTAGGAGGGAGGAGGAGAGTATTTTTTCCAACTCGATAAGCCCCAAGTGTTTGAACTGTATTTCCTAAGAGACAAACTCCACCCCCACCCCCACCATCACTAAATCTAGTGAGAAATGTCACAGATGGGCATGTGATAAACATGTGAATGATGGGGAGGCCTGGAGAAGGTTGAGAACCAATGGCTTGCAATATTGGAGCTAATGAGCTCTAGAACTTCATTTTTCATCACTTGACTCTCATAAAAATAGAATGTGAAATTTGTGGCTGTCTGATATACTGAGTAGTACTAGCAGTGTGCTGACCTAGGCCCCTAACATATCATCAACTCCATGAGGCCTATACTTCTCTTACATTCCCCACAAAAGGTACACATGCACTCTTTCTCTGTTGCAGTGCATTACTGAATAAAGGACCCAAATCTGAGATTTCTGTTCCCCTTACAGAAATCACTTGTTTGGGCCAAGGCTCAGGGACTTTAGGTAGCAATATTTAGCCATTTTTGGCAAGATCTGTTTAATACTACAATTTCAACTTTACCATTAACTTTAATATCCACAAATTTTCCGAATTTCTCCTCCCACAGATCTTTTGGCAAGATCTGTTTTAATACTACAATTTCAACTTTACCATTAACTTTGATATCCACAAATTTTCCAAATTTCTCCTCCCACAGGCCCAGATCGTCTTGGTCTTCCTGATGGCATAAGAAAAACAAACTGAGTTTATACACTGCAACAAATGTGGTTACCACAATAGTACATTTTATTTGGATTGTTAAAAAACTAGACTGAGAAAATGAGTATCTTTTAAAAGACCTGTCCGTGATGACAGTACATTTGACAAATTTGATCTGTGTTCTATATAAATCCCAGCAATCATCCTCCTTATGAACTGCAGCTGACATGAATATGACTTTTTATTGTGGTAGACTAGACATAACATAAAATTTACAATTTTAACTATTTTCCACTTCAACCAGTTTATTTTTTTTTTATTTTAAGTAATCTCACACCCAACATGGGGCTTGAACTCACGTCCCTGAGATGAGGAGTTACATGCTCTACCAACTGAGCCAGCCAGGGCCCCCCCCACCATTTTTTTTCATTTTTTACCATGTTAAAGTGACATTAAGTACATTCACATTGTTGTGCAACTATCATCACCATCCATCTCCGGAACTTTTATATCCCAAACTGAATCTCTATACCCATTAATGAAAAACTCCCCATACCTTCCACCCCCAACTTGTGACAACAACCATTCTACTTCCTGTCTGTATGAATCTGACTACTGCACATATTGCATATAACTAGAATCATGTAGTATCTGTCCTTTTCTATTTTTGCTTATTTCACCTAGTATCATGTCTTCAAGATTCATCCATTTTGCAGCATGTGTCAGAGTTTCTTTCCTTTTTAAGGTTGAATAATAGTCCATTGTATGTATATGCCATATTTTGTGTGTGCATACATCTGTCAATGACCCTTGGGTTGCTGGACGGCTTTCGCCTTTTGGCTACTGTGAATGATGCTGCTAAGAATACAAGCATATAAATGTTTGAGTCCCTGCTTTCCCTTTTGGATATATATCCATAAGTGAAATTGCTGGACTATATTGTAATTTTATGCTGAATTTTCTGAGTAACTGCCTCACCATTTGACATATCTTTTTTTTTTTTAATATTTTATTTATTTGACAGACAGATCTCAAGTAGGCAGAGAGGCAGGCAGAGAGAGAGGAGGAAGCAGGCTCCCTGCTGAGCAGAGAGCCCAATGCAGGGCTCAGTCTCAGGGCCCTGAAATCATGACCTGAGCTGAAGGCAGAGGCTTAACCCACTGAGCCACCCAGGTGCCCCTAACATGAATATCTTTACACAGTTCAAAATGATGTGAAAGTACTTGAAAAACACAGTCTTTACAGAAGTCAGATTTTTAAAATTCTTTTTTTTTCCTTGTAAACGTGTGAGGCAAAAAGTTAGAATCAAATAACTTGAGCCCAAAAGCAAATGTTTTGGATGAGATGAGTACTTCCCTGCCCTCCTTCAATTAGCCAAACCAAATGAGAAGTCAAGACTGCTCAGGTTCACAAGCTTTTGATGCAGAGCTAATGAATTTTCTCGGGTTTACAAGTTTCCTTTCTTGGCTTTACAAGTTTCATTCTTCCTCTCTGGTAGAATGAAAAAGTTTGCTAGAAATTGTGTGTGTGTGTGTGTGTGTGTGTGTGTGTAATGAATGTTTCTTTAAAAAAAAAAAAAAGAGCCCTTGCACATTTCTAGGTGGTTTCTTCATAATTACAAGATTCTATAAAGTGAGCCTCTGTGTGTGTGTGTGTTTAAATCACATCTGAATTCTTAATGTAGGGACTATTATCCTTGGGTCTGTGGATGGGCTTTAGAGTGTGGGAACTCCTTCAAACAGTATGAAAATTTTGTTCTACAGAGATGGTTCATAGCTTTCATCAGATTCTTGCAAGGACATCAATGACACAAAATCACTAAGCTATCTAATTAGAGGTCTCCCCAAAGCTGATTGGACATGTTACAAAACTGTGTAAGGCTATGTCTTAGTTGTCCTTCTCTATTTGAAAATGGGAAAAATATTCTCTCTCATATTCATTAGCACGGGTCAGTTTTCAAGAGGAAGAAGCATGTCCTTACTGCACTGGAAATATTTTTTTTACCATTCCTGGTAAAGGGGTCAGGGGTCCTTTGAAGATGCATGTGGCTTGGATGAAGAGATTATTTCTGGAATGCCCATTTCCCATAATTTAGCTAAAATAATCTTTTAAAAACAGACACCACACCACCTATCTCTGCTGCTTACAACCTTTCCATAGTTTTCCTTTGCCCAGAAAGTCCAAAAAGGTCAACAAGACATCGAAGAATGCCAGCTCCATGGTAATGGTGGACTCTGATTTACTTAACAATATATCATCAATTCCTCGAACAGTAACTGGCATATAGGAAATACTCAATGAACATTTGTTGAATGCAAGAATTATTACAATACTTGCCACAGAACTGCCCTGCCTATCTGTCTGGCCTTGTTACACAATACCTTTACTTTGCTTCTCTTTCTCCCACTAAAAAGTATATATATTTTTAAAATTTCTTCAGATGTGCTCCTTCCTACCTCAAGGTCTTTGAATATGAAATTCCCTCTACCTGGAATATTCATTTCCCACCTTTTGACTAGCTAATGTAACTTCATGCATCAGTTTCAGTTGGAAAACCATTTCCTTCAGGAGGTTTATCTTGAACCTCGTCTTGGTCAAGCTCCTTGTTATATTCTCCTACAGCATTCTTCTGTAACACTCCTTATGCTTGTACTTGGTCAGTGTCTATCTTTCCCATTAGATGCTAAGATTCATAAGGACAGGTTGGGATTCATTTTATTCACTGCTGATCCTTCTTGCCGAGCGTAATTTTTTGAGCTGGCACAAAAGCAGGCACTCAGGAATTACCTGTTTTATGAACGAATAAATACATGAATAAACAAAGGAACGAAAGAATGAGATGACAAGGTGAGCAAAAGAGATAGGTGGTCCCATATTTATGCAGTAGAGTGTTTATCAAGTACCAACTCTGAGAGGAAGGGAAGAACAGAACCGTTGTATTCCACATCATGATAATGATGGTGAAAGAGATTTTAAAAAAGATAAATCGCTCAATCTAGATTACCTGAGAAGTGTCAGCTGATGTGTCCTCCTTATTTTCTTTGGTAGCTCTGTTTTAATAAAAATAAAATTGTTTCACTCATGGGAAGATTGACAGAATTTTGTTGAACGATGATTTCAATTTTTAAATTTTGAGGACCCATTAATTATATCTTTTAACTTGTTAAAAACAATGTCATTACAAAAATAAGTTTATGAAATCGAACATTTACGTTGAACATCAATCCAACAGCTTGATTTATTAAGATGTATTATATTTGAATAAATAGAAATGTATTATATTTACATATAGTACATTTTTATACATTAAACGGTGTTCCTATTTTTTCTGTGAATTGTCTACCCATCTTCATTATGTTTTAATTTTTTTAATGTAAAATAAAGTATGAATATGGAAGGGTATATAATGTAAGTTCAGAATTAAAGAATAATACGAAAGTGAACAACTGTGAAACCCACCAAAGCAGCAGAGATGACTTACTCCTTTGGAGTTTCTGTGTGCCTTTCCTCAAATGTATCATCCACCTTCTTCCCTTGCTGTTTTTTATAGCAGTCCCACAAGTGTATGAGTCCTCAAACATAGATTTGTATTTGCCTTTTAAAAACTTTCAGAGATGTACTGTAACGTACTTTTTTCACTTTTTGAGGAAATCTTGTTTTAATCTGCAATTTTTGGATGATGTTGAACATCTTTTCATGTGTTTACTTGCCATCTGTATATCTTTTTTTGGTCTGTTCAGCTCTTTTGCACGCTTTAAAGTTCAGTGTTCATTTTCTTATGTTGAATTTTAAGAGTTCTTTGTATGTTTTGGGTAGCAGTCCTTCATCTGATGCATCTTTTGCAAATATTTCTTACAAGTCTGTTGCTTGTCTTCTCATTTTCTGGACATTGTCTTTCACAAAGCATTAGTTTTTAATTTTCATGAAGCCCAATTTATCAGTTATTTCTTTCATGGATTGTGCCTTTGATGGTGTAATAAAAAATCATTACCATACCCAAGGTCATCTCGGTTTTCTCCTATGTTATCTTCTAGGAGTTTTATAGTTTTGTATTTTATATTTAGATCTCTGATCCATTTTGAGTTTATTTTTATGAGGTGTAAAGTCAGTGCCTAGATTAATTTTTGAAATATATTCTTTATTCAAGTATAATTAGTAGGTAGTGACATATTTGTTTCAGGTGTATAGTATGTTTTAACACTTCTATACATTACTCAGTGCTCATCATGGTAAGTGTACTCCTAATCGCTTTCACATATTTCACCCATTGCCATTCCCACCTCTCCTCTGGCAACCACTAGCTTACTATATTTAAGAGTCTGGGGGTGTTTTTATTTTTGTTTCTTTTAATTTGTTCATTTGTTTTGTTTCCTATATTCCACATATGAGTGAAATTATTAGGTATTGTCTTTCTCTGATTGACTTATTTCACTTAGCATTATACCTTTCAGTTCCATCCATGTTGCTGCAAATGGCAAGATCTTGTTCTTTTTTATGGCTGAGTAATATCCCACTGTGTGTGTGTACATATACCACATATACATAATATACATATATACCTGTATATACCACATCTTCTTTATCCCTTCATCTATGGATGGATACTTGAGTTGCTTCCATATCTTGGCTATTGTAAATAATGCTGCAGTAAACATAGGGGTGCACATATCTTTTTTTTTTTTTTAATAGTGTTTTGTTTTCTTGGGTAAATACCAGTAGCCAACACCATTTATTGAAGAGACTGTCTTTTCCCCATTGTATGTTCCTGCTTCCTTTGTTGAAGATTAATTACCCATATATGCGTGGGTTTATTTCTGGATTCTATTCTGTTCCATTGATCTGTGTTTTTGTTTTTGTACCAATACCATACTGTTTTGATTACTATAGCTTTGTAGTATACTTTGAAATCAAGGGACATGATACCTCTTAGCTTTGTTCTTTCTCGAGGTTGCTTTGGCTATTTGGAGTCTTTTGTGGTTCTATACAAATTTTAAGGTTATTTGTTCTATTTCTGAGAAAAATTTCATTGGTATCTTGATAGGCATTGCATTCAATCTATAGACTGCTTTGGGTAGTATGGATATTTTAACAATATTAATTCTTCTAATCCATGAGTACAGTGTTATCTTTCCATTTATTTGTGCTGTCTTCAGTTCCTTTCATTATTGTCTTATAGATTGTTAGAGTTCAGGTCTTTCATCTCCTTGTTACCTTTATTTGTAGGTATTTTATTCTTGATGCAATTGTAAATGGGATTGTTTTCTTAATTACACTTTCTGATAGTTCATTGTTAGCATATAAAAATGCAACAAATTTCTGTGTATTAATTTTGCATCCTGCAACTATAGTGAATTCATTTATTAATTCTAGTATTTTTTTTTTAAAGATTTTATTTGTCAGAGAGAGCGAGCGAGCGCACAGGCAGACAGAGTGGCAGAGGGAGAAGCAGGCTCCCCATGGAGTAAGGAGCCCGATGTGGGACTCCATCCCAGGACGCTGGGATCATGACCTGAGCCGAAGGTAGCCACTTAACCAACTGAGCCACCCAGGCGTCCCGGTTCTAGTAGTTTTTTAATGGAGTCTAGCATTTTCTATATATAGTATCATGTAGTCTTCAAATAGTGACAGTTTTACTTCTTTTCCTATTTGGATGCCTTTTCTTTCTTCTTTCTTCCTTTCCTTTCCTTCCCTATTTGGATGCCCTTCCTCCCTCCCTCCCTCCCTCCCTCCCTCCCTCCTTTCCTTTCCTTCCCCACCCACCCTCCCTCCCTCTTTCCTTTTCTTTTCTTTTCTTTTCTCTTTCCCCTTCCTTCCTTCCTTCCTTCCTTCCTTGTCTTATTGCTGTGGCTAGGCCTTCCAGTACTATTAAATAACAGTGTCAAGAGTGGGCATCCTTGTCTTGTTCCTGTTCTAAGAGAAAAAGCTTTCGGCTTTTCACTCTTGGTATGATGTTAGCTATGGGTTGCCATATATGGCATTTATTATGTTGTGGTACGTTCCTTTTATACCAATGTTTTTGCAAGTTTTTATAATGAATAGATGTTGAATTTTATCAAATTCATTTTCTGCATCTATTGAGATGCACTTGATCATGATGTATGATTCTTTTAAAGTATTGTTGAATTTGGTTTGCTATATTTTGTATAGGATTTTTTTTTATTAACATCCATCATGAATATTGGCCTGTAATTTATTTTTCAATGATAAGTAATGTTGGCCTTATAGAATGAGTTTGGAAGCATTCATTCCTCTTCAATTTTTATAATACTTTTAGAAGAACAGGTATTAACTTTTCTTTAAATGTTATATAGAATTCGCTTATGAAGTCATCTAGTCTTGGAGTTATGTTTGCTGGGAGTTTTTGGATTACTGATTCAATTTCATTACTAGTAATTAGGTCACATTTTCTATTTCTTCTTGATGTAGCCTTGGAAGACTATGTATTTTAGGATTTATCCATTTCTCCTAGGTTCTCCTATTTGCTGGCATGTAATTATTTATCATGGTCTCTTATGATCCTTTGTATTTCCATGGTATTGATCATAACTTCTCCTCTTTCACTTGATTTTATTTATTTGGGCCTTCTCTTCTACTTGATGAGTCTGGATAAAAGTTTATCAATTTTGTTTATCTTTTCAAATAACCAGCTCCTCATTTCATTCATCTTTTCTATTGTTTTTAAGTCTATTTCATTTATTTCCACTCTGATCTTTATTATTTCCTTCCTTCTGTGAATTTAGGGCTTTGTTTTGCTTTTTGTAGTTCCTGTAGGTGTAAGGTTACAATGTCCTTTTGAGAGTTTTGTTTCTTGAGGTAGCCTGTTTTGCAATAAACTTCCCTGTTCAAACTACTTTGGTTGCAACCCACAGATTTTGGACTATTGTGTTTCCACTTCCATTTGTTTCTAGGTATTTTTTTTTACTTCCTCTTTATTTGTTGACATATTGTTTAGTAGTATGCTTTTTAGCCTCCCCAGTGTTCTTCCTATACTTGATTTCTAGTTTTTTAACATTGCAGTTGAGAAGTATGCTTGATCATGATTTCCATCTTCTTAAATTTATTGAGACTTGTTTTGTGGCTTAATGTGTGACCTAATCTGGAGAATGTTCCATGTGCACTTGAAAAGAATGTATATACATGCTTATATGTGTATATAAAGTTCATCTGGTCTAATGTGTCATTTCTTGTTGGATCTTTCCCTTTATCATTACTATGTGATGGTCTTGTTTCTTGTTACAGTCTTTGTTTTAAAATCTGTTTGGTCACTTAAGCTAAAGCATATTCTAAATGCACTACATTTTTACTCTTCCCATACCATGTTTTATGTTTTTGATGTCATATTTTCTATCTTATTGTTTTGTGTATCCCTTGACTAATTATTGTAGGTCTGATGCCTTTAAAAAAAAATTATTTACTTGAGAGAGAAAGAGAGAGAGAGAAAGAGAGAGAGCACAAGAGGGGGGAGGATCAGAGCAGGGAGTCCTGATGTGGGACTTGATCCTGGGACTCCAGGATCATGACCTGAGCTGAAAGTAGTCGCCCAACCAACTGAGCCACCCAGGTGCTCCTGGTCTAGATGGTTTTATTACTTTTGTCTTTTTTTTTTTTTTAAAGACTTTATTTATTTGACAGAGAGAGTAGGGGTAGAGGCAGGCAGAGATGCGGAAGCAGGCTCCACGCTGAGCAGAGAGCCAGATGCGGGGCTTAATCCCAGGATGCTGAGACCACAACCCGAGCTGAAGGCAGAGGCCCAACCCAGTGAGCCACACAAGTGCCCCATTACTTTTGTCTTTTAACGTTATACAAGCTAAGCAGGTGGTTGAACTACTACCTTTATTAGACACTTATCTTTACCAGTGAGATTTTTTTCTTTTATAATTTTCTTATTTCTAGTTACGGACTTTTCTTTTCCATTTAAGGAAGTCCCTTTAACATTTCTTGGAAGGCCGGTTTCATGCTGATGAACTCCTTTTGCTTTTGCTTATTTGGGAAACCCCTTATTTCTCCTTTAATTCTGGGGAATAACCTTGCCAGGTAAAGTATTCTTAGTTATACGTCTTTCTCCTATCAGTACTTTGAATACATAGCGTGACTCCCTTCTGGCCTATTAAGTTTAGGGGTTTCCTTTGTATGTAACTAGTTTTTCCCTTGCTGCTTTTAAGATTCCCCCATCTTTAACTACTGATACTTCCACTATAATGTGTCTTGGGCTGGGTCTTTCTCTGTGCTTTCTGGACTTGGATGTCTATTTCTTTTACCAAATTAGAGAAATTTTCTGCTATTTCCCTTTTTAAAGAAAAATTTTATTTATTAAGAGAAAGAGAGAACAAGTGGGGGGAAGGGCAGAGGGAGAGGAAGCAGCAGACTCCCTGCTAAGCACAGAGCCCAACACAGGGCTTGACCCCAGCACCCTGAGATCATGACCCAAGCCAAAGTCAGATGTTTTAACCATCCAGGTGTCCCCATTATTTCTTTAAATAGGGTTCCTGTCCCTTTTTTTCTCCTCTTTTCTCCTGGGACCCCATAAAAGATGAATGTTTGTATGTCTGATGTTCCAGTGGTCTCTTAAACTATCCTCATTTAAATTTTTTTTTTCTTTTTGCTGCTCTGATTGGGTGATTTACAATAACCTGTCTTCAGACTGCTGATCTGTTCTTCTGCATCATCTAATCTGTTGATTCCCTCTCGTGTATATTTCACTTCAGTTACTGTATCCTTCAGCTGATGGGTTCTTTTAGTATTTTCTACCTCCTTGTTGAAGTTTTCGCTGTGTTCTTAATCCTTCTTCTGAGTTTGGTGAGCATCTTTCTGACCATCAGTTGCTTATCTCTGTTTCTTTAGTTCTTTTTCTGAAGTTTTGACTTGTTTTTTTCATTTGGAACATATTCTTCTGTCTTCTCATTTTGCCGAAGTCTCTGTTTCTATGTATTAGGTAGATGAGTTACATCTCCTGATCTTGAAGGAAGAGCTTTATGCAGAAGGTATCCTGCAGGCCCAATAGTGTAAACCCTCTAGCCACCCCAGTCAGGTGCCCCAAAAGTGTTCCCTATGTGGGCTGCATGTACCTTCCTGTAGTGACTGGGTTGCAGTTGTGCAGACTCACAGATGTGTAGGGCTATCCTCCAGCATGACCATCTGTGAGGTCTGACTTTGACTGCTACGGTCATGCTGGTTAGTGGCGCTAGCCCCTGAGAGACCTGGTTCTGACTGTTGTGGATATGCTGGTGTGTGGGGTGGATCCCTGGCATGGCTGACTGTGAGGCTGGGTTATGACAGCTATGGATACACTGGTGGGTGGGGCATGTCTCCTGCGTGGCTTGCTAAGAGGTCCAGTTGTGACTGCGATAGGTGTTCTAGTTTGTAGGGCTGGCCCCCCTGGGTGGAGGTGCTTAGGAGGGGTTCTGGTCCTAGCTGAGGCTCCCTGCTGCAAGTGCTGGGGTTGAAGTCTGCTTAGGAGGAACTCTGATGCTAGCCAAAGGCACCCACAGGGAATACCAGGGTGCAGAGACACTTGGGAGAGGGTACAGGCTGGGAGGTGGCCTGGGTGGAGCAAATCTGCAGGGGAACACTGGACAGGGTGAGTGGCGCTCTAGCATAGTAGATACAGAGTGCCAGAAATGACACCCACCAACCCTGGGCAAGGTAGAATGGTACCCATAGTGCATCTGTCCCTGGAGGACAGTCCAACAGATTCCTGCCATTCTGGCACATGCCCTAAAATTAGTCAATGGACCTCCTTCACATGTAACCCAGGTGTTTTTCAGGTGGTTGCCTCTGTACTGGAACTCAAAGCCAAGTGTGATTGTGCACATGCCATTTGAGAGCACAGTCAGTTTTCTACCTTCTGACTCTCCGGGACATAAGAACTGTTGGTTTTCAAAGCCAGACATTATGGGCTCTTGTCTTCCTGGTGTAGGTTCCCTGGGATATGAGCCTGATGTGGGGCTCAGACCCCTTGTCCCTCAGGGCAGGCCTCTTCAGTTGTGATAGCCTTCTCACTTGTGGGTTGCTGCACTGGGGGTATGGGACCTGACTAAATCATGTCTCTGTTCTTCTGACCCATCTGGATGTGGTCTTTTCTTTTTGTCCTTATTGTGTATGATCTGTTCTGCTAGTCTTTAGTTCCTTCTCAGAGATTGTTTTCTTTTTCTTTTTTTTTTTTTAAGTAGGTTCCATGCCTAGCATGGAGCCCAGTGTGGGCCTTGAATTCACAACCCTGAGAACAAGACCTGAGGATATGTTAAGAATATCAAGTTGCAAAAATCTGGGAATCATTCTTGTCATCAAGCCTGTTTTTACTTGCACAGGTGAAAAGAAATATCTGAGAACACTATCTCAGCAAATAAAGCGACCAATTTTCCATGGCAATATATCAACTATTTAGGCAATTAGTAATCACAATCAGGTTTTCTGAAGTTCTCTATACGTCAAGTAATGTGCAAAAATACCTTTGCTCAAGAGGAATCTGCAGGTGCTCAAAGTACAATTGGCCCAGGGAGTTTATGCTCATCACTACTTCTTCTTCAGACACCAAATCTATCTTGAATGGGTTTGCTGTGATATGCCACTTCAGATCTCCTTTTCTGTCTGTCAATACCAGACTATCTGTATCCCCTGCACATGAAATAAGCCTAGAAAATAAAACAAGAGAAAAACAGGTTTACATGGTTCAATGTGATTCTCAATTTCAATTAATATGTAAATGGAGCACCTGGGTGGCTCAGTCAGTTAAGCTCCTGGCTCTTGATTTCAGCTTAGGTCATGATCTCGGGATTGTGAGATCCAGTGCTGTGTTGGACTCTGTGCTGGGTGAGGAGTCTACTTGAGATTTTCTCTCCCTTCCCCTCTACCCCTCCCCACTGACCCCAACCCCACACTGCATGAACTCTCTCTCTAAAATTAAAAAAAAAAAAAAATTGTAAATCAATATTCATGTGACATAGCATAGATAAGACAGTGGAAAGCAGCGACTGAGAACACGGGTTTTGGTGTCAGAAAGCCTGGATTGAACATAGCTTTATCATGCACTAGGTCCATAACTTTGGACAAATTAATCAGTCTACCCAGTTCTCAGTTTCCTCATCTGTAAAGTAGAAATAATAAAAGCAAGAACAAATAGAGCTTTTGGGGAGAATTAAATGAGATCACGCATGCAAAACACCTGGCAGTGGCTGGCACATAATAAACACTCAATAAATGTTAGCTATCATCATCATTACCTTGGTCTGGACAGTTTAGTAACACTTCAGTGAACTAAACACTTTGCTTTTTTCTCTCATCCCAACCATACACTCAGAAATTAAGGAGATAACCTAGATTGGATCTTGACCCACTGAGTCCAGTGAGATGGAATCTCTCCTAACTCCCATCAGTCCCCAATTTGATAGGTAGATTGTTAGGATATTCTGGATCCCCACGAATTATGTAAGCTCAGAGGTAGCACTTAAAACCCCTCAGAGGTCTAGATATTTCTTTCTCTGGTGCATTGTCATTTTGGTAAATGGTCACATGCCTCTTTAGGGAAGGTGAAGAGGGATATTTTATGTTCTTATTATATCCTTATCAAGTCCTTCTCCGTGGGTTCTAAACCCCACCCCTCAAGCAAGATGCCTGGGCTCTGGAAACTGTCTGGAGTTGGGTGAGAGGTTGTATCTCACTGTTCATCAAACTGAGTTCTTTTGGTTGTTCCACTTTAGTGCATCTATTTCAGTCCAATGTATCCTTCGATTGGGTATTTTGGGTACCATCCATATACTGCTGCACCTTATGGAAACATATTCACCTTGTCTCTACCTACTAAATGCTGCTACTTTCATTCTGCCACCTGGAGTCTCATGGTTTCCAGTGAAATCAGGAAGCCCCCCACTTTTTAAGATTTTATTTATTTGATGGGGCACCTGGGTGGCTCAGTTGTTAAGCATCTGCCTTAGGTTCAGGTTGTGATCCCAGGGTCCTGGGATTGAGCCCTGCATCGAGCTCCCTGCTTGGCAGGAAGACTACTTCTCTCTCTCCCACTCTCCCTGCTTGTGTTCCCTCTCTCACAGTGCCTCTGTTAAATAAATAAATAAATAAATCTTGAAAAAATTCATTTATTAGAGAGAGCAAGCAGGGGGAGGGGAAGTGGGTGGGGGGGAGGAGAGGGAGAAGCCAACTCGCTGAGCAGGAAGCTTCCCATGACACCGTGCTCTATCCCAGGACCCTGAGATCATGACCTGCACTGAAGGTAGAAACTTAAGCACCCAGGAACCCCTCAGGGAGCCCATTTTGATGGCATCATTTCCCACCATTATGTCTCGCTCACCAAAGATATTCACTCACTACAGTGCTTTCCAAATGTTCCCTTACCAATTTATTTCTCAGTGAAGGGAGTATCTTTTGGATCCTCTTAGAGAACAAAATTAGGAGCTAGATGAGCTGTTGAATATGATATATCCATTTCAACATCTTTACCTCCCTAAGTCTATGGATCATTTCTTCTACTCTGTGCCAAGGAATTTCTGGTATCTCAGCTTCATTCAGCAGAGTCCATAGCTGAACACAGATTATAATTAACCAGCCAAGCAAATAATTAGATCCACTCCCAGCTGTCCAAGCTAGCATATCAAATCTAGATTCTCTGGTACATGTACCCATGTCAGTAAATTTAATGCGGTCCTAAAATTATGTTCCTTCCTTCGGTCTAGGAGCCCCTCAGAAATTATTTCCATCCATATACCAGGTTTTTGCCAAGAGAAAATCTTGTAATTCCTTAGGGATAGGGTTTGACTGTAATTAGCTCTTTAGGCATGCTGGACCGATAGCGGTTTTAAAGGCAGTGAAGGGTGGTGTGAGGCACAAGGTGCACTAGAATCCCCCTGCACAATATATCTTAGGTGAGGTCAACACAGGGTGTCCAAGTAAGATTGGATCAGCTTTGTTAGAGGAAAAGGAGTTGCTTCTGCTGGAATAGGAGGCTTGATGGAATTCTGAGGTCTGAGTACTCGTTATTCAAATCTTCCCAAATGCTGCTATATAATTTTCCCTTGTCCCAATTAGTGCTCTAAATTCACAGAACTGATGAGGCTGTGAATTAAACTCATGGTCTAACTCAGCAAACCACAGACAAACTCTGTATCTGGTTTTCAGCTATAAGGACTCTGTAGCCACAACAGATACGAGAGACTTTTAGGACCGTCATAAAAACTTACTTGGTTTCTGACAAATACCTAAGCTAAGAATTTAAAACCCGAGACTCTACTTTTCTTTAAGTTCTTCAGTTAAAACTTCAGAGTTTTGAGTTCTTTATGACAATTGCGCTATGCTATGTCCCTATTGCTTCGTCTGCAAGGGCCATACTCTCAATATGCACTTTATTTCAGTTGACCATGGGTAGTAATTTAAGTAACTCTGCCATGGAATGCTGTGGTTTACTGCCAGTTGTATTAATTTGCTAGGTTTGCCACAACAAATGCCACACTGAGTAGGCAGTTTAAACTACAGAAGTTAATTCTCTCAAAATTCTAGAGGCTGGAAGTCCAAGGTTAAAGTGTCAGTGTTTGGTTTCTTCTGAGACCTTTCTCCTTGGCTTTCATCTTCTTGCTATGTCCTCCCACAGTCATCCCTCTGTCTGTGTTACTTGTGTCCTAATCTCCTCTTCATGTGGGGCACAAGTCATATTGTATTAGAGCCCATCTTAATGACCCAATTTTAACTTAGTTACCTCTTCAAAGGCCATACCTTTAAATACAGTTACATTCAGAGGCATGGGAGGTTAGGGTTTCAACAGATGAGTTTGCCGGCGGTGGGGGGGGGGGGCGGGGGACATGCACACGATTCAGTCCATAACACTAATATCTCATCCTAATGATAATGATGTCCTCGCTATCTCCCAATCCAGCCAAACCAACTAACCAATCTCATATTCCCATCCTGGAGGTTTGTGGCCTATACTCACTTCTGATACTAAAGACTATATCAACCCAGACTCAACTGTAGATTAAAGAAAACACTCTATTTTAAGTAGAAAATAAGTGACTTAATATGGGGAAATTAGGAGCTTACAACATCATGGGAAGTGTTGTGGTAATAGTAATGACCCATAGAACAATACTGCATAACTGTATGGTCAATGGAACTTCTATTGCAGCTAGAATTAGGAAGTTGGATCATCAGAAGTCACTATGGCAACTCCTGGGCTCCAGGATCATGCCACGTTAGCTCTGGAGATCAGGAAACTACTGCTCTCACTAGTATACCTCTAGAGAGACATTCTATGGCGGCCAAATCCACAATAGCAAAATGGGAAGCTCAGTTCTGAAATCAAGATCCCTCTAAGTACAAATCATTGGTAGATCCTGAAATATACCAGAAACTAGCTGCACGGGAATAGAAGAGATGGAGGAATATGGTTTTTAGCTTTCTAGTTACTGCAGTAGTAAAAGGCCCTCTAGAAAGAGGTTGGAACAGAAGCAGAATATGCCATATTTACTAAACAAAGCTAGTTATCGCCCTGACCCCAAAACATGGCAATGATAACACAGAAAAAGAGAAGGAGAGATGAATTTGTAAAAATGTTAAAGGATCTACCAGGAAAGCAAATCCTCCAGGATAGTAAAAATAATATAGTGTGACCAATAATATACACACACCCCCACAACCACCCACCTACACACACTCATAAAAACAAGTGCACACACAAACTGCGAAGTCTTAAGAAGAGTCTCTCTTTAATTCCTGTTTCCTAAGTTCTTGGCATATAGTAGCAGCTCAATGAATAGACATATTCTGAATTTATGATGATTCTACTATAATTGAAATAATTTATCCCTATAATTTACTGACTTTATTAAATTTTTATGGAAAAAATAATCTACATAAAACTATGATAATAATATAGTGAAAATTAAAGCATCTGGCATAATCTTCTATTCCCTTGGTGAAATAATATATAAAAGAAATAACAGGAATCAACAGGCAGAACCAAGTTGAAATATCACTGGAAGGTGTGCTGAGAACTGAACAAGATGCTGCAGTGACATGGAAAATACTTTTTAATCCCCAAAGATTTTTTTTTCACTTAGACACTGATTATTAATTTATCTCTGACTCTCAGTCAAATTACATGTTAGACTTCTGAGACTATCATTAATTAAAAGTGAGTCAGCCTAACTGTATAAATTACAGTAAGCACGTTTGGCTAGTGCATTAGATCTCCGGAGCCCTGCCGCTAAATTGAGGAAATTAAATAGCTCTGCTTCTATTTGTTCCCAAAGTCAGGTTGATGAATCCTTTTCTTTGTGAAAAGGACAGCAGGCATCAAAAGTTCTCCCTCTCCCCCTTTATAAGGGCCGATCAATCACAGCACAAGAAGAGAAAACAGAATGGATAATATACAAAATGGATAAATTTATCGCCAAATAACTGAACACAAACTTGGCAAATGATGGTAGCTTTGAATAGAGAAAACAGGAGGCACATACAAAATCTGCTACTCAGTGTATGATAAAAGCCCATATTGAGGGTGTATCCAAGTTCTCTTGTTCCTTGGCTTACCTTACAGTGCTGGGCTTGCTTGTGAGTACATCGGGAACCTCATACCTGGGTTTCAGGGGAGTTTCCTCATTGATTTTAAGCCTTAAAATATTTCCCTCTATACCATAAATTTCAGCCAGAAGGGGAACCTGGGAACAGACACGAGATTAATTTCAATAGGTTATTAGCCCAATGATGGTTGGTTCTACAGTCAAACTGCAATAATTAGAAAATATGTTTGGGGCACGTGGGTGGCTTAGTTGGTTAAGCATCTGCCTTCAGCTCAGGTCATGATCCTAGGGGCCTGACAGTCAGCTTTTCCCTTTGTACCTCCCCCTGCTCGTGCTCCCTTCCCCTCTTTCTTTCTCAAATAAATAAAATCTTGAAAAAAAAAAAAGAGCTATGTTTGAATTATTATAGGCCAAATAAACTGGAGAACAAAGGGAATCATGAAGGAAAAAGCTCCCCAAACTTTGTATGTACTTGTTTGGCTGTACCTGGTGTAGAGCAAGAAATACCTTTTATGTGTGCCATGGCTAGGCAAACATGTAATTGTCCATACCAGGACCTTCAAAGATGAAAGAGGTCTCTATTAATAATTATACAGAATGATGGACATAAACTGAAACTGCTTTTGGAAAACTGGGACCTCTGGCCCTGTATCTATGACAAACTGCAGCTATCTTAAGAACTTGATCTTAAAACTAGGACAACTGGATTCCAGCTGAATGGAAGATGAAGGATAACAAGCCACAGAATGGAAAGGAATAGAGAATAAAATAGTGGTCACAGGGGTTCCCTAGGATAGATGATTAAGCCTTGCTGTACTAAAATCAAGGAATTTCCTGTATACCTGGGAATAAGGTCTGGGGAACTTTCTCAAGAGGTTGGAATATTCTCAGCTTTCTTAAGAGGCTGGGGAAGTCAGGTAAAATTCAACTTTCTCAAGAGGTTGAGATACTCTCAGCTTTCTTAAGAGGCTGGGGAATTTAGGTAAAATTCTGCCTACAGTGGGACATGGAAGCAACAAAGAATTATAGAGAATACAGGAATTGAGAAATAAAACACAAAACATCAAACCTCAAGCGAATAGAAGTGGCTAGTTTTAGGCTACAAAATGAGGCATCTAGATCAGAGATATATGTATTTTTTAATATGCAGTCATCTTTATTTATGTATACACTAGAAACAGACATGGATTTTTAAGAAAAAAAGTCTAGGGGCACCTGAGTGGCTCAGTGGGTTAAGCCTCTGCTTTCGGCTCAGGTCATGATCTCAGGGTCCTGGGATCAAGCCCCACATCAGGCTCTCTGCTCAGCAGGGAGCCTGCTTCCCACCCCCTCTGCCTGCCTCTCTGCCTACTTGTGATCTCTGTCTGTCAAATAAATAAACTCTTAAAAAAAAAAAAGAAAATCTAGGATCCCATGGACTTTTGTTTTCCATTCATTTATGTAGTTAGAAAATCCAGTTTACTTGAGAATAATGGAAAAGGCCAAGTCATATCTCAATTTCATATGACAAGTTTTCTCCTCATAGATATTCTGCGGGCATTTAATGAACCTGCCCATTTTTCAGTGCCTTCTGCAATTCCTTAGAGATTTCAATGGGCACCTGACCTATGGAACATTCTATTACTCTACTGACATTTAAGGTATGGTTAATGGGGCTATGCCTGAGAATTTGCTTTTCTAACCTATGGTTCCCCTTTGATTTATTCTAATGGGCAGTTTTAAAAAAGGGTCAGATGTGACCAAGCTTCCAAACCTCCATGCTTACCTTACAAAAATGCTGTTTACTTTATAATTAACTTTACCAACTTTCCCTGCCAAAAAAGGACTCAAAAGTATAAAGTATCACCTACCAGTGTTAGATGAGGCTCCTCTTCTTTCCCCAAATCAAATTATTTGGGATTCTGCGAGCAAGCAACTCCCAACACAGAGCTACAGTCTTTCTCAAAAAAGCTTGACCAGATAAATATTTTGACAGTTTTCAACCACTCTGCCATATAGCAGTGATTAATAGCAAATCCTCATTAAATCCTTCATATGATACCAAATTCTGGTTACACTTGGGTACATGTATTGTTACTGTAACATCTGTTCAATGAAAGGCCAACATGGGCATGCTGCGTGACCTAGTCCAGAACAGGTACACTGTGGTGCAAGTAAGATAGGAAGCAGGGAGACTATCACACTTAAAAAAAAAAAAAAAAAAAAAAAAAAAAAAAGATTTCTCTGGAACTTTGCCTCTTGGGAATAATAGGAAAGTAGTCAGGGCACTTAAGCAGTGACATTACACATAAGAGTGACCAGATAAAAAGTACAGTGGCTGTAGCTACTTTTATAGATAATTCTTAAGATAGCACAATAGTAGAGTAGTAGTGAGCAAAGCATAGTTATTTTTTCTAATTTTACTGAGATACAGACATATTGTACAAATTTAAGGTATACACTGGGTTGATTTGATACTTACATATTGCAAGATGATAATCACTACAGCATTAGCTAACAACTACATTGTATCACATAATTACTATCTCTTTTTTGTGATGAGGACATTTATGATCTACTCTTCTAGCAACTTTCGAGTATATAATAGAGTATCATTAGTTATAATAACTATGCTGTACAGGAGAATCCCCAGAACTTATTTCATGTACAGCTGGAAGTTACTCTTTGACCAGCGTCACCCTTCCCCCACCCCAATCATAATGTAATTATTCCTTTCATGTCTAATCTTCTTTTGTAAACTTAATGACTTCAAGTGTGCCATCAGAATTCTAAGATTTAAAAATGTGCTCAAACACAAGTATAGTTGAAATTCTGTTAGATTATGTGTTCTCTCCTAAGTGAGACCTGTATTGCCATTGCTCTCAAATTCAACTAACATTTATTTGGCATCTGATATTGTGATGTGCTGTGAAAAAGATGACCAAACTCTTAGAGGGAAATTGCAATTTACAGATGAAACACGGTAAACATAAAACATGCTGTTAAGTGCTGAGGGAGAGGGTCAAGGCAATACTGATGATGACTGTAAAGACAGGGGTTCTGGGCTGTCTCTGGAGGAGCAGGACCTTCAGGGACTAGCAGGACTTTGGGGAGGCAAAATGAGCATGAACATCCTAAGCAGAGGGCACACAGGCTGCCTACCTATGATGATCAACTACACCCCACTTCTGTACTCAGAGAGTCTCCCAGTTTTAGTAGCTCTCACATTTAAAAGAATAAAAACAAACAAAGATTGGTCTGTATGTTCCGTTCTTGAGGCTGCAACTCAGGAAAGAATCCTAATTCTATGAGGAGGTACTTAATAACCCTGCTTTTACTTTTACTATAATGACCTTTTATAACCAAACACACAAATCAGAGTCAAAGCTCCATTTTGTTTTCATTCTAGCTCAATTAAGCAAATGATTTTTTTCCCAATGGGCAATCCTTTTTTTTTTTTTAAAAATATATTTATTTAACAGTCAGCGATCACAGGCAGGCAGAGAGAGAGGGGGAAGCAGGCTCCCTGCTGAGCAGAGAGCCCGATGCGGGGCTCGATCACAGGACCCTGAGATCATGACCTGAGCCGAAGGCAGAGGCTCTAACCCACTGAGCCACCCAGGTGCCCCGGGCAATCCTTTTCAAGGTTGATATTCAGATTCATTCATATCTCCTACCATTACCGACATGTCTTTCATGTTCCAAGCATATAATCTCCTTAGACATTAGTATGCTCTATTTCTATGATCTGGCTCATGTTTTTTATTTTCTCCTTTAATCAGTATGTTCTAATTTTAATTTTTTAAAAAGATTTTATTTATTTATTTGTCAGAGAGCAAGAGCACAAGCAGGCAGAGTGGCAGGCAGGGCAGGCAGAGGGAGAAGCAGGCTCTCTGCTGAGCAAGGAGCTCAAGGAAACTGGGATCATGACCTGAGCTGAAGGCAGCCACTTAACCAACTGAGCCACCCAGGCATCCCTGGCTCATGCTGTTTTCATTGACTTAGAAACTTTTTTTTAAACAGCAACAGATTTTCAGAAGTCCAATAAACAAAGCTACGTGGGTTAAAGACAGTGGGGCAGTAGCTTGGAGCCCCCACCTTTGAGCCCCTCCCTGAATTGAGCCCTGAGACACCTCCACGGAGACCTGGGCTCTGTGGGTGACAGTTTAAAAACCACTTCTCTGGGTTTCTCAATTGCCAGTTATTACCCAATTCTTGCTCATGTCAAAAAGCCTGGATATGAATGTTACATTCTCCTATCTAACACATTAAGAATTTCTCTATATATTTCTTTTCTTTTCCTGTCTGGACACTTATGAAAAAGTAATATACAAATAAATGATGGTATCTCTTCCTCCTGTCAGTGACGACTGTAAATGACAATGAAAAGATATGTTAACTTACAGAAGCTAGACTGTGTAAACTAGAAGTTAGTATGAATACTTAGATCACAGTAGCAATTACACTCAAGTTGCAGCAAGATGGATTTATGTAAACTAAGTGAAGAAATGTGTAACAGAGCATTTTAAATAATGACACAGTATGGATTTTGTTCCCTTAAAAACACTTAAAATCTGTAAATGTCCATCTACACAGAGAGAATGAGATAAATCCTCAGAGAAAGGGACCCATTTAGAGGTTCCTTTTAATACTGCAGGTCTCCATTTGGTTTTTCATAAAGCTTTATTTATAGATTTCTTTCTCAGAGGCTGGGAAAGAGTATTCTCTTTTTTGTACCTGATTTCTTTCATATGTAATAAAAACAAAACCTAGTAGTCTGTCATCCATAAATTTAGCTTCTTGTTGTTTTTGGCCACATGGGCAAAAATACCAGGTTGTATAAACCATGGTGGTAGAAACAGACTTGTCTCTGTATTCAAGTAGTGGACTGGTCACAATTACATGAAAACAAAACCTGTTATTTACCCAGAACTGGGAGTCACAACTAGTAGAGACTGACAAGAGTTAACAGAACAGCCCTAGAACACATGTTAAAAATAGCAGTGGGTATTAGGAACGGAAATTATGAGCCGGCCAACTTCTCCTTGATGGATACAGATCTTGCCTTTCCTCTGGCACCAAGTGTCTTCACTATACTCTAAGGAATAGTTCATCTAAAGGGCCTACAAGAGTTAGCAAGTTGTTGATCAACATCTCCCGGGATTCAGAGAAGGTCTAAGAGTTCATTACATTGCCACAGGGCACTAATTGCTCCTTCCATTGTTGCAGCCAGTTGATTTACTGCAAGCACGGATTCTCTACAGAGAGAGCTAGCAAGTTCACGCTGGGCATTAGGCTGTTCCCTAAGGACAGTTAGCCTGTCCAGGTTTGCTTCTGGGTGTTTGGCTAGTTCCCAAATTAGCTGCCTGTTCATGGCCGTTTCTGCAGAAACACTATTGGCTAACAAGTGGTAGTTCTTCCTCATCAGCTGAAGGGGTGGCTGGTTGGGCAAAATCCCATTTCATTGGGCTCAGAGGCAAAGGCAAGGGGGAATCATGGGGGTGCTCAGAGATATCCCTGCATCCTTGGAGATGCTGCCAGAAATGGAGTCTCTGGTGAAAACTCGCCAACAGGCTGCAAAGGAAAGTAAATGTGGTGCTAAAAAGTCATCAATGTCATGAGAAAGCCTCAAAACTGGCAATATAAAAGCAGATCAAAGACACAGGTCTGTTCCAGATAGCCTTGCTAGCACTGCTTTTTTGCTAGACTCAGAGAACAGAATAAACTGCTCTGCTCTGAAGTCACAAGACTGGGTCTTCCCTGTTTCTCAATCTAGGTCAAATTTTCACAGAAAGTAAAAAAAAAAAAAAAAAATTGGTAATAGAAAAAAACAGCTCTAAAAAAACAGTCAACATTTTACTGTTAGCTTTCTTTTGGAAGTCTCTATCAAATATCTACCTGATTATTTCTTCATCAGGAATAGGCAACATACTATCCCGGGACCCTGTGTGAGAAAACTTGGGCAGTTTAACTTAAAACTGCCTTTTCTTCAAAGCCTAGATGTCCTGAGCTGGAGACAAGTACACAGGGCCACCCTTCGGCTTGTTCTGTAAATGACCATATCCCAGGAACATCATGTTTGCTACAGATTGAATTGTGTCTCCCCCCCGCCCCCATCTCCAAATTCGTATATTGAAGCACTACCCCTCAATATGATGGTATTTGGAGATGGGGCTTTTGGAAAGTGGTTAGATTTAGATAAAGTCATGAGGGTGGGGTTATGATGGGATAAGTGCCCTTAGAAGAAGAAAACCAGAGAATTCGCTCTCTCTCCACTATCTGAAAATACAGTAAGAAGATGGTAGTCTTCTGAGTCTTCTAAGCCAGGAAAAGGGTCCCAAAAGATACCTTCATTTTGGATTTCCCAGCTCTAGAACTATGGCAAATCAGTGTTTGTTGTTTAAGATACCCAGTCTACAGTATTTTGTTATGGGAGCCTGAGTTAAGACAATGTTGAATGAAGCTCGGTTCTGTTTCCTGGTTGCTTATGTTGGGGGAAGGGATTGAGAAGATTTAAAAAATTAACAACAGAGCTTGACAACCAAGTTACTGCTTTGAGAGCTGTAATGGTGTGGGGGCAGGCAGAGACAGTAAGAACGCTGTTTGTCAGAATCTGCTGGATCAATGAAATCTGAGAACTGCAGCTTTGAGCTGAATATGATCCTCTTAGACTTTGGACTCTGTCTCTCTGAACCTGAAGTAAAAAGCTATCATTCTGAGTAAGTAGACAGGTGCAGCTTATTTTAAATCTCCAGACTATACCAATACGATGCCCTAAAGTGAAATCTCCCATGAAATACCCATTACATCCCAGAAACCACTTCAAATGGAGGCTGCTTGTCTATACAGTGAGCTGGATACAAGGTTCAGACAACTTTAGAAATTACTGTCTGGGTCCTCATTGTCCCTACCACGCTGACAGAGGACATGAAATCCTGAGTCCCTCTTAGTCATCTCAACTCCAGGTGACAAGGAAAACATTAAATTGGAATTAAGCCCAGAATTTCAGGGTGACCCCCTAAACCTATAGATTTGCCTGAGATTAGAGCATGTAGATTCTCTATGCAGCCCCAATATTTCTAATACCTGAACATAAAGTCTGTTCCAAGGGGTCTTCGAAGTTCTCAGTCCTGGGACCCATGTTGCTGACATCCTGGATAACCCGCCCTTGCTTGCTGGGCTTCTCAACTTCCTTCCGAGCCGTGTGCTAGCTTATGCTGAGATTCTATGGGTTGTCCTGGATTGTCACTTCTTTTCCTTGGAAGGATCTAGATCTGGTAGACTCTGGCTCTGGCACCTGACCCGAATGGCCTTGTCTCTCACATTTTCAGGCTCCAAAGAGGCATGTGTGTAGAGAACTGATCTACAGTTTTATAAAATGTTGAGTGTGGGGATCCACCACTAACTGCGCTGGTATCAAGATGCATGGACATTTGCATTCTGGCCCACAGAGTGCTTTTGCCTCATTTTCTTTGCTTCATCGTGAGTCTTCATGATGGTGGATGTTCAGATGCTCAATATACCAAGGGTCCCCAAGGATAGAAAGTGATTTTTGCCCTATGGGATAGCTACAACTCTCTGGGTTTAGACACACTGGAGACAGGAAGGAAAAGGAGCAAATGACATCAAACAAACAAACAAAAACCCCAAACGAAAAAAAACAAAGAAAAAAGAAAGGTACCTAACATCTGGTGGCAGGCTTAATGACTATGACTCCTGGAAGGTTTCTAGTGGACTCTCTGCATTTCCTGGAGCCAAGTGTTTCTGCTGACACTGAATACAGAGGTTTGGCTGGGTGTCAGGCTATTAGACCACATGCAAATGGCAGGTGGCTCTCCAGGAAGGAAATCAGTGCTACTCCATGTCTTCCCATGAACAGCTATCAAACTATGCTAAAAAAAAAAAAAAAAAGATTAGTATAGACTTGGATCAGTTGTAGAGGATCTATGTATGAGGACCTATTGTGGTGGGGGCGAGGGAGAACCATGAGCTGAGAACTCAAAGACATCAAAAATGCCAAGCAAGGGGGCAAATTCCTCCAGAAAAAAATAGGTGGTATAAAAGCAGCACGAAGTTTCAGAGAAAGGTTAACCATCCCATCTGTGTAGTTAAGAGACATGAACTAAGTATATAGCTACCATAATACACTCTTAAGTAACAGGAAGTTGGGGACAGGGATAGAGAACACAGAACTATTGATATAATTTTAGCCCTTATTTTGAATTCAGGCAAGAGAAGTAGGTTAGAAAATTCCACATTTATGAAATAGTGAAATTTCCTAAAACTTCATAAGGAAGGTAGCCTTCCTCAGCGTGCAACTGATCCTCCTGTCTGGGAATAAAGTTGGAACCCTTTGCTAAATTAAAGGTCTTACAAATGTTCTAGAGGACCCGCTGCTGTGGAGCAGTTTTTATTCTGTCTTCCCTGAAGAGGTTCCCCAGTGTAGCACCATGGGACGACAGCTATGCCACAGGGAGAGCTCTCACAACTTTGCAGGAAAAGGGGGGATTTCTTCTCAGTTGCCTGTTAGGGAACCTAGACTGCATGGCTTTAAGTATGTCCTTTAGTTACATGAACTACCAATTAAGCCAGATTTGTTTGAGATGCCTTAGAAGCATCCGAAGCTTCTAATGAGACAGTGAGGGTTAGGCTGGGAGCATGGGTACTTGGGCATGGCCATACTTCCTGGCTTAGTCCATTGTGCACTTCTTCTGTGACTGGCCCTTCTGAAGTAGCCTGATGACTTGACAAGTGAGAAAAAGTACTTAATATACTGCTCTCATCCTTTCAGTATGTAATAACCAGGATGATCTGCTAATGAAGCAGCCCAGGAAGATAGCACATTTGTGACTTAGGTTTTCAACTATATAGTCCCTTGCTCCCCTGAAGTTTGGACAGTCCCTGAATCCATACCTTGCTCATTTGCATGCTCAACTGCTCACTGTGTAACAGTAACAGAACATGAGTACTTGATAGAGTTGACAGATGAAGGGGAAAACTTGACTCTGATTTTAAGCAGGTGACTTTCTAGTCACTTTTCTGTATTATGAGGACTAATTAAAAGGAAATAACGTTTGTAAAACATGTAGGAAAGCATATGATACAGAGGCAATGGGTAAGTTAATATTCACATTACTTTTAAAGTAGTATTAGTATAGATACAAAAAAGATGACATTACTTCTTCAACAAAGTTTATTTTTGAAGCATACATAGTTTTAATTATTAGCCTTTGTGGAACTTTACTTCATTCAAACCCAACTTAATATAGGAACAAATAATTCTCTGTAGAAAATACTTCTCTCTCACCTTGGTTGTTTCATTGATGATTCGGAACTTGGTGCTGTCTTTGCCTGTCGTGGCTGAGTTTAGTAATGCCTTATAGGTTGATATCCTGGAGAGCTGCTGTTTCTGACGCCTGCAGATATACAGAATATATATATACCCAAGAATTATTTGTGACTGTCAGCATCCAAGACTATATTATCATGTGGAAGTCATTAAAATTCACTATGATGATAAATGAACTGGGTCCAGACAGTATTAGTACTCTCATAAAGTACTAACAGGAGTACTTTGTTACTAGAGTGCTAATAAAATTAGTACGAATAAGAATAATACGAATGTAATTGCTCAACAAAGCACTGTCCGAGAACGGCATTTTGTCCCCTTTATTGAGAAGGTGGGGCAGTTTTCATAGATGACATTTATTAGCTTGTTAATTTCCCTCCCTCCTTACACAAAATGTTCACTTTAATACAAACTCAATAAATTCTTATGGAAATCCAATATAATCCAGTGACTTTACAAAATGACCAAGAGTTCCCTATAGAATTCCCTCTAGGGTACCTTTTCCGAATATAAGTGATCTGATTTTCTTCCTTTAGAGCAGTGTGAATAAATTAGAAATTTGTAACATAGGATACAATTTTTGGTGGTTTCAGGTTTAGGATCACACAAGAGACAGATATTCAACAAAAGAATTTTAAAGAAATATTTTCTGAAGCTCTGGGGAAACAGGTAATCTTATACAGTGGTGATTAGGGCAAAAAGCGGTACAATCCCTATGGGGGTGTCTCTGGTAATAGGTACAATTTTAAATGTATTTATTCTTTGATGCAGTAATACCATTCCTGGAAATTAATCCTATAAATACACTTGCAGGTATAGGAAATGACACATGTTTAGCTTTTCATTATGGCATGACTTTATAGCTAAAAGATTAAAAACTCAAGGATCTAGCAATAGGAAGGAGAACAAATAAATCATAGTACATCTACTCAATAGAATACTACACAGCCATAAAAAGAGAGAACAATCTCTATACACTCATGCAGAGCTCTTCAGAATAAACTATAAAGCAGAAAAAAAGAACACAACAACATATATCGGAAGTGACTTGTTATAAGAAAGGCAGTGATATAAGAATATATGTATTTACAAAAAGAAATACTGGGAGGATAAATAAGAAACTAATAAATCTGGTTACTTACAGGGATAATACGTGGAATGGGGTGAAGGGAGACAGGCATGGGAGTAACCCTTTTCAAAGTATATCTTTTTATATTATTTGACTTCTGAAACCTATAGAAGTATTATCTGTTCAAAGATATAAACACTTTTGGGCGCCTGGGTGGCTCAGTGGGTTAAAGCCTCTGCCTTCGGCTCAGGTCGTGATCTCGGGGTCCTGGGATCGAGTCCCGCATCGGGCTCTCTGCTCAGCAAGGAACCTGCTTCCTCCTCTCTCTCTGCCTGCCTCTCTGTCTACTTGTGATCTCTGTCAAATAAATAAAAAAAATCTTAAAAAAAAAAGAGAAATTTAAATAAGACAGTAATAAGTGTATAAAGATGAATGGCTCCTGTCTGATGAATTTCTTAATGACTACATACATTTCCTAACTGACCCTTTCCTTAAAAAGCCTACAAACATTGCAATATTGAAATGTTTTGGTCAGGTAATACATTTCCTCTTCTTACCTGTAGAAAGCAATCTTGTTGCAATCTTTGAAAATGTTTTTATCCACAGCTTCATCTTCAACACTAAATAAAAAGACATTTTAAGAAATTTATTTTCTCCAAAGTTTGTGAATCCAATTTTTGTTCCTTCTCTAACTACAGCATGAACTTAGGTAATAAACTTCTGCAATGCAAAATTGTGTCGTGACCATAACATAATACGATAGCCTGTGTGCTGCAGAGTAACATCCTTTTGTAAATCACACAAGGTAAACAACAAAATATCAAGTTCTGGGGATACACTGAAACACTGGAAAAAGAGTACTGTCACTTATAAGGAAGGATTCTTTTAAAATAATGACTGAAGGCTATGACTACAATAATAAAATCAGAAGACGCAAAACCACAAAAAACCCAAACGAAACAAAAACAATCCACCCACTTATTCGATAAAGTATTTTCAAAATATTCTTACTGAGTGCTGGGCCCTGAGAAAGATAGGAAGGAATGTGTCTGAGCTTCCTACAAGAGCCTAACCAACAAGTACAAATCAACCTGACAAATACTTCAACAGAGGTATGTGCAAGGGGCTAGAATAATAGAAACAGATGTAAAAGGAAAATCTTTTGCTTTTGAACGATGCTGGCAATTAGGAGTCAATGCTTTTTAAAACCAAGTTCCTAGAATAGCTGTTTCTGGAACAGACCATGAATAAGATACATACATATTGCTGCTAGAGAATATGTATTTAAATTAGCCTCCAGTGGCACCTAGCTGGATTACTCAGTCGGTCAGTGAAGCATCTTGGTCTTGGGGTTCTGAGTTCGAGAGCCCAGTGTTGGGTATAGATTACTTAAAAATAAAATCTTTAAAAAAATAAATTAGCCTCCATATGATTAAAACAACTATAGACTGTAAGGAAGGGGAAAACCACTGGCCTTCAAGCAGACATGTTGCTGAATACAGCTATAGTCAGCATGTCTATGAATATGTAGGAAACTATGGTTGAACACAAATTTCCAGATAGGAAAAGCCCACACAGATACACTTGGCTGTACTAAAAAATTATTTTTTTGGAAGTCATCAAATCCTTCACTGATGCAGTCTTTGTCAGTGTTTCTTTTAATCAAGTCTGCAAAGATTTGAGAAATTTAGTCTTTTTGCTTTCCAGCTTTGAAGAATGAGTTCTGTTAATACAGGAAGATGGGGGGTACAGCTGAATATGGAAAGCAACATGCTTGAAATTCACAGGTTACAGTTCTGATCACAACTCTTCTACTGTTTTGTAAACCATGCTAGAAGTATTTTATGAGGGGCTGGGGAATTGAGAAAAAATTATAAAGATTAAGTACATAAATATGAAACATGCAACTAACAGGTCATTCAACAATCAGTAAAGCCTTCAAAACCAGAATGTTGCTTTCAGTTACTATCTATCCCCTGCTGTCTAGATTCAGCCCCCGCAGGACCACTGGGCCTTTACCTGATTTCCTCTTTCCCAGCAGCTTCCATGGCTTCCCAGGCAATTCGACCCGCTTTCAGCGCTCAGGCCAAGGCCAAGCGCGGTCTTTTTAAAACTCCTATTGGCCGTCTTTCTAAATTATAACCAGGACTTCACCACTGCCAGGTCCTGGGAAATGGAGTCCTCTCCAGGTCCTTAAGGAGTAGCAAATCTGCACTTACTCCTCGGTTTTCCAGGCCAAATTAACGCTTCTACATGGATTTAGGTGGCCAAATTTTCTTAGTTACGAATGCTCGACGAAGAACTGCTTTCCTGAGGAATCAAAACTGTCTTTGCGGTGGAGGGGGCGTGTACTCAAAGAGCCCTAGAGGAGAAAAGTCAAGAGCGTGAGAAACAGGAAATACGGAGACCGCTTGCCTGACCCAGGCCAAACTTCTGCAGGTTTATCTCCGTGACCGTCACGCCACAGATCCTGAAAACTGACCCACTCTCAGTTTTTAGTAGAAAGTGCCGGCCTGCTCTGCGCTGAAGCTTGGTGTTCCCCGGTCAAATTCTGCTTTCCCCTTTCAGGGCTAAGTGGTCTTATAAAGGGTGTATCTACTACAGTAGATACAGTTCTGTAAGTGCTTATACTCTACCACTGCCAAATTCCGTCTTTGCTTAAATATCTCCAGAAAACCGAGAACTCACAACTACACGCCAAACAGGCGAACTTACGGCTTTCCCAGACTTCGGCCCCAGCGACTGACTTGGATCTAGAACGGATGAGAGGCTGGGGCGAACGAGAGGAGGAGAGAGCCAAACGCCACACTGGGTGCCTGCTTGGTCCCCAGACCCTTTAAGGGCCGGGAGAGAGAAGAGCCGACAGAAGCGGAGGCGGCTTTTAATAAACATCCTAACGCCCAAGGTGACCAGCAAACCACAGGACTACGTCTGCGCTGTACGGTCTAAAACTCACACGAGGTCTTGATGGCTGGCTTAGGGAGGGGCTGCTGGGTGGCCAAACAAACAAGCCCCGGGAGGTTTCGAGGACCCGGATGATCCCGCCCCCAGAGCAGAGCCGGAAGAGGGCGGGGCGAACCGGAAGAAGGTGAAATGCTTTCGGTAGGCGCTCCATGGCTGTGAAGATGGCGGCGGCTGCGTGGCTTCAGGTGCTGCCTGTCATTCTTCTACTTCTGGGGGCTCAGCCGTCCCCACTGTCGCTCCTCGGTGTAGGACCGGCACCTGTCGCCGCTGCCGACCGATCCAAGTGGCACATTCCGATACCGTCGGTGAGTGTTCACTTCAGAAGCAACTGAGCCTGGAGGAGCAAGGGGTGGGGCTACGGCGGCCTTAGGGGTCCATGAAGGTTCCGCTGAAGTCAGCTTCCAAAGGAGTGGAATTGCCTGGAGCGTCTGTGTCGCTGGTTAGCAGGGACCCACCTCCCTGGAGCGGACAGCTGTGCACTTCTGTGGGTAGGTTAGCGGGAGTGCCAGGGCCACTTCAGGAGAGGAGAAGAATGGTGAAATGGTATCTTAACAGCGAAGTCAGAACTTTGAATGCCTTGAGACGGGAAAGTTGATGAAAAGGTGGAGAACGGTTTCCCTTTCAGCTGAAGTTTCACAGAATCCAGTGACCCCGAGTTGCATGAGAGAGATCTGGAAATAGGTGTCCTTCTTTCTTTTTTTTTTTCTCTGCACTTTTTTGTTACTGGATGATTCTCCTTAACGAAGTTGTTTGATATCATTGGAACTTTGGAATGGTTATTCTAAGCTTTGCTGTGTGATTAGGAAGCCTAGGCATTTAAAAAAATGTATTCTAACATGAGAATGGCGAAATGGAAGAAATTTTATTCTAAAATTTGATACGGTAAAGGTATCCTTTCTTTTGGATGATTGACTAGATAGGTTGACCCTTTTTGTCCTCCTACTCCCCTCCTTTAAACCTCATTTGAGTAAGCGCTGTAGTCTTGCAAGCCAACAAATCGGATGCATCCAGGAAATGCCAGAAAGCATTTTGTCCTGTTGAAACCACGGTGGCCTTTTTGTTTCATTCTGCTCTGCTCACTGGCTCTAATGTCGAAATTTCATTTGAGCTTTTACATGGCAAGCATTAATAGCTTTTGTTCATTCGGTGAAGATCTTCAGGTTCTGACTTTTAGGTATTGTTGGTAAAATGGTTACTAGTTAAGTTCATCTGTCTGCTCATACAATAGCTTATTTGAAGAAATGATTGGGTTATTCTGAACAGTGATTAGTGAGTGAAGGGAATTTACTTGAAGATTTAAGTTGAGATTTCTAGCAGCTTCTAGAGTCCTTGCTTCATGGTCTGTGGGGGAAAAATTGTGTCTCTTCACCAAGCTACAAACTTCTGCAGTTTGGATGCGGTTGAATTTTACTAAAAGGAAGGATATTCATGTATTTTTTGTTGTTCTTAAGAAAACTAACTTAAACATTTTATAAATTTAGGTTTTGTAACAATTATATTCTGCCTTGGGAATTAAAGTGATCTGATGCTAATTATCTTTCTCCTTTATCTTTGCAGGGGAAAAATTATTTTAGTTTTGGAAAGATCCTGTTCAAAAATACCACTATCTTCCTGAAATGTGAGTTTTTGCATTTCATGAAGTTTTTATTTGAGTTTTTAAGTGATCTTTAAACTTATTAAATTACCTAGTTTCTATCTCTGACCTACTCTAAATGTAAGCTTTGAAATTTAATAGTCTGGCCCTATCTAGGCATAAACATCTTAGTGTAATTAAGGTCTTTTCAATGAGTAATCTTCTGAATACTTGTGTGAACTTTATTTTCTTCTCTTGTTTTTCTGGTGCTTATACAGTTAGACCAATTAATGTTGTTTGATTGTCTGCATGGTGTTTTAATCTGTCCTGTGTCAAAGAAATATCACTGACTTGGCTTTTGTGTGCTTGTTAGATGTTTACTGAACACATGACTTAGGTTTGTCAGACCTTTGGCTCTGAATGCATATGTTCAGTAAACCTTTGTTTACAGAAGGTGTATTTTCTTATTTGGATCTTTGAAAGAGGAAGCTCAAGGCTATTACTGGGGAATAGGGATTATGTAGAACAAAACCAGTCTGTCCACTGAGAAAAACCACTGTATCTGAATCCAGAATATCCCATTGCGTATTAAAGAAAGGCTTCCTTTTATTTTTGAAACTGGCTTGACTTTAGGGAATAAATGATCATGGGTAAACTCTGTTTCAGGATCAGGGATAAAAGTTCAGGTCATCCATTTGTGCTTCTTTGCCTATCTTTCTCCATGAAAGTGCAAAGTTATAAGTTGGAGTTGGTTGATTTTGTTTTAATCATTTACTAAGTAGTTATTAAAAACCTACATGCTCCAGGCATTGTTTTAGATCGCAAGGAAGTGATAGAAAAGGCCCTCTCTCTTCCTGAGCTTACAGTCTAACAGGAGTGAAGGGGGCCAGTAAAATTTCTATGAAAAACAGACTATGTCTGAAAATAGAGTTTCTTGACTAAGGACTTAAATTTGGTTTAAATGAGATTACTGAAACAAGCTGGTCTGTCTTGTGAGGTTGGTGTGCTAGAGAAGACTAACTTTTCAGGATAGCGGTATTTGGTTTTTTGGAATAGCCTGACAGTCTGCATGCTATTCTACCTTTTTATCATCTGTAGTCTTTTCTCACCTGTTTTTTGATCAACTGATGCTTTGCCACCTTACGCAAGCTGCTATTTTGCAGTGTTTACATTTCGTTTTTGGGGAGAATTTGAGACTCCTAAAAAATTATACTGTGTTTCCTTTTGTTACTTCTCTGCTCACATTTACCTTGTCTCCGATTTTATACTTTTAGGGCTATGGTATAGCTTTCCGTGAAATTGCCGGGGCCATTTTTGTTTCTTAATGCCATCTATACAAAGTTCTGAATGGTGTCCTTTAACATATAGTAGTATTTTTGCAGCCAAGTCTTTCTGAAGATCTTTTGTTTAGGGGATTTTCTTATAGGCTTCTGTTTAGTTAATAGAAGAATTTGTATGGTTCTTCTGAATAGTTTACAGTGAGATTGCAAATATCCTTTTTATCATTTCCATAAATTCTATTTAGCACATCAGAGTTTTGTGTATTTTAATTGAGCCTTGTAAAAGTATGTCACTTGAAAATTAATTTGAGAAAACAATTTAAAAAGCACAAAAGGGAAGGTTATAATTTTAGGTGTGCGCCTTTTGTTAAGAGCCAAAAATAGATTCCTAGATACAGTCATGTTTATCTTTGTCACATTTGCATAAAGCAGGTATCTTGTATATTTTCCATAACGCAGCTAGAATCAAAGATAAACTGACTTCCAGGTGGGACAGCTGATGAGTGATACAGTCAGATTTATGCTCTCAAGTTTTCAGACTGATGCCTTGGCCCCCTAGAATATTGTGTTCCAGACATTGTTAATGAGTTTTGAGGCCACTCAGACTTCTTGAGATTCCTTGAGGCCTCTCTTAAGGTGGATTTTGGAAAGCGTTTTTCATTTTTGCTTTTGCTCTTCCTTCCTTCCCCAGGTTTGTTTTTTTTCCTTAGTTCTTTCTGTCTAGTTTTGATATCTTTCAAGGTCTAAGCCATTAATTTTTCCCTCAGTGGAACTATTTTTGAATACTGCCTTATGATGTCCCTAATGTTATTCCTTGTTTCTCCAACAAGAATGTAGCCTCCTTAGGAGTCCTGTTCTCCAGCCTGACACAGTGTCAGTAGCTTTGTATGCTTAAGTGTTCTGCTCAGTAAATATTTGAATGATAATAGAAGACTGGGTTTAACTGAGGACTGCTTTATCGCTTCCAGGTTTTTTCCAACAGAGAACCAGGAATTGAGGTTTTAAGGCATAAAAGTAGATACACTTAAGTCAGAAACTTCTTCTGTGAACAACAGTACTTTTATCTGAAGAATATCCACCTCTTTTTACGTATATTACCTTACGTTTGGAGAAGAGGTGGTCTTTGAATACCTAAAGTTAGCAGGAAAAATAGAAGGTGGGGTAAAGGCCTAGGAAAAATGCTTTGTTTGGGAATCATCTTTATTCACAAAGTTTTCTTCTTTTATAGTTGATGGAGAACCTTGTGATGTATCTTTGAATATAACCTGGTATCTGAAAAGTGCTGATTGTTACAATGAAATCTACAACTTCAAGGTAAGAAATATAAAATTAACAGACTTCTTGGACTTTAAATATCATCGGGTCCTACCTTATAGAGGAAGGAGTGTCATGTAACTAGGAGGGAAAGAGCTGAAATTAGAATCTTCTGTGCTTCCCAGTTTGCAGACCTAGAATGCTAGCAAACTTTTTGGTCTCAACCCTTAAAAATGACTGCATACTCCTGCTCACTTTAGCAGCACTGTAGAAGTGCTGACAGTACTGATTCCCGTCTTTGGCCCCCCATTTTGTTCATTTGTCAGTTACTTTTCTTATGGGGCTGTGTGTTCCAGGCCCCTTAGAGATTATTATACATAACCTTAGGTATATCCAAAATCTATAAAGAACTTACCAAACTCAACACCCAAAGAATAAATAATACAATCAAGAAATGGGCAGAATGCATGAACAGACATTTCTCCAAAGAAGACATACAAATGGCCAACAGACACCTGAAAAATTGTTCAATGACACTCGGCATTGGGGAAATACAAATCAAAACCACAATGAGATACCACCTCGCACCGGTCAGAATGACTAAAATGTGTAAGTCAGCAAGCACTGGATGTTGGTGAGGTTGTGGAGAAAGGGGAGCCCTCCTACACTGTTGGTGGGAATGTAAGCTGGTGTAACCACTCTGGAAAACAGTATGGAGGTTCCTCAAAAAGTTGAAAATAGAACTACCCTACAACCCAGCAATTATACTACTAGGTATTTACCCCAAAGATACAGATATAATGATCCGAAGGGGCACCTACACCCAAATGTTTATAGCAGCAGTGTCCACGATAGCCAAATGATGGAAAGAGCCCAGTTTTCCATTGACAGATGAATGGATAAAGAAGATGTGGTATATATATACAATGGAATACTATTTAGCCATCAAAAAAAAGAAATCTTGCCATTTGCAACAATGATTGGAACTAGAGGGTATTATGTTAAGTGAAATAGGTCAATCAGAGAAAGACAGTTACATGATTCACTCATACGTGGAATTTAAGAAGCAAAACAAAGGATCATTAGGGAAAAGAGGGAAAGATAAAACAAGATGAAATCAGAGAGGGAGACAAATACAGAAGATATTTATAATATATATATATAATATAATTTGTAATACAAATACAGAAGAGACTTTTTTGTTTAAAGATTTATATATTTTTATTGTTTGAGAGCGAGAGAGAGCATGAGTGGGGTAAAGGGTGGGAGGAAAAGCAGACTCCCTGGTGAGCAGGGAGCCCAATGCAGGACCTGATCCCAGGACTCAAGGATCATGACCTGAGCAGAAGGCAGACACTTAACTGACTGAGCCACCCAGGTGCCCAACCATAAGAGACCCTGTAAAGGGTGACTGTAAGAGTAGTTATAGGGTAACTGGGTGATGGATATTAAGGAGGGCCTGTGATGGATGATTACCATCCATCACATATAAGACTGATGAATCACTGAACTCTATCCCTGAAATTAATAAACACTATATGTTAATTAATTGAATTTAATAAATAAGCAAACATTTTAAGAAAAGAAAAGGGAATGCCTACTTTGAGAAATGCCTACTTTGAGAATGCCTTCTTTAAGAAAGAAAAGGGAAAGCCAGGATTGGGGGAGGCTTGTTTTGGCCTTCCATGAATCTGGTAGAGATAACATTGTCTTTACCCTTCCTGATGCACAGGTAGTGCCGCAAGATCTAATTAATGATTAGCTGTTTATTAGGTGCCTGCAGGCCCTTTACAGATGCATGGGAATCTTTTGATCTCCTTTGATCTCACTACAGTGCCCTTCTTTGTGTCTGCTCACTGTATAAAATCTATGGAGTAGGGTCTGGATTTTGCAGAGAATAACACTTCAGCTCCCATGTATTGTCCTATGCCCATTTCCCTCCCCCTGTCAGAAAGTTACACTGAATAAAATTATGCATAACAACTGTAGAGAGTTGCCTCCTTCATTTTCTGGTCTCAAAATACCTTCTCAGTTTGGGGAATACTTTATTGTTCCTCCTCCACCTTCTAACAAGCGCATATACTAAAATTGGAACAATACAGAAGATTAGCATGGCCTCTGCACAAGAATGACACATAACTCATGAAGCATTCCATATTAAAAAAGAAATTACTATAGTTTCCAAAAAACCTTTTGTTCATGTGGGTTACTGCATTAGAAATTAAAACAAAATACAGAAATATGTATTAATTTATTTTACGGTAGCAGTAATAAGTCATTGCATGTTAATACAAAAAACTTTCTTTTAGTGAAAAATAGATTTTTCCAAAAACACAGAAGAGGTATTATTTTGTATTTTTCCAAAGCCCTTTCTTCATTTGATGTTGGATATAGTAGAAGACAGCTGAATTCTTATATCTTCTTCACTCAGTTTATTGTGATGTATTATTTTGGTTGAAGTATATGCACAAAATATGGCCTCATAATACAGATACATAGTTGGAAAAGGGGATGATATTTTAAGTGTTTTCAGATAATTGTAGGTAGTGTTCTTTGATTTTATACCGAAATGTAACAAGTAGAGTTTCTTAAAGGTTGGTGTCAGTGTGGTATCTGAGAGCACATCAGTCAACTTTATTCTTTCTCTTTTGTATTTAAATAAGTTGGTGTGTCATGCACTTTGGTCTTTTATGTATGTCTAATTTTGGTTATTTTGAAAATAGTCCTTGACTGAATTTTATAAATCTTTAAAATATTAACTAATTTTACAATTAAGTTGAAATGTTTTTTATATATATGTGTATATATATAGGTACATATTTTTAAAGATTATACTTATTTGTCAGAGAGAGAGCATGCACAAATGGGGAGCAGCAGGCAGAGGGAGAACTAGGCTCCCTACTGAGCAGGAAGCCATACCTGGGGCTCATTCCCAGGACCCTGGGTTCATGACCTGAGCTAAAGGCAGATGCTTAATCCACTGAGCCGCACAGGTGTCCTGAAGTTATATTTCATCCACATATCATCACCCTCCTGTCACATCAGAAACTCCTTAAGTATTAGAGACTTAAGTATTGTGAGGAAGATGCAGTTTGAAAGCTCAAATTTTATCATTGGCAAGACAACAATACTTTCTGTTGTCTTCCTTGAAGTAACAGCCTCCCTTCACCCATTTTCAATAAAGTATCTCCCAAATAACCAAATCTGAATAACCTATAGTTTGTCAGTTATTCTTGGAGGTAAATGGAAAAAGTGGATAGTTCAGGTTATAAGTCAAAACAGTTGTAAAGTGTTTTATCTTTTTTATAGTATTTTGCATATTTCCCATTTTGTCCCATAGAATATTAAAAAATACACACAAAGTCCAGATTTAATAACATTAATAGATTTTACTGTTCGTTAAAGGCATTCTTAGTAAAACTGGCTTATTTTTTTTTTTTTTTTTAAAGCTGTGTATGACTGACTGCAATGACTGCTGGTGCAATTAGATGTCGCTGCCTTGATTCCTGATAAGGGGCAGCAGTTTTACCCATCATTACCTTTGCATTGTCAGTACAAAGCAAATAACCTATTACTTTATTAGTAGTAGTATGGAATTAGTTTTAGATCTCATTTCACAGTTGACATAGTATACTGTACTTGGGCACTGAAGATACATGGCTCCAAGATGGATTTTTCAGGACTTTTCCATTCTGTTTCTAGCCTCCATTTATTTCTTTTTTTCCATTTCAAAGATATTCTGTTTTTTAAAAAAATGACCACCATCTAGTTGGTTTTTCAAACCTTAAGGATTTTTAATTCCTGCCTTGTATTAGGGTTTTACATTACCTTTTTTGTGGTGTTGGTGACTGTTTTTTGCTTTTGTTATACAACATTAGATAGGAGGTAGGATGGGGGGAAGGACTGAAGAATTTTAAAGAGAAATGATAGTATGTCCAGAGTGTAGTTTGAAGCATTATTGATCTTTTGCTCTTAATCAATCACTAATTGAATTTACAGTTAAAAACTTCGTACATTTGATACTAGTGATAAACTGGTCAAGAACTTAAGCAGATCTGGTCTGATAACGTAAAAATTATCTCGGGTTGCCACAGGACAGAATTCTGGAAATGACATGCAGCTAGTTGGAGATGTAAAACTGGAGCTTAGGGAAAAAAGGGAAAGAGTAGGGATGTAGGTATAGGAGGAAAATTGCAGAACTGATGGATGCAGCCACAGAAGTGGTGAATTTTTCTCAGAATATCCACAGTGGGCTATGAATAGCTACAGCAGTTTTGTACTCTATCTTAGCTTATGAGCACAAGTATATCTTTTTGTTGGTGTTGGCAATTTAGTCTCTTAACTCTTGTAAATATATATTCTTGTGACAAAACCTTCTGGACTCTGACATTTTCCAGATCTTCCTAGAACTTTCAGAACTACTCTTTGTAAGCAGTGGACTAGAATTCTAGTACTTGAGAGTCTAATACTGTTAGATTCTTGGATACTGTTACACAGTTTTTATCTGATGCTGTTAACTTTTAAAATAGCAAATTCAACAATGTGTCTGTCCTGTAAGCAATCTATTTGTTGTCTTCTAAATACCTTCCTTGTGAAAAGTAAATTTTGTACTTTGTATTTTCTGTTTTTACAGGCAGAAGAAGTGGAGACATATTTGGAAAACCTTAAGGAAAAAAAAGGTTTGTCTGGGAAATATCAAACATCATCAAAATTGTTCCAGAACTGCAGTGAACTCTTTAAAACACAGGTAATATTTGATAGTGGTTGGAGGGAAATAGAAGAGGTGAAATGTGTAGTATCTGTATTTTTGGTGATTCCCCATTTCCCACTTCCCAGTTCTTTGTTCTGACAGAAATAACTTGCATAGTTAGCCATTTAATATCTCATCAAAAAGAGGATGTGCCTTCCTTCATGTGTAAAAAGCAATCCCCATTTTTTTTTTTTTTTTATGGTAAAAAATTTTTTTGCCATTTTAACCATTTTCAAGTGTGCCCTTGGGGGGCATTAAGTACCTTTGTATTATTGGGCAACTATCACCAGTAGCCATCTCCAGAACTTTAATCATCCCAAATTGACACTTAATAACCATGAAACAGTAACACTACCCTCCCCCTTCCATCCCTGCTAACAACTATTCTACTTTGTCTTTATAAATTTCAGTATTCTAGATTCTTCAAATGAATGGAATCATAAAATATTTGTTTGGCTTCTTTATCTTAGTGAAATGTTTTCAAGGTTCATCCATATATCGTATCAGAATTTATTTCTTTTTTTAAGTATGAATTGCATATATATACCAAATTTTTTTATCCATTCATCTACTGATGGACATTTGAAACCCCCAATTTTCAGTTCTCTTGTCATCTCATCTAATTGATATGTTTTCAGAAAAATCAGTGTTTCTAGATTTTACTGCTACAGACCTGAACTCAAAGAGTTGAATTTCATACTTTTTCTTGAGTAAAGGAGAAGAGGTAAATGTGTATTTTTAATGCTTACATATATGTAATCATGTAATTGGAATTTATCTTCAAAATTTTTTTTTCTTAGAAATATGATCTAGCACCAGTTTTTTGATAGAGAAATTATATATTTTATGGGTGTTGAAAATAGTTCTTGTTAACTATAGACTTTTTGTCCTTACTGTGTTTATTGCTTTGGAATATTTAGTAAATTGCCTTGAAGAGGCAGAGCTCACCAAAAGCTAGGTTTTCTGTCCAATTACTAGGAGTAAAGTTGGTTTATAAGAAGACCTTAATTTAATAATTAGTGATTAATAAGCAAATGAGGTAATTAATAATCTAACTATAACAATTGATAGTTCAGTTCTTATTATAGCTTAGAGTTTATGGATTGGAGAAAAAAGATACCTTTATAATGGTGGAAGAATAAGGAATCTAGAAACAGTGGAATGTTGAGTAAGAGACTTTCTGTTAGTTTTCTAGCCTGGGAGGATTGGTTGGCCTTTCTTGGATTTTATCATGGAAAGCTACCTGTTGAATAGTGTTGCCCAAGGTTCACTTTGAGATCTGCTATAATCTTTCCAGGGTCTTGGCATACACCCCTATTAGTAAGCTTACCTCTCCTCCTCCAGTCTAATGTAACAGAGTTGAAATACATGTTCTAATTACTCAGGAAGGTAAATGCCTCATCTGCTGATAACTGATAAGAAAGGTAGTGTAGTTTTTTTAATAGGCGTGAGTGTGTTGTGGTGGAAGGAGCACCTAACTCAGTAGACCCAAGAGTTGAAAATCCTATGTTCAAATCCCATTTCTCCATCTGAAGCTTTATAACATGTAGCCATATTTTTCTCATCTGTAGCAGGAGAGAGAACCATAAGCTCTCTCCATACTAAGCATATACCTTCTGTTTAAGGGTTTTTTTAATTCTTAAACGTCTTTAATTCTTAATAGAAAAATTGAATGGCCAGTTTAGTCTGATACTATTTTTTAGTTCTCAGTTTAATTTACTCACTTGTTTATGGTTCATTGGAAATCTTTTGTCTGTCAGTGCCATATTTTTTTACTGTTACAATAAGTTTTGCTTTAACCAATTCTATGGATTTTGAACTATGTTTTACTACTATACTTCTTTAATTTTAATGTTCTATTTCTTTCATAGAGCTTTTCTGGGGATTTTGTACATCGATTGCCTCTCTTAGGAGAAAAACAGGAGGTAATTGTTTGCATTGTTATGTATTTCTGAGAGTAAAGTAAAAATTCTGAATTAATTTTCTTTTCCTTTTTTTAATGTTTAAAGGCTAAGGAGAATGGAACAAATCTTACTCTTAGCGGAGATAAAACTGTAAGTATCGTAGCTAATTTGGAACAATGAACACATATTTGAATCTTATTGTTATTGTACCATTTAAAAAAGAAATTTAAGAATGGAAGTTTAAACACAAAATGCTGAGGCGCCTGCCTGGCTCAGTCAGTAGTAGAGCGTATGACTTTTGATCTTGGGGTTCTCAGTTCATATCTCACATTGGGTGTAGAGATTACTAAAAACAAACAAACAAACAAACAAAAAAACAAACTTTAAACCCCAAAGTGTTAGTAATGGTTATTGTGGATAATATGAGCAATTTTTATTTTCTTCTATGTATTTCCTGTATTTTCCCTATTTGCTAAAGTCTGTTGTTTTTGTAATCATCAGCCAATAGATGTGACTCATAAATAGGAAGAACCTTTTAAGAAAGAACCTCAAACTACGTCTAAAGTTATCTTATGATAGAGTATAACTGGAAGACAGTTTGGAAAGCTGAAATAAGGTTGAAAATTATAAATATGCCTTTATTTTCATAATTCACTTTCTAATTCACAATAACTAATTCCTCAAAACTTTATCTCTTAAAAATATAGAGGAAGTAAGACTGTTAACCATGTTGGATCATGCTTTTTACAAAACCGATTAAAGTTTTAAATTTTATAATGACTTTATTCAGACATACAGATCTCAGAATTCAGCCTTTTAAAAGCTATAATTCAGTGTTTTATATAGTATATTCAGAAGTTGTGCAACCACCAATCAGTATCTAATTCCAGAACATCTTTGTCACCCCAGAAAGTCACTATTTTGATTACAGGAAAGCCATTAGCAGTCACTTCTCTTCCCACCCTTGTCACCCTTGAGACCACCTGTGGTCATCTCATTTCCAGTCTTTCAAGTTTTTAGTCAGCCTCTTGATAGCCCAGCCTGCTAACATCAGCTGAGAGAGGGGGGCAGTTATGATCTGTCACAGTTGCTGCTGAGTGCCTTTGATGGTGCCTTGAGTATAGGATCCTATATGAGGATGGATTAGGTCATATAAAAAGATAAGACCTGGGAAAGGAGCTTTTCAGCACCTGCCAGAGAGCTCTGCCACTGGGTTTGAGGGCAGCTCTAAACCGGTTCTGTTTTTTTCCAGTGGCTGCCAAACTTCTGTTTTTCACAGCCATTACAGTTGTGAGAACTTTGGTTTTAAGGTGTTTGGAAGAGGGACTTGGGATTAGGATGAACAAAAACACCACTGGCTTGTTTTTCTTAATGACACCCAACTGTTTTTCTTAAGGAAACACATTTAGGGTTGGTGCAAGTTTTTAGCTAATTTCTGGACTTGGCAGAAATGTTGATTTGGATCATTTTGCCCATGTTCTTGTTGGTTTGGGGGATAAGTGTCTTTTCAGAGGTCCTCATTCTGCTATTCTGGAAGTGTCCCCCCTTTCCCTGCCCCGATTTATAGTTTATGGAATTTTAACCTAAAGATGAGTTTGGCACTGCAGACTTCATTAAAAAAAATTTTTTTTCTGGGACGCCTGGGTGGCTCAGTTGGTTAAGCGGCTGCCTTCGGCTCCGGTCATGATCCCAGTGTCCTGGGATCGAGTCCCACATCGGGCTCCTTGCTTGGCAGGGAACCACTTCTCTCTCTCTCTCCCTGCCTGCCACTCTGTCTGCCTGTGCTCATGCTCTCTCTCTCTCTCTGACAAATAAATAAAATCTTTAAAAAAAAAAAAATTTTTTTTCTTATTGCTAACCTGCATATATTCACTACCAAAAATTTAGAAAACATACATAAATGCAAAGAAGAAATAATCATCTAATACTACCACACACTGTAGAGTATAAATATATTTATTTTATAATCTTTTGTCTCTGAACATACTTCTATTTATTTAATAATGGGAATCCTACAATATATATTACGTTGTAGCGTTTTTTTAGCTTGGCAGTATAACATGTACTTCCTTCCAGTTCAGTAAATATTGTATGACATCATTATTTAGGTCTCTGCAGAGTATTTTATTGTATTCATATGTTGTAATTTGATAGCAAACGATCCATTGTCAGACATTTATGTGTTTCATTATCTTGCAATTTTAAATAGCACTTCAGTGATTAATTTTGAATATTTAAAAAAATTTTTATATTCTGGTTTCAAAAGACTTCCATGTTGGCACACATGTTGCTTCTATACACTTAAAAGTAAATCCCTTGTAATTTTATTTTCTAGCAGTTCAGTGTGATTACACAGAACAGATATTTACTGACCAAAGTGAGATTATGTTATATATACTGCTATATAATTTTTTGTTTTCACTTACTAGATTGGTACATTGAGTGCTATTTCACTTTTCTAATGGTTGCATACTTTTTCATTTAACCATGATTTTTATACTTAACTCCTGATTGATGTATATTGTTTTGTTTCCAAATTTTCCCTATTGTAGATAAGGTCCCATTCCTAATGTGTTGCTATATCTTTGTGCACATTTTTTTTTTTAAAGTAGGCTCCACACTGGGGCTTGAACTCATGACTCTGAGATCAAGACCAAGTTGAGAACAAGAGTAGGAAATGCTCAACTCACTGAGCCACCCAGGTACCCTGAGCACATTTATTTTCTTAGCCTAAATTCCTAGAGGTTGAATTGCTGGTTCCAAGTGTATGCACAATTTATAATTTATAAGTTCTTTTTTAATATTTTGTTCTATTTGTTCTGTATGTTCTATGTATATTTTGTTCTATATGTTTATATTTTATTCTAGAGAAAAATAACAGCTATTTATTGTCCTAAGAAAAGAGGATTGAGTTTCCCTCTGTGCTCACAACAATGACTGTTATAATTTAAAACAGATTTTATGCAGTTTGTCAGATTAAATTGTTGTAAATTGTGTTTATAAAAAATTATTGTTGAAGCTAAATATTTATTTGTATGCTGATAGGTTGTTTATAATTGTGCTTTTATTTGGTGGCCTTTTGTGTATAGCATTTTTTTAATGATTTTATTTTTTTTTTAAGATTTTATACTGTATTTTATTTTATTTATTTTTTTTTTAAGATTTTATTTATTTATTTGACAGAGAGAGACACAGTGAGAGAGGGAACACAAGGGGGAGTGGGAGAGGGAGAAGCAGGCTTCCTGCCAAGCGGAGAGCCGATGCGGGACTCGATCCCAGGACTCTGGGATCATGACCTGAGCTGAAGGCAGAGACTTTAACCCACTGAGCCTCCCAGGCGCCCCTTTAAATAGTCTCTGCACCCAACAATGGGCTCGAACTCAGAACTCGAAGATCAAGAGTCACATTTTTCACCAACTGAGTCAACCAGGCACCCTCAGAGCATATAGCATACTTCTAAAATTTGCTCAAGGCTTGAGCCCTGTTACTAGTGATTAAAGCTGGCTGGAAGATGACCCTGATGAATATCACAAGTAGTATTTATTTAGAGATATTTAGTCAAATTATAATAAAAAGTCAGAGATTTATCTGTCCTTTGTTCATTCTTCCTGAAAATTGGGCCTAAGAGGAGAATTCTTTAATAATACTATTTTTATTTATTTATTATTACTTACGTAAAAAGATTTTATTTATTTGAGATAAAGAACAAGAATGGGGGAGAGGGAGAAACAGACTCCCCATTGAGCAGGGAGCCCGACATGGGGCTTGAGCCCAACACCCTGGGAACATGATCCGAACTGAAGGCAGATCCTTAACCAACTGAGCCACCCAGGTGCCTCTAATAATTCTATTTAAAGGGTAATCACAAGTTCAGCACCACCTCCTTTTTTTAAAGCTCTGATAAAACAAGTTTTTTAGACAAAGGGGCTTTTCTCTGTCTTTTCTCCCTATGAAGTATTAATGTTTCTATTAATTCAGTTTTATGGTTTGATTTAAGCAGTAATGTGATATATTTACCATTGTAATGCTTTTTAAATTAGTAGCTTTCCTTTTTTAGAGCAGCTTTAGATTCATAACAAAATTGAGCAAAAGGCAGGGGTCCCACATAGCTCCTTCATAGACGCACAATCAGACCCCCCCCATCTTGCACCAGCCAGTGTGACACATTTGTTACAGTTGATGAGTCAACATTGACACATTATTATCAACCAAAGTCCATAGTTACATTAGTGTTAGTTCCTTGTGTTACACAGCGTTTGTTTTTAGTCAAATGTAAAATGACCGATATATACCATTATAATATAGAGAATAGTTTCATTGCCCTAAAAATCCTCAGTGCTCCCTCTACCTAGTCATCTCTCCTTCCCTTCAAGCCCCTGGCAGTCATTGATTTTTTTCTTTAAAGATTTATTGATTTATTTATTTTGGGGGGGGCGTTGCGCAAAGAGAAAGGGTGAGAGAATCTCAAGCAAACGCCCTGCTGAGTGTGGAGCCCCACAGGGGGCTCAATCTCATACCCTGAGATCATGACCTGAGCTGAAATCTAGAGTCAGATGCTTAACTGACTGAGCCACCCAGGCACCCTAATTGTTTTCTGTTGTTGTTTTACTGTGTCCATAGTTTTGCGTTTTCCAGAATGTTTTATAGTTGAAATTGTGTGATATATAGCCTTTTCAGATTGGCTTCTCTCACTCAGTATTGTGAGTTTAAGGTTTCTCCATGCATTCTCATGGCTTGATAATTCATTTCCTTTTAGTGCTAATATTCCATTACTTGAATGTATCACAGTTTATTTTATCCATTCACTTTTTTTTTAAGATTTTATTTATTCATTTGACAGAGATCACAAGTAGGCAGAGAGGCAGGCAGAGAGAGAAGAAGGGAAGCAGGCTCCCCGCTGAGCAGAGAGCTCGACATGGGGCTCGATCCCAGAACCCTGAGATCATGACCTGAGCTGAAGGCAGAGGCTTTTAACCCACTGAGCCACCCAGGCACTCCTATCCATTCACTTCTTAAAGGACAGTTATGAAGGAGCTAATTAATAGTAGTACCTATCATACGTGGTGGTTGTGAGGATTAAGGACTATAATAAATGTTAAACTTCTGTCAGAGTGCCTGGCATATCTTTTAAGATTTTTTTTTTTAAGAATTACTTATTTATTTGACAGAGAGAGACACGGTGAGAGAGGGAACACAGCAAGGGGAGTGGGAGAGGGAGAAGCAAGCTCCCTGCTGAGCAGACAGCCCGATGTGGGGCTCAATCCCAGGACCCTGGGATCATGATAGGAGCTGAAAGCAGACGCTTAGCAACTGAGCCACCCAGGCACCCCTCTTTTAAGATTCTTAATTGGTATTATGTTCTCAGTATTCTGAACTAGACTTTAGACTTGTCAAAGCCTGGTTACGAAGTCAAAACTTGGCATATGGTTATTTTTACAGGCTCAAAATAATATATATCCCAGGGTTAGATGGAAACTTTGTCAAATCCTGGAATGTGAGAATTAATGAGTCCCTTCTAAAATTTGTAAGAGGCAGTTTTAAGGTGTGTAGAATTAATACCAGAGCAGCTTATTACACCAAATTAAGTTTTATTGGTTAATGCACACATAAGTTCAGGGAAGATTCAGTTAATTATGGGTAAAGGACATGATGTACCTATAACTTTTTGAAGCTTTAAATTTTTCTCATAAATAACTCCTTAATTTTGTCAGAAAGAGGCCTTCAGGCAGAGATAAAACAATATGTGATTCAGTATGGCATTTATGTTCTTAAGTTACTAAGATAACCTAGTAAATGAATTATAGCTGTAGAATCATTTAATCTACTTTGGCACTTGTGATTTGGGCATGGAAGATAATTTTTGAACTCTTGTTTTGGCCTTTTCTTGGGTTGTAGGATAATTTGAACATTTGAGACAACCTGTGGCTCCACAGGAAAACACATAAATATGTAAACTCTGTTATCCACTTTGAGGGGTTTCATAGATCGATGACACTTACCCAGAGATGTCTGGGTAAAAGTTTCTTTTAATTTTAAGACCAGAAGATAATAAATTGTAAGTCTAAGCAGTGATACCTCCTTTCACACAAGGAAGAAGCCAATAATTTTCTCCTTTAACTTTGTGTTTTAGTATTGTGTTTGTGAGGGTCCATAGTCCACTAGTAAGTATGACAACAAATCCTTTGAAAGCTTTTTGCTTGGGCTATGAGTAACTGGTCTTGAAACAGATTCTTCCCAAGTAACTTGTTCTGTATACATGGAGGCCATTACCTCCACTTCCTTTACTTTGACAGACAATGACTCCACATAGACTAGCCATGATTAAATTTTTGATAAAAATGTGAGTGCTTTTCACTAGAAATTCTGGTAGTCTTGAGAAGGACATTGAACAAAGGAAATTAAATTCAGGAGTTAGTGTTTATAATATAATTCAGTATCAACATCATGGGTATTTTTTGTTTTGAGGTGATTTAAATCTCCTTACTTTATCTACGTAAAATATAACCAAGTATCCTAGCATGGCTTAATGAAACATTCAATTTAGTAATATTTAGCTGCGGTTTTCCTTGTTAAAAAAATATGCTAAATACATGATTTTTGTGCATAACAAGATCTAAAATGTCCTGTCATATAATAATTTGTAGTCTGACATACTTTATGCACTATAGGCCTGTTTGTTCTGTTGTACCTGCTATTTTAATGAATGAAAGTGAAGAACTCAGCTATGTTTCTAGGCACATTTTGGAAGAAGATTTTCATATTGACACATGTTCTTAGTTCTTAAGACTTATAGATTTGATGTCTTTTTTTTTTTTCCAGGCAATGCATGATCCACTGAAAACTTGGCAAGATGCACCATACATTTTTATTGTACATATTGGCATTTCATCCTCAAAGGAATCCTCAAAAGAAAATTCACTCAGTAATCTTTTTACCAGTAAGTACATTTTGTTCCTTTGTACCATTCATATTATCTAGTTGTTTCATGCGTGATTAGTAGTGTAAAATTGCTGTAAGGGAGGGAATAATTAAGGATGTTTGTTGTGAGGGTGGCTCAGTCCATTAAGGGTCCTGGGATCAAGCTGCTGGTGGGGCTTCCTGCTCAGTGGGGAGCCTCCTTCCCCCTCTCCTTCTGTCTGCTGCTTCCCCTGCTTGTGCTCTCCCTCTCTGTCTAGCAAATGAATAAATCTTCAAAAAAAAAAAGAAAAAAAAAAGAAGTAGTAGTGTGTTGTGTACCAGACATAGTTTCAGGCACTTCACTTATGCTTTCTTGTTATGTATTATAGATACCAGATTTCATTTTCCGTCATTTGATCCTCCTGCTTTTAAGATTCTTAAATGGTATTTGTTCTCAGTATTCTCAACTTGACTTGTCAGAACTTGGTTACCAACTCAAAACTTGGAAATTTTTGAATTTAATTGACTTTGTTAAGTTTTTAGTGTCTCAGTTTTTCTTAGTGTTCTCCTTTCTATTCTTACCCAGTTCCTGGAGTCCTCGTCTCTTGGAATTTTGTGGTCACTTAACTAACAAGTCTTATTTTCTTTAGTTTCTATTTTATGTTTCTTCCTCCTTTGCAGTTTTCTTCCCTCCTCTCCTTTCTTGAGTAGAATGTTGAATGAAACAATGATGATGATCATCCTTATCTTGTTACTGACTTTATTGGCACCCTTAGTGCATTTTACCATTAATTGTGTTCACTGTGGACTTTTCAGAATATTCTGTGTTTGGTTAGGATTTTTTTCCCCCTCATTTACTAAGTGTATTTTTATGCCTTTTTTTTTTTTATTACGGAGAATGAGTGCTCAGTTTTATCAAATGCTTTGATTGTATTGATTAAAATGATCATGTAGATTCCCCCATTTTTAATCTGTTAATGTGTTGCATTATATTAACCAACTTTTCTAATGTTAAACCATTCTTGGGGGCACCTGGGTGGGTCAGTCGATGAAGTGTCTGCCTTCAGCCCAGATCCCTGGGATCAAGCCCAGTGTTGGGTTCCCTGCTCAGCGGGGACTGCTGCTTCTTCTCCCTCTGCCCCTTTCCCACTCATGTTCCTTCTCTTTCTCTCAAATAAATAAATAAGATCTTAAAAAAAAAAAAAAAAAGGAAAAACCCATTCTTGAATTTCTGAGAGGCCAGTATTTGTCTTGATATACACACATATATATACATAGCTGACTTCTGTTTTATACAATTTTATTTGGAAGTTTTGCTCAAAGTAAGATTGGCCTATAATTTTCTTTTCACATACTGTCATCTATGGGTTTTGGCATCCAGATTATACTAGTTTTATACAATGAATTAGAGAATATCCCCTATTACAAAATTCTGTAGGGTAGTTTTTGTATGGGTAGGATTATCCATTTTTTGACTATTTCGTAGAACTTATAATAGTGTTTTGGCCTGATGTTCTTTTTTTCCTCCCCTATATAGATTTTAAAAGACCGTAATTTTCTTTCTTTCTTTTTTTTTTTTTTTTAAGATTTTATTTATTTTTTTTTTGACAGACAGAGAGCACAAGCAGGCAGAGAGGCAGGCAGAGAGAGAGGAGGGAAGCAGGCTCCCTGCTGAGCAGAGAGCCCAACGTGGGGCTCGATCCCAGGACCCTGGGATCGTGACCTGAGCCAAAGGCAGAGGCTTTAACCCACTGAGCCACCCAGGTGCCCCTAATTTTCTTTTTTAATAGTAATTCTTTTAAAAATCTTTCTGTTTTTATTTGAATTGATTTTTTGTTTTGTTTTTAAGAAATTGTCCATATCATTCAAGATTTCAGATTTTATTGGCATAAAGTTATGAGTAGTATTTCTTTACCAAAAAATCTGTATCTGTAGGTTTTTTCATTCTTAGTGCTTTTATCTTCTCTTTTAACTTTTAAAAAAACTTTGTAGAATTGTATTTTACTATATTTTTATCCCAGCAAACCAACTTTTGTTAGTTTTCCCAACTGTGTCTTTCTTTTCTATTTCACTATTTCTTTTGTTTGATTCAACTTAAAATTTTTGGTTTTTGTAGATTGTTGTGTTGAATGCTTTTAATTCCCAAACCAGAAATGGGTCTTATGCTCTATAGTTACATGGGATATAGCAGTTCTAGGTAAACCAATGGGTGACCCTGCATACTTTCTGGACCCAAGATGTAGGGGTATTCCTGTATTTCTAGGCCCATAGCTTTCTAAAGAATAATAGTCTAAAGCAGCAGTTGCCAGCATTTACTTTCAACCTTCTTTCTTGGAAAAGGATGGAAAAGAAGTCCTGTTCCGTTCCAGTTCAGCCTCTTCATGCATCAAATCTGGCTCTGCTCCTGGTTTTTCTTAGAATCCTACTAATTTTGGTGATCCCATAGGAACTACACTCCTGACTATCATAGCTTGCTTTTCAGGCCCAGAGTCAAAATGACCATAGCTTCAGTGTCATACACTGTTCTGAGTTTCTGTTCAGTTTTGATATTTGGAGGTGTATATCTTGTTTTTGAACTTATGTCCTTGTTTTGTTTTATCCATCCATTGTTTGGAGATAAGAAGGTACTTTATTTATTTATTTTTAAAGATTTTATTTATTTGAGAGTGAGCAAGCACGAGAGAGAAAGCATATGTTGGGGGGTTCTCTGTCTTGCTTTCCTACTTTCTCTCCCTTCTAGCTGGTTTTCTGTGGGCTGGTGGGAAACATTTTATTCATCTTTTTATCTCCTCTTTTTTCTCTAATGAGTGTCACATAGTAAGTGCTTCGTAAATTTAGTTTATATTTTGGCATAGAGCAAGTGTTAGCCAAACTTACTTACTTTCTTTCTTTCTTTCTTTCTTTCTTTCTTTCTTTTTAGCCAATTTTTTTTGATTTAGGTAATAACTGAGACTTTATTAATAAAGGCTACAAGTTCTGAGTTCTAAATGTGCTAGTTCCCCAATAGCATTATTTATGTAGGAATTCTAAGAAACAGAAACATTACATTAATTCACCATTTGAGGAATGGAATATAGAGAGTGGAAATTTCTGTATTAGCTAATATGAAGAAAAAAAAAACTTTTGAAGGGAAATAAAACCGTACATTTTCTCATTTTAGGAAGGTGCTTTGTTATCTGATGAAGTTATGGAGTCTCAATTTTATAAGATTACAATTAAAGCCTCCATGACATTGGAAAACATAAACCAGAAAATGTTAGAAATCTGTCTTCAGTGTTCCAGGAATTTCTGCACAAAACCCCAGTGTGCATGCAACTGCCCTGACCTACTTCTCCCATGATGAAAAACAATTTACAAAGTGCTTAGCATAGAGTTTCTCAGAAATAGGGAGATTTCCCCAGGGTCCTCACAGCAGCAAAGAAGCTTTCAGATTATGTAGGCTCTTCCACTCTAAGGAGAGTCTCCTGGCCTTCACTGTGGACCACCACAAGCTGAAGCAGAAACCCTAGAGAAATCTAAGAACTTGATAATCTTGGATAGTAGATGTCCCTCTGGATGGAAGGCTCCTGTCTCCTTTCTTTTCACATCCCAGACTGCTTCTCTTGATTCAAAAACATGATCAGGTCTGGCTCTGACACAGTGAGACCCAAGAAGAGGGGGTTTCCATGGTTTTCTAACATCACATCCCTGTATAGTTGCCACTGAGTGTGGTTCAGGCATACCCACTCCTTCTGGAAGAATTCTGTGGCCACATTCCTGAATGTCAGCAGTCCCTGAGAACTAGCCATTTCTTCTTTTGCTTCATCCTCTAGATTCTTTCTCACAGGGTATTTGTGGAAAAATATAGCCAAATTTTCTTAAAGAGCCATATAGTAAATGTTCTCTCTACTACAGCCACCCAGCTCTACCATTGTTGTGTGAATTTGCAACCATAGATAATATGTAAGTGAATGGATGTGGCTGTTTTCCAGTGAAACTTTATAAAAAGTGGGTGACCACATTTGCCCATGTGCTGTATTTTGCTGACCCTTGGCGTAGAGTAAGCAAAGGATATAATAAATATTTACTAATTATTTTGTTTCCTGTTTTATTAAATTAAGAAGGTGTAGGTTTAATAGCCAACATGCTTAAAATTTTTATGATTGCTGTTATGGGGTGCTCCTTTTGTTCATATGAATGTTGGATTGGGTTTACTTTTTTTTTTTGTTTACTTTTATTTATTTATTTATTTATTTAAAAGATTTTTTATTTATTTGTCAGAGAGAGAGAGGGAGAGAGAATGAGCACAGGCAGACAGAATGGCAGGCAGAGGCAGAGGGAGAAGCAGGCTCCCCGCCGAGCAAGGAGCCCGATGTGGGACTCGATCCCAGGACGCTGGGATCATGACCTGAGCCGAAGGCAGCTGCTTAACCAACTGAGCCACCCAGGCGTCCCTTTTGGTTTACTTTTAATAATCGCATGTTCCTTTTGCTTGGTAAAAACTAGGAAATTTTTGTTGTCTAGGCAATTGTTAGTCTGTCATCACAGACTAACAATTCTCACTTAAGTATTTATCAATCAGACCTAAGATAGTTTTATCAATTACAATTTTAAAAGTCGTAGTTTTGCTTCAGTAAGGCAGATCTGTCTTTCAGATTCTTATTAAATACTTTGTAAAAATTAACCAGTTTGTTGTTGTTATTAAGTATTTAACGAGACTTAAACATTAATGTAGCAAAGTCCCATAAAATTGACGTAGGTAAAAAAAAAAGTAATAGGAGAATATAGGTAAGGTTAGATAGAAGACAAAGAGAATAGCAGAATGAAGGAATGAAATCCTATACTTTTCAAAGCACATCATTGATGTATTGTAAGAAAAAGTACATATGAAATACGTTTGGAATTTAGAGGAGCCGGGCTGTGGTTCCAGTTGGGGTTTATGGAAGAAATAACTTAAATCTAGTCTTTTTTTTTTTAAGATTTTTTTTTTTATTTATTTGACACAAAGAGAGGGAGATCACAAGTAGGCAGAGAGGCAGGCAGAGAGAGGGGGAAGCAGGCTCCCCACTGAGAAGAGAGCCCGATGCGGGGCTCAATCCCAGGACCCTGAGATCATGACCTGAGCTGAAGGCAGAGGCTTTAACCCACTGAGCCACCCAGGTGCCCCAACTTAAATCTAGTCTTTCCAGGATGTGTGTCTGGGAACGAAGGACTTTTCCACTTAATATACTGTTGGGAGCAGGAGTATGGAGGCCTGTCTGGGACACAGCATGAATCATGAGAACACCTCAGGAATTTCAGAGTGCTCTATAAATGTAATATTCGCCAGAATTGAAATGGTTAAAAGTAAATAACCCAATGGAATTTTCATTAAATTTCACCAGACAAATCTTATGCAATGTTTTTGTTTAATTTCTGCATCCTTAACATTAATTTTGAGGACTGTGTTTTTGGCAGTGACTGTTGAAGTGAAGGGTCCCTATGAATACCTCACGCTTGAAGAATATCCTTTGATGATTGTAAGTGAACTTATATTCTTAACCTTAACATCATATGAGTTTAACTTGAAAGATTGTTCATGTTTTGTGTCAATATTCTTCTTTCAAGAATTGTTTCTGAACGGTTCAGAAAACACTGCTTTGTAGTTTTGTACTTCTCACTAAAATATGACCTTGAGAGTGTCAGTAGTTGACTCTGCCTCCTCTCATCTGTAGAATGAAGAGTTGATAACTTGTGCAATTTCAGAATTGGAAAGTACCTCAAAGATAATTTCAGATCTCATATTCTGTCTAGAATTCAAAGTGGGGCACTTCTTACCTTCCTGTAGTTTCTGATTGCATTTAAAGTAACTAAATGATGACACTTCATCATGTGTGTGTTTGTGTCTATTGGAATAGCCTCACTGTTTTCAAATTTCCTTTGTTCATTTCTTCTTTTCCCTTTCATAGTTTTCCCACATTGTGGGAAGACACTTCATTGCCTTTAGGTGTATCTTCACCCTGCCATATCTTCTTTGCTCTTTAGTGTTCTCCTCATTTATGTACTTTCAGATTGTGAGCTGAAAAGACACTTTACTTTTTTATTTTTTTTTATTTTACTTTTTTCTTTTTAACTTTTACCCTTTCCTCTTTTAACACTTTTAAGCTAGTTTATCTTAACAATACCTTCATTTAAAAAAAAAAACTTTTTTAAATCTTTGTTTTTATTTTATGTTAATTTTTTTGTTTGTTTTGTTTTTATTTTTATTTTTATTTTTATTTTTTTTATAAACATATATTTTTATCCCCGGGGGTACAGGTCTGTGAATCGCCAGGTTTACACACTTCACAGCACTCACCCCAGCACATACCCTCCTCATGTCCATAACCCCACCCCCTTCTCCCAACCCCCCTCCCCCCAGCAACCCTCAGTTCGTTTTGTGAGACTATGAGTCACTTATGGTCTGTCTCCCTCCCAATCCCATCTTGTTTCATTTATTCTTCCCCTACCCCCTTATCCCCCCATGTTGCATCTCCACTCCCTCATATCAGGGAGATCATATGATAGTTGTCTTTCTCCGATTGACTTACTTCGCTAAGCATGATACCCTCTAGTTCCATCCACGTCGTCGCAAGTGGCAAGATTTCATTTCTTTTGATGGCTGCATAGTATTCCATTGTGTATATATACCACATCTTCTTTATCCATTGATCTGTTGATGGACATCTAGGATCTTTCCATAGTTTAGCTATTATAGACATTGCTGCTATAAACATTTGGGTGCACGTGCCCCTTCGGATCACTACGTTTGTATCTTTAGGGTAAATACCCAGCAGTGCGATTGCTGGGTCATAGGGTAGTTCTATTTTCAACATTTTGAGGAACCTCCATGCTGTTTTCCAGAGTGGTTGCACCAGCTTGCATTCCCACCAACAGTGTAGGAGGGTTCCCCTTTCTCCGCATCCTCGCCAGCATCTGTCATTTCCTGACTTGTTAATTTTAGCCATTCTGACTGGTGTGAGGTGATATCTCATTGTGGTTTTGATTTGTATTTCCCTGATGCCGAGGGATGTGGAGCACCTTTTCATGTGTCTGTTGGCCATCTGGATGTCTTTGCAGAAATGTCTTTTCATGTCCTCTGCTCATTTCTTGACTGGATTATTTGTTCTTTGGGTGTTGAGTTTGCTAAGTTCTTTATAGATTTTGGACATTAGCCCTTTATGTGATATGTCGTTTGCAAATATCTTCTCCCATTCTGTCAGTTGTCTTTTGGTTTTGTTAACTGTTTCCTTTGCTGTGCAAAAGCTTTTGATCTTGATGAAATCCCAATAGTTCATTTTTGCCCTTGCTGAAAAGACACTTGAAATGCAGAAGAACGGTTACTCTTGAGGATAGGTCCTTAGGTAGTTTCTCTCTGTGCAAGAGGAGATAATTTTTTTGTGTTAGTATTGAACTTCAAAGAAATGAAATAATAACTCTTAAAGTAGGAGGTAGAATATATATATATTTTATATAGTTTAGGACTATGTATTCTAAATTGGCTCTTGGCCCTAATCCTCCTATTTTATTTCTTACCCATTTGGATGACAGTTTTTCATGGTGATGTGTATTGTATATGTCCTGTTTGGCGTTCTGTGGCTGGCATGGTCTGCCTGCTATTGGAGAGATCTCCTGAGAATCCAGTTTTGGATTGGTGCTGTCATCTTCCTGGGAATGCTCGAGAAAGCTGTTTTCTATGCAGAATTTCAGAACATCCGATATAAAGGCGAATCAGGTATGTAACCAAAGAGTGTTCACCTTTCTTGTGAGTGATTGGCAGGTAAGACGTGAGTTTTCCTCATGTCAGCAGTCGTTAAGTGGGTTTAACTTTTCAGTTTCTTAATGATTAGAATAACTTAAGCATAATCACTATGATCGTAACTTTTGTTTTTAATCTTATAATTTACGGGTTCAGTGATTTAAGAGTGAATTGTGCTGAAATAGATTCACACAAGTTATAGCAGCACTGGCCATTTTGGATAAGATTATCACCATCGCTGCATCTCAGTTGCCATTGATTTTTAAGGTATCATTATTATATTATACATCTAAGGAGAGAAATAAATACTGCCAACTTAATAGTAAGATGCCATTGACCTACTTTGATTTTAGAGATTTTAAAATATGAGGGAGAAGTACTTCTAAGAATTGGTTAAGTACAGTAAAACCAAGAAAATAGGAGGGTGTTTATGGTTCACTGAAGTAAACAGCTAATGACAAGTTATTTTGCTGAAGTTTTTTGTGATAGCTTTGGTTCTCTCTCATCAGACCATTTGATTATGAATGATGATGATGTAAGATTACTAATTAGAGCTTTCCCTATCTTTGAAAAGGCTTAAAAGTAGTAGATGTGAAAATAATTTGAAAACTGTGTGTGTGTTTGTGTTTTGTGTTTTTCAGTGTATATGTATTTTTTCAATCTGTATTCCCCAGTTTTTAAAAATGGGAGAAAAGTTCTATAGGTGTTATAAACTGTCCTTGTAGGTGAGGTATTCTGCTGAGGTTTTAGTGAAGTGGGGTTAGGGAGGAAAGGTGATTCAGGCACACCCAGACTGCTATTCACATGAGCAAGGTAAGTGAAATCAGCTTGTGTACTTACTTAGAAGAATTGCAGGAGAGGTATTTTCTTTGAACAGGACTAATCCCAATGCTTATTCTGAAGAGCATTAGTTATCTAGATCCACATTCTGGTTCTAGAGTCACACCTTTTCCCAAACCTAGATTATAGCACTCTTTCTTTCTTTCTCATAGTCCAAGGTGCCCTGATCCTTGCAGAGCTGCTTTCAGCAGTTAAACGCTCGCTGGCTCGAACCCTGGTCATTATAGTCAGCCTGGGGTATGGCATAGTTAAGTAAGTATGGACTTTTTATATGGAAGGACATATTAAAACACTGATTAAATTGAAACAGTATTGTAGGTTCCTATTGTAATTCTGAAAGAATTGATATAAGAAATAGTTTGCAATAAGACAGGTATCTAAAAAATGTTAAGTGTTTCATTTCACTTCTGACAACTCGAGCATTTGTAGGAAAATCAGCAATGTAGTGAATGATGTTAAAACATCAAATTTTTAGGGTGAACGTAGAGTGACTTTTAATCTTCAAAATGTTTTTAAAATCAATTTTTTTATGAGAATGTCACTCAGTCTGAAAAAAGTGAAAATAATTTATTTTTCAAAAATTTTATTGAGTGCCTTCTGTATACTAGATATTATTCTAGGTGCTGAGGACACAGCAAGTAAACAAAAGACTTGGAGTTTACATTTGTGGAGGGAGGGGACAAAGATACAGATAAGTAAGTAAATAATATGTCAGTGGTAAGTGCTATGGAGCAGATAAAGCAGGGGAAGGGTGTAGAGAGTGCTAGGCAAGAAGTGAAGCTTATAGTTGTAAATAGGGTTGCCAAGGAAGGCTTCACTTAATGACATTTACACAGAGATCTAAAGGTGGTGTGGGGACCATATGTATATCTAGAGGAAGAGATGCTAAGATGTGGTCAGATTCTGTATATATTTTGAAGGTAGAGCCAATGGAATTTTCTGGTAGATCAACTGTGTGATGTGAATGAGAAGAGGAATCAAGGATAATGCCAACTGTTTTGGTCTGAGCAATGAAAGGATGGAATTTATAAGTTAAGGAGAATCGTGGGTGAAATAAGTTTGGAGTAGAGGCAAAATTAGGAGTTCAGTTAGATAACCAAATGGGGAAATAAAGAAGAGGGGTAGAAGTGGGTTAGAGATATGAATTTGGGAGTCATCAGGATATATATGTTTACCTAAAGCCATGAGAATGGGATGCAGTCACTGAGGAAGTAATTGTATATAGACAAGAGATCAAAGGATGGAGCCCTTGAACATTTTCAGTTATTTAGAATTCAGTGAGGTGAAACAGAATTAGAGGAATTTGAGAAGGTCTTTTGTGGTTAGAGGCAAACATGAAGAGTTTCACGGAGGGAGCATTTGTGTCAGGAGGGTTAAATGATGACCATTGGGTTGAACTACATGGAAGACATAAGTGACCTTAAGATGGTTTAGGGAAGTGCTAGGATAAAAGCTTTACTGGAGTGAGTTCAAGAGAGAATAGGAGCAGAGAAATTGGAACTAGCCGGGTATAGAGAGTTATTTCAAGGAGTCTGGCTTTAAGTGGGATTAAAGAAATGGGTTTTAACTTTTTAAACTTATTCTCTGAAAGGAGGTTTGTTTTCAGTGGGGTTAGGGAAATGGGGTGGGTTTCATTTTTAAAATTATTTAATTCATTTAACAAATATTTGAGGGCCTCCTATATGCCAGGGCCTAGGTTTCAAAAATACAACAGTGGGGAGAAAAATCCTTGCCCATATGGACCTTTGCTAGCATATAACAAAAAAATACAAGGACAAATATTACTTAGACTTAGGTAGACATGATTTAAGGCAGTACATCTCAAACACAGTGCAGTAATGAATCACTTGGAGATCTTATTATCAATCAGAATGCAGATTCTGATTGAATGGCATCTTGAAGCAGAAGCTGCTTGAAAGACTTCATATTTTGTTGGATTCTGAGCTTACAAATGTACAGTTTATCTAATGGTTTGCAATAGGATATTTGCTTATATCAAAACTTTTAGATTTGATAATGGTATTGTGTTTATGTATTTAAAAAGTCCTTGTTGGTTAAAAACACATGCTGAAATATATACAAATTAAAGATACACTATCTAGGATTTGCTTGAAGATAACATGGGAGGATAGGAAGTGGATGGGGTTACATGAGGCACAATTGACTATAACTTAGTGGTTATTGGGATTGGATGTTGGACATAGAGGGGTTCATTGTACTGTTGAATGTTTCAGAAGTCTCTGTAATAAAAATAGTTTTTGTTTTTGTTTTTGTTTTTTGATACAGTAACCAGGGATCAGATCTAAAAGTTCTAGTAGTTATTAACTTGGTTTAAGTCCATATGTTCTTCGGGGTTTTTTTTTTTCTTATGTAGATCAAGTATGTCTGACTTACCTCTGTTAAGTTATTGACCAGTATTTTAATTAAATGAATTACTTTTAACTTATTTTGAAGTTTGTGGCATTGATGCTCAGCTCTTTCTTTGCTTCCTGTTTAGGCCTCGCCTTGGAGTCACTCTTCACAAAGTTGTGGTAGCAGGAGCCCTCTATCTTTTGTTCTCTGGCATGGAAGGCGTCCTCAGAGTTACTGGGGTCAGTACTGCTTAATCTAACTATTAATGATCAGTTCAAATAACATTGTTTTTGTCTTGAGAGGGTGAATTGGAAAAGTCTGTGGACTTCTTTACTATTTCTTCTAAATCATTTGTAACTCTGATTTTCAAGATGTATATATAATTCGAATTTTCTTTTTAATCTATTAGAACTTCATAAGTTTAATGAGTGACCAGGAATGAATGCTTTCCCTCCTGTCCACAAATTGCTACTTACTCATTTCCTCCTCCCAGACAGTGGGCTCTCATTCTTGTATAAGTGGCAAAGATTATAATCTTGCTTAATAATATACTTTTTTTAAAGATTTATTTATTTGAGAGAGATAGCATGTGTGCATGCTTGTTGGGGAGGGGCAGGGGAAGAGGGTGAGAGAATCCCATGCAGACTCCAAGGAGCTTGGAGCCTGATGAGGGGCTCCATCTCATGACGCTGAGATGAGGATCTGAGTCCAGACCAAGAGTCAGATGCTCAGCTGACCGCCCCTCCAGGCACCCTCTCTTTTTTGTTTTAAAGTGATAGTGCTCTTTGCTTAATTAGTACTTGAGTTTCAGAGGCTTTTCTAAAATGCAACTAATTGTTTCACTTTATTCTTGAGAATTATAAAATCATGCCCTTTGTCAGGGAGGGAAGCCAAAGCACTAAATATAAATGATAAATTTTGTCAGAGCTGGATTAATGTGAATGGTCATTCCAGCTGGATTAATAACTACTGGGCATTCCAGTAGTTATTTATTTAAAAATCACTGTCAGCAATAACCCATTAGATTCAAGGTGGTAAATGCTGTAAACTTGACTTACTGAGCTCAGTAAGTTTTGTAATAAATTGCCCCTTAAATAAAACATTTTATGGATGCATACTGTTTTTCAGATCACACTGTCCTTTATGTAATTTCCTTCAACTTTTTAGCAACTCTAACCCTCTGTCAATTTCATTTTCTTTCTGCTGCTGTAGTATTTTTCTTACTCATTGGCTCTGATAGTAAACCTGGCCCTCTCAGCAATTGATGCCTGTATTATTTTATGGATATCCTTTCAGTAATGCCCTGATGTCTGGGTAATCAGGGTTATATAAATAGCACCTTATATATATAAACTCATGAAACAAGTAGCATAGTTTCAGGGACAGATACTTGCCTTACATCTTATTTTGGGATGTGCTCTTATTTGTAGAATTATATCGTATTATAGTTTTGGAAATTATAACTATGTATTAATGCTGTAGTACTTTGAAATATGAGAAGGGTCTTTTTAGACTTGTAGCCAGAAATCACAGTGATGGGAGATGATATGTTGGGATGGGGGCTTGTAACACCAAAGCTTTTCAGTGTGGTCACTTCTTAACATGGATCTTACTTAGCATGCTAGGAGCTCTATGGTGGTTGCTTTGTATTAGTTAGTAGCACGTTTTATTGTATTGAGATTGTGATCGACAGTTTGTATGAAATGCTTATAGCTATGTATTCTGTGTGATTATTTGTCAGAAAGGAAGAATGATATAGGTACAAAGTATTATTCCTTATTTTCTTTCAGTTCAAATGCAGAATCATTCTAGATGATTATGTAAATGCAGAGTCATTTTCTGGTTTCTTCGCTGTGCTCTCTAGACATCTTTTTTTCACCACCTTTTTTTCTTTGTCTGCAGGCCCAGACTGATCTTGCTTCCTTGGCCTTTATCCCCTTGGCTTTCCTAGACACTGCCCTGTGCTGGTGGATATCCTTCTCATTGGCTTGTTTGATGGCGGTCCATTTTCTCCCCTCAGAGTTGGGTTTCCATTGATCTTTCTGCAGATGGTTTTTGCCAGTTTCATTGATCACTCCTTACTTTGGGGAATAGGGTATTTTCAGTCTAACAACCTGGGGGCTCAGGTAAGCAGTTATTTTGTTTTTAATTTTAAAAAATTTCATCAAGAGTTGGTGACTGCAGCCTGAGAACAAGATAAAAAGCTTTTGGCCTTTTCTTTAAATGAGCATTTCACTTCGATTTTGGATTTACTTGCGTATCTCACTTTGTGTTAAAATCACTGGCTGCTGTGGTCCTGTTCTTTCTTTCAGCCTTGGCAATTAGTAAATGCTTTGAAAATTATGTAAATGTTTTGATTCTTAAAATATGGTTTCAGGAACTGTATGAGGTTGTTTGACTCTCTTAAAATTCTAAGTAGATTCAGCAGATTTTACCCTTACGTAGTAAGTGTTTTATACCCTCATTCAAAAGCTGACTTGGGATTATTTGAAGATGTCACTCTTTGAAATAAATCTTGCTTCATTTACAGGAAAATCAACCAGCAGGTAACAGACAAGCTTCTATTTGAATAATCTTATCTTCCTGCTTTTCAAGTATAAACATTTGTTTATTAGGACTTGGCCTGTTGGAGGAAGGATTCAGGTTTTTGGAGTTTTATCTTTTGGGGATTTTTAAAAATTTATTTTGTTTTTTTAATGTCATTTGGTCCTATGTACAGTTGTGCAATATTATTGTCCTGATGGACTGTGACTATTATGAAAGGCTGAGTATAAATAAAATTGTAATTTTGTGAATTTGAGGGGATTTTCATATATCAAAAATATTTGAAATTGAAATGTCCTGCATCCAAATGGCCAAAGGTTTTCTAGGTCAGTATCTTTTTTTTTTTTTTTAAAGATTTTATTTATTGATTTGACAGAGAGAGATCACAAGTAGACAGAGAGGCAGGCAGAGAGAGAGAGAGAGAGAGGGAAGCAGGCTCCCTGCTGAGCAGAGAGCCCGATGCGGGACTCGATCCCAGGACCCTGAGATCATGACCTGAGCCGAAGACAGTGGCTTAACCCACTGAGCCACCCAGGCGCCCCTCTAGGTCAGTATCTTTGTGAACCTCTACTATGCATATTGAGAGGAAGAGGAGAGGGACTAGACCATACAAGAAGATGACCCAATAATTAGGTGGCTGCGAGGGCTCTGTTGAAAGGCAGGTGTGAGCTTCAGCTCACTTGCTTTCATATCTTCTCCTCATTTTGAAAGTTGAACATAAGAGCAGATAATTGTGTATAGTAGTCATTAGCTCTCCCCTGTCTTTGTGCAGCAACTTATACTTGAGCTAATGACTTGAAAATAGAGAGTTGTTGCTTTTGAGCCTGCCTGTGGTTCTCAGCCAATTATAATCGTATGGTAATTCATTATAGTTCATGATGGCAGGTTGCTTAGCATGGCACAAGGGGACTGAGTGTAGAACTCTGGGAGGTTGTAGGCATGAATGTAAGACTCTAGACTGGATTAGCTAGGACACCATTACCTCACAAGAAGAAAGGAGATGATGATAATTCCTGTTGCTTTGCCTCTTACTCATTATTTCATTTTTCGTCCATTTGCTTCATTTTCTTTGTTTCTCTAGAAAGTTTACTACCTTTATTTCTCCTTTATATTTTTCTTCTCTTTTGCATTCTCATTTTATCCTGGTTCTGTCTTCTCATTAAGTCTCATTGAAAATGAGGACTTTCTAACTAATGGTGGGGTTGGAGTATTTTTAAAGTTGAGAGTAAGAGCTGTAAGGCCTGGCATCCATGGCTCTGCCATTATGACCTGAGATCCTTAAAGAAATGTAAGGGTTAATTTACTAGCTTACTGTTTTTTTCTGAATGTTGATTTCCTTGACCTGCAAACACATATTTATTAGCTTGACTCAAACAATGAAGCTGTTAAAACTTCGGAGGAACATTGTAAAACTCTCTTTGTACCGACATTTTACCAACACGCTTATCTTGGCAGTGGCAGGTAAGTCGGGACTTGCTTCCTTCTATTTAAATGCATTTCCTTTAGAACTAAGATTCTTAACCTGAGAGGCCTTGGATGGGCTTTCTAAAATTACAAAAAAATTTTTGTGTGTTTCACTTAGGGAAGGGGTCTTTCACTTTTGTCACATTCACGAAGGGGTCTTTGGTTCTAAAAAGTTTGACAACCACTTATTTTAATAGCTGAAAATCAATTACATATAATTTTAACTCTCCCTCTCCTGTCTCCATTCTTTCTCTGAGACTTTCTTCTTTTTTTGAGGCAAATTAGCATTGTGTCACATAGCATTTAGATTTCTTTTAGAAGACATTAATATTTGCTTATTTGGTTTTATTGAAATAAAAAATTTTATATAGATTTTAGATCAGTGTACATTGCTGTTGTATTGCCTTTACATGTCATTAAACATGCATAACATATACGTTATGCACATACATTAGGATAGACTATAGCCCACATAAGGGTAATTTGCCTGCCTTTTTTGACTTGTGTGCCAGGAATAGAGAGGTCTGGCCTATGATTGGAACCAATAATTCTATTTGTCTTACAGTCATTTTATCAACCTTTTTCCATCTGACCAGGCAAAGAAAAATTAATGTTATACTAAAGAGGAAAGGGAAAACAATCATATTATTTATAATGCTGGAAAAAGCCATGTTTCTCATACCCTCTTTCCACTTTTGAGGGTTGCTAAAGTAGTGAGATGATAAGTAAAACTATTCTTTAAGTATAGAAAGGGTTGACAAGGGTACACATTGTACACTTTGCTTATAGCAGTTGTTAAGTAAATTTGTGTTGAATAAATGTGTTAACAATAAGTGAGATAAAATGATTGTGATATATTAAGAGGGATGTGTGGGATTCCACTTGACGAGAATCAGAGAACGTTTGAGGATAAAAACTGACATTCGTATTCTGACCAGGTTTTTCATTTCCTGTTAGCATCTATTGTGTTTATCATCTGGACAACCATGAAGTTCAGGATAGTGACTTGTCAGTCGGTGAGTTGTAAACACATGCATTTATGAATAGTGTTTTAAAAAATACACAGTGGTGTTGATGATGGTGGTAAGGTTCATACCTTTTAAGAGATTAGGGCTAGATCTCCACTCTGAGGGTTAGAATGCTTTTCTCCTCCTAAAAATATTTTGTATTATCACAGTGCTTGGTATGGTAGGTTTGTTTTGTGGATTTTTTTGGGTGAAAGGACTGATTCTGTATCCCAGTAGTGGGAGAGAACATTATAAATGATATCACAGTTTTTCATAACCCAGTCTTGGCCTTAACTAAAAAATATTAACAAGAAATCCAGAGTCCTAAATGTTAAGTGTGTATGAATAATGCTAATCTGAGCAGAAGCCATGTACTTAAGAGTTGAGCAGAGACTGGCCAGTAACATTTCTTAGGAAGCTAGAGCTAAGCTGTTAAAAATAAATAAACAAAAATGAAACTCTTAAAAAAAAAAAAACCCATAATGTTACTTTCTCTTACCTTGTATAAAAACCTTTTCTTAATATTCTCGGAGCTATAATGAAGTCTTAATGAAGTGCTCCATTCAGTTGGTGCCTTTTCTTGAGCAACAATTAAACACCACCAGGGAAGAAACTATGTTCATTCATTTTTTATTCCCAGCACTTAGCACACTGCCTAGCACATAGCAGGCTCCTAGTAAATGTAAGTTGAATGAATAAATAACATTCTTGTTCTATGCCAAGGGCTTTGTGAAGAGTTAAGATTATGTATAAAAATGTACTTCTCCCCCTTTTGGTAGGATTGGCGGGAGCTTTGGGTGGATGATGCCATTTGGCGGTTGCTGTTCTCTATGATCCTCTTCGTCATCATGGTTCTCTGGCGACCATCTGCGAATAACCAGAGGTTCTTGACACTTCTTATTTATATTGCTAACCACTGAATGGCCTTGTCATCTATTTAGGGGTGATTGAATGGGTGACAGTGTCAGGGCCTTGTCAAAGTATAGAGAGTATTCACTGGGTCTGGAATCCAGTGAATGGGTTCTTGGGTTCCTGCCCAGCTCTCCTATTTGCATCGTGATTTTTGTCATGGTGCCTCTTTCCACTTCCCTGGGCCCTAGTTTCCTCTTCATATAACGGAAGGGAATTGAACCAATTCGTATGAGGTATTTTTCAATTCTGACATCTGATAATATATGAGTAAATAAGAGTAGATAGATAGTGATACTTGTAATGAAAGTCTCACCTGTCTAGCCTCAAGAAGGAAAGAATAATTTTTATAGCCAGTAACCCAGCTCACTTGTAACAATAGGGTAAAATAAAAACTTATGTGACAGGCTTTGGAATTAAAAATTTATATGTGAATTTGCTTTGTTAAGCTATTGGCAAATTTCAATTATTTAGGAATTAACTGTCTTTATTCTGTGTATATCCATGTCTTTGGCATGCCCTCCCTTTTGTGTTTAGACGGTTAAGAGCTTATATTACCCAACCATATCACCAAAGAAGGAAAAGGATGAGGTGGCATAACTGAGTGGCTAATTTTATAATCAGACATACCAATAAAAGACTTAGAAAATAAGTAATATCTTTTTACCCCATGAAAATAGCCTCTCTTTTTATTCATTTATTATTATTATTTTTTAAGATTTTATTTATTTATTTGACAGACAACGAGAGAGGGAACACAAGCAGGGGGAGTGGGAGAGGGAGAAGAAGGGTTACTGCTGAGCAGGGAGCCCAATGCGGGGCTTGATCCCAGGACCCCAGGATCATGACCTGAGCCGAAGGCAGATGCCTAATGACTGAGCCACTCAGGCACCCTTAGTGTGTCTTTTTGGTATACATATGTTTGTGTTCTTTTAAGAAAAAGTTAAAAAATAGAGTAGGCTTGGGACTGTTGGGGTGAAAGGTAGCATATTTGTAATTTTCAAAGTATTAAAGTCAGAGTGCATTAAATAAAATCTGAAACAAATTGTATATGTACCTCCTATATTCCCATTATTCAGTTTTTGCAGATCTGGCAGATGAGAATATTCACTGTTATTTTAAAAATGTTACATTTAAGGCTGAATTACTTTTTATGGCTTTTATGTGCTTATGGTCATTTAGTTCACCTGTCAGCTTTTTATATTTTGAGTTTTTTTAAATCAGCTTATTGATCAGTTTGTATCGATTTGTAGGAATTCCTTATATATTTTAGATACCAATATTTTGTTCTAAGCATTCCAAATATTTTCTTCTCGTTGATTGTTTTTGAACATTTTAATGGTATTCTTGGCTATAGAAAATCTTGAAAGTATGGAGTCAAATTTGTCGGGTTTTTTTTTCCTTCATGTATTGTGTATTTTGTGTCTTTGTTTAAGAAACTTTCCTGGCTTGAGGTGAATTCTGAAATTATAATTTTTTTCAAAATTACACAGTTGAACTTTCATTCATCAAGAATTGTTTGACTGTGGGTTCTCTGATTTTTTCCTATCCCTCTGATCCTGCATCAGTAGTACATTGTCTTAACCTTAGTTTACTGTTATGTCTTGGTATGTGCCCTCTCCTTAGTCTTCTTTTTTAAAAAATATCCATTGTTACTGGATCTTTGCTCTTTAGTGAAATGTTTAGCTTGTTTGTTTAATTCTAGGAAAACCTTTATTGATTTTTTTTTTTTTTTTTTTTAAGATTTTATTTATTTGTCAGAGAGAGAGGGAGAGAGCGAGCACAGGCAGACAGAATGGCAGGCAGAGGCAGAGGGAGAAGCAGGCTCCCCGCCGAGCAAGGAGCCCGATGTGGGACTCGATCCCAGGACGCTAGGATCATGACCTGAGCCGAAGGCAGCTGCTTAACCAACTGAACCACCCAGGCGTCCCACCTTTATTGATTTTAATTGGAATTTAATTAATAGGTTAATTTGGGAAATTATATATATTTTATCAACTTGAATATGTTACTGCTCTACCAATTTTAGTCCTGTGCTTTAGTCATAACTTTTATTGAAATATTTTTTTAAAAGATTTTTTATTTATTTGATAGAGAAATCACAAGTAGGCAGAGAGGCAGGCAGAGAGAGAGGGAGAACCAGGCTCCCTGCTAAGTAGAGGATCCCCCCCCCACCCCCGCCGATGTGGGGCTTGATCCCAGGACCCGGGGATCGTGACCTGAGCCAAGGTGGAGGCTTAACCCACTGAGCCACCCAGGCGCCCCCTTTTATTGAAACATTTAAAAAATGTTATTGCTCTTATGGGTGCAAAACACCCCCCCCACCTTTTTTTTTTTTTTTTTTTTAAAGATTTTATTTATTTGTTGGAGAGCCCAAAGCAGGGAGAGTGGCAGGCAGAACAGGTAGAGGAGGCAGAGGAAGAAGCAGAGGAGCAAGGATCTAGGCGCGGGACTCCATCCCAGGACTCCGGGATCAGGACCTGAGCTGAAGGCAGGTGCCTAACCAGTTGAGCCACTCAGGCATCCCTGGATACACCCTTTTAAAATAATACATGTGGCTTTGGCAAAAATGTAGGAATGTTACTGAATTTTTTCTAATTTTATTTATTTATTTATTTATTTATTTGACAGAAATCACAAGTAGGCAGAGAGAGAGGAAGGGAAGCAGGCTCCTCACTGAGCAGAGAGCCCGATGAGGGGCTCGATCCCAGGACACTGGGATCATGACCTGAGCCGAAGGCAGAGACTTTAACCCACTGAGCCACCCAGGTGCCCCTTTTTTTTTTTTAATTTAAGTAGCCTCCATACCTGATTAGAGTTTGAACTCATGACCCTGAGATCAAGAGTTACATGCTCTACAGGCTGAGTCAGCCAGGACCCTTTGAATGCTATTGATTTTTATATATTTATCATACCCATCAACCCTCCTACATTGTTTTCTCAGTTCTCTCTCTCCCTCTCTCTTTCTTTTTTTAAAAGATTTTATTTATTTATTTGACAGACAAGTAGGCAGAGAGGCATTCAGAGAGCGAGGAGGAAGCAGGCTCCCGGTTGAGCAGAGAGCCTAATGCGGGGCTCAATCCCAGGACGCTGGGATCATGACCTGAGCCGAAAGCAGAGGCTTTAACCTGCTGAGCCACCCAAGCCCCCCTCTTTTTTTTTTTTTTTTTTTCTTTTAAGATTTTATTTATTTGTCAGTGAGAAAGCGTGAGAGAGTGCGACCACAAGCGAGGGGGAGGTTGGGGAGGTTGGCAGGCAGAGGGAGAAGCAGAGGTTTCTTATGTTGGCTAGGCCCTCCTGTATAATGAATTGAGGCATTAAGAGTGGGCCTCCGGGACGCCTGGGTGGCTCAGTTGGTTAAGCAGCTGCCTTCGGCTCAGGTCATGATCCCAGCGTCCTGGGATCGAGTCCCGCATCGGGCTCCTTGCTCATCGGGGAGCCTGCTTCTCCCTCTGCCTCTGCCTGCCATTCTGTCTGCCTGTGCTCGCTCTCTCTCCCTCTCTCTCTCTGACAAATAAATAAATAAAATCTTAAAAAAAAAAAAAAAGTGGGCCTCCTTATCTTATTCTGACTTTAAGTGCTTAAGTATCATTAGCTTTGGCATCTACTGTTAATTTTTGCTAGTTACTCTTTAATAGGTTATGGGTGTGTTCCCTATGATTCCTAGCTTTTTTTTTTTTTCCTTTTTTTAAGATTTTAATTATTTATTTGTGAGAGAGTGAGCACAAGCAGCAGGGGGGAGCACCGGGCAGAGGGACAAGGCCCTGATATGGGACTTGATCCCAGGACCCTGGGATGACCTGAGCTAAAGACAGGTGTTTAACCAACTGAGCCACCCAGGTGCCATATTCCTAACTTTTAAAGAGGTGGGGTTTCTTTGTTGTTATTGTTTTTTAAATTGATAAAAGGGAGTTTTACAAACAAGGTAGAATGAAAATAATAGGCAACAGTAAGTACAGAGTGAGTTCAAAGCTAATGCTTTTTAAGAATTACCTATATGGGGGCACCTGGGTGGCTGTCAACTGAGTGTCCTGACTCTTGGTTTTGGCTTAGGTTGTGATCTCAGGACCATGGGATTGAGCCCCATGTTGGGCTCCATGCTCAGCAGGAAGTCTGCTTGAAAGAGTATCTCCCTCTGCCCCTCCCCCTGCTTTCTCTCTCTCAAATAAATAAAAATTAACAAAAAACAGAATTGTTTGTCTGGCAGCTGCTTTGCTGAATCTGTTCAAAGTTGGAAAGGTAAGATGAGGCCTTCATCTTCTCAGTTCCCCACTGGGAAACAGATTTTTAAATCACCTGGTACATATAAGGTCAGGTTTTCTGTCTCTTGACCCCAGATTCAAAGGCTGAAATTTTAAAGCACGTGAGAATTTACTTCCCTCTGTTTGATTATATATGCTTATAAATGCTTACTATGTGTGAGGTATTATTCTAAGCATTTTTTGAAATGTTTACTTTTTTCAGAACACCTCTGTGAGTGATGTTTCATCATCCCCATTTTCAGATGAGAATACTGAGGCACAGAGAATAAGTAACTTGTATCAAGTCATAAGTAGTACATGGCTGAGCCCGCACTCATCAGTGTGATGCTGTCCTGCTTCTCTTGCTCGTATAGGCAATCAAGAGCTTTCTGAAGGGGAAGAGTTACTCGTTTTCACTGGAATAATTTTATGAATGACTCATTGCAGTTTCAGTAGTGAAACCTATAAAATCTAGTTAGTGGACCATTTTTTGTAGTTTTCTAAGATTTTTCCTTCTGTTCTATCTTTGTTTGGTCAGGTTTGCCTTTTCACCGTTGTCTGAGGAAGAGGAAGAGGATGAACAAAAAGAACCTATGCTAAAAGAAAGCTTTGGTAGTGATAAAATTTTATTTGTGCTTTAAATATTTTCTGGTTTTTAGAAATAGAGTAGAGCAAGTATAATGGTTTGTGAGTATCCAAATCAGGATACTTGGATATAGTTTATTATTTTACACCCGTTTTACACTTGTGTCTCAGTTTGGCCTTTGGTAAATTAGGGGACAGCAAAAATAAGGTTATAAATTTTCAGGTGAAGCTGTGGTAAATTCAGTAAACAGTTGTACATTAAATGTCCAGTTTGCTTACTGGAGGAGCTGAAAATCTGGACTTGAACTTCCTAGCATAAAGATGGAGAAACGTTGTATAATTCAGTTTGAGTAAATTTAACATTCTGAATTCATGTTTGAAATCATTGCTGGTCTACTAATATACTTAACCCCATCTACTTTGTATTCGCTTTACAGAAGGAATGAAAATGAGAAGTACTAAACAAGAACCAAATGGAAATAGTAAAGTAAACAAAGCAGTAAGTAGTTATATATAGGCCTTAATGATTTTTTAAATTTGTGTTTTAAGCTTGCTTTATAAAAAGATCTTTTCATATATAATACATTTACATTTATAAAAATAGCAAGTGATTCTAAGACCTAGTAATCTTTAACTAGATGGTTTGCTACTATGTCCTGCAAAGGTTCCAGACTAGTCTGATGGTTCTTTTTTTTTTTTTTTAAGATTTTATTTATCTGTTAGAGAGTGCACATACAAGCAGGGGGAGTGGCAGGCAGAGGGAGAAGCATTGCTCCCTGCTGAGCAAGGAGCCCAGTGTGGGACTCAATCCCAGGATCCTGGGATCATGACCTGAGCCAAAGGTAGACGCTTAACCAACTGAACCACCCAGGCAAGCGTCCCTAGTCTGATGGTTCTATTTAATTGTTTTCATTAGTGGAAGTTAATAGCCCTTTTAATAACCTTAGGTTATTAAAGATTTTTTTAATTCAGATTTTTTTGTTCTGTTTTGTTTTAAAATAGTACATGCAGTCTACATTAAGGGCTTTAGAGTTTAATCTCACGCTTAAGGAGCAAAACTTACATGAGGCAAACTCTTAGGTATTAGACCATTGAGAGGAAAGCATTTAAAAACATCATTTTATATTTCACTTACATGGTTTTTTAAAGTATTGGATTATATAGTTTTAAAAATTATTATCAGTGCCATTTATTATGAATATACTCCTTAAGAATACCCAAAAGATTAAATTTAAGAATTTTGAGACCTCTATAGATCCTTACTTGGGATGTATTATTTGGGGCATTTTAGTAAAAACTGATATTTTTATGTTCCCAGCAGGAAGATGATTTGAAGTGGGTAGAGGAGAATGTTCCTTCTTCTGTGACAGATGTGTAAGTTTTTGAATCATTACCATGAGAATCGTATTTCAGTATTGCTTTTATTATTTAATTGAATGAGCTGAAGAACATCCTAATGAGAATGCTTATAGATTAAATTATTTAAATTAAGGAATATTAAAAATGTTTAAAAGATGTTCAATAAAAATTACAAATGATATACAACCAAAAGTAATTGGAATTATTTGTTCAGATGACATTTCTGCTTAGAAAGTTTTAGTTATCCATCTTCCTAAAATCATTGGGATAATTCTTTGGAATTTTTTAGTTCTTTCCCATGACTATATTTTTATTTTTTTAATTTAATTTTATTTTTTTTATCTTTTTTTTTTTTTTAAGATTTTATTTATTTATTTGACAGAGAGAGAGAGACGGTAAGAGAGGGAACACAAGCAGGGGGAGTGGAAAAGGGAGAAGCAGGCTTCCCATTGAGCAGGGAGCCCGATGCAGGGCTGGAGCCCAATGCAGGGCTTGATCCCAGGACCCTGGGATCATGACCTGAGCCAAAGGCAGATGCTTAATGACTGAGCCACCCAAGTGCCCCCATGATTATTTTTAATTAAACATTGGCTCTGTCACAGTGCAAAACCTGTTTGTTTTCTGTACACTTCCAGTAACCTTCTGGTTTTATATTTGCTTTTATTCCCCTGAAATGGCCATTAATATGCAGATCTTAGGTAATTATAAAAAAGGCTTTAAATTGCATTCATAATCTACTTTTCCTTATGAACTATATATGACTTTACATTCTTCATTTTGGTGTTTTTCTCTCTGCAGAGCACTTCCAGCCCTTCTGGATTCTGATGAGGTTGGTAATCATCATGTGCATAAACTATGGGTCTGATGATTTAAGAGGGAATCATAGGTCCTTTGTTCAGGGAAATTTTATTTGACTCAGTAATGCCCTGAAGAACTATAGTTGATATAGTTGAAAAAGGATGAGAATAGAAATACTAAGATACTAAGAGGAGAACCCGCATACTCAAGAATGTTTTCTTTCTATACACTTTCTTTTTTTTTTTCCTAGAAAGAGCTTTCTTTCTATCCCCTATTTCTTTTCGTAGGTTACATGGTTAGACTTGAGGTCATGTCTTTCATTCTGAATATTAGGTTATTCTAGATTCTCTTAATTTTAGAAAACCCTTTGAAAGCATCTGCCTGATTTCTAACTCATTGTTGTGGATTGACTGCTGAAAAAATGATTTGTTCATTTCCCACTGACCTGCTGTGTGATGTAGCACACAATATCAAATTCCATAGCAGTTTTGTGTATTGAAATAACTGAGAACTCTATCATGCAGAATTAAACTTATCTTTCTTTGTAACACTTTGCATTCTGTGGTGTATTCTCCAGTTCCCCAAATCTCTCTCTTGAGGGTTTCTGCTAATAGTTGTCCTCAGGGCTTCCCTGTGACTAGCTCTCAGCCACTGCTGTATTTCAGGCAGAGAAGGTTGACTATGTAAAACCCTGTAGGGCCATTCAGGGCAATACAGGTTTATTATAGTTTTTTTGGTGATAGTGACTTCACCCCTCTGTTCATATTTCCTTGTGTGAAAACCTTTCAAGAACTGAGTAAGAACTTAACTATAAGAGAAACAAATTTTAAAGGACTGGGAATCAAAATAGCATCAGACTCTTCAGCCTCAGCTTTGGAAGCTAGAACATAGGAGAACAATGTCTTTGAATTGTGAGGAGAATTATTTTCAGTGTAGAATTGTATATTCAACTAAACTGTTGTAATGAGGGCAAAATAAAGACGATTTTAGTCATGCAGGAAATAAATTAATATCCTACGTGTGCTTTCTCAGAAAAGTAGTAGAAAATGTTCTTTACAAAATGAGAGAACTACAAAGAAAAAGATTTGGGATCCAGGGAATAAAGGGTCCAACAGAGAGGCAAGGATAAACTCCCAAGATGATGTAAGAAACTCTGAGAGTAATAGCTGGGCAACAGTCTTGGAGAGCATCCAGTCCACAATGGAAAAGACTAGAGAGCTTCAAGAGGAGTAGTTCTAAGAAAAAAAGTGAAAAGGATAGATTAGCTGATATAATTGATCATTTTGAAAAAAAAATGTACAGTTCTAAGTTCAGTATATGTGATATGTGGTATGTGCTTTTAGCAAATGAAGCAAAACAAAAATGAAAAATATTAACTCTAAGGTAAAAAATTATATAAGAAAAGAAATTTAATGGTAGTAAATTAATTTTCTTAATTGAAATCACATACTATAAATACTATTTTTTTTTAATTGTATTTATTTGAGAGTGAGTGCAAACATGCTCATGAGCATGGGGGTGGGGAGGGACAGAGGGAGAGAGAGAAGCAGACTCCTCCATTGAGCAGGGAACCCAACAGGGGCTCAATTCCAAGACCCTGGAATCATGACTTAATCTGAAGGCAGATGCTTAATGGACTGAGCTACCCAGGGACCCCTAAGTACTGTTTCTAATCGGACGTACTTCTTAACATGCTTTTTATTTTTAAATTTTTTTAGATTTACTTGTTTTTAGAAAGAGCATGAATTGGGAGAGGGGCCAAGGGAGAGAGAGAATTTCCAGCATATTCCCCACTGAGTGCAGAGCCTGACGTGGGGGTTAGTCTCATGACCCTGAGATCATGACCTGAGCCCAAACCAAGAATTGGATGCTCAACAGACTAAGCCACCCAGATGCCCCTTAACATGTTTTTTTAAAAAAATTATGAAAATACATAAAATCTACCATCTAATTATTCTCAAGTGCAAAGTGTTAATTATATGCACAGTGTTGTACAACAGATCTCTAGAGCTTTTTTAAACAAATGAATATGTAATATTTCATTATGAGCATATATCATAATTTTGTTTATGCAGTCCTATATTTTTGGACATTTAATTTTGAGTTTTGCAGTAGAAATGTTTCTGGCTAAATCTTTGTACACATCCTTGACTTTTTCTTCAAGTTATATTCTTGAATCAGAGGAGGTACACATTTTCATTAAAGTTTAATCTGAAGTAGATGTTTATTTCTTTCTCTTCTTTGACTCAGAAATACACAGTTCCTTTTAATTTGTGGTTTAATGTCCAGAAACTTAAAAATTTTGATTCAGTTAATCTTGGGTGGGGCCTGGTCATCTATATGTTTCAATGTTTCAAAATCTTCATAGGAACATTTCTTCCTTCCTTTCTTTCTTCCTTCCTTCCTTTCTTTCTTTCTTTCTTTCTTTCTTTGGAGAGAGTGCAAGTGGGTTGAGGTGGCAAGAAAGAGAATCCTAAGCAGGCTCCACGCTCAGTGCGGAGCCCGAAGTGAAGCAGTGCTTGATCTCACAGACCTGAGATCAGGACCTGAGCCGAAATGAAGAGTTGGGTGCTTAACCAGCTGAGCCACCCAGGCGCCCCAGTTAGGAACCATTTCTATCTAGTTAATGGACACAAAAGTACTTGTCAGAAATGTGTGTGTGTGTGTGTGTGTGTGAGATCTTTGTAGAAGATATTTGGAACGTAGACCCATTTAAAATGCTTAGGAAAAAACTTTTTCTTTTTTACCTTAGGAACGAATGATTACACACTTCGAAAGGTCCAAAATGGAGTAAAAAAAATGGGAAGATGTGCAGTTGAAGATGGCAGTATCTGGGAAGAGATCAGCTTCTGTGTTAATCTTCTACACTCCTCCATGGAATTAAAGGAGGCAGTGAAACCTGATCTGTTCCTTGACCTTTGTGCATTGGAGCTGGTGAGAGGTGTCAGAACAAGGAGAACATCTTACTGAAAACAAGTTCATAGGATGAGAAAAATCTACAAGTGTTTTATTTACAACATTGATGCCCCTTTCCTTCCCATACCCTGACATGGATGTTTATGCAACTTACGTGTGTTGTTCCTGAGCCTTCTATAATGTTTCAATTGTTTAATCTATCAAACTAAAAAGTTTAACATCTTCTAAAGAACTATGACATCAACGCCATAATATGTAATCTCCAGGAGCAACTGCCTATAATTTTTATTTATTTAGGGAGTTACATAGGTGATGGGGGAAATTGTTAATTATTTTTCCATTTCCTGAGAAGCCAAGGTTATATCTCGCAGAGGTAGTTTGGAGACAAAAAGAGTCCTGACTTCTGGAGCCATGGTTCTGTTGGTGATTTAAAACAAAAAGAAGAGCGCGCAAGAGAGAAACCTGTTACAGTATGATTCAGATCATTTAAAAAAAAAATCAAGTGCAATTTTGTTTACAAATGGTGTATATTAAAGATTTTTCTATTTCAGATGTACTTTAGAGAGAAATATTAGCTTAACTCTTGACATCTGCTTTTGTGACACATCCCATTGCTGGCAATGTGGTGCACACTCCAGAACTTTTAACTACTGTTTTGTAAGCCTCCAAGGGCAGCGGCATTGTGGAATCATAGGCAATGCTTTGTTTGCCTTCATGCTGTTCACGGGGTGTTGCACTAGATGCAGAGAGGCACTCCATCTAAGTGCTTGTGAGTGGGCGCCCTGCTCAAGGAACAGTAGTGCTTAAGCAGGAGCTAATACAAAGGAAACAGGTCCTTCTGGCTTAACTGAAACCGTTTTTCCTGCATGAAGTAGTGTGGAGGCCCACACTACTATCCTCATTCTTTAGGATTGACTGTTCTTATACCTGGTGTTGGTTTAGAGACTTTATAAGAGACATCACAAGGTGATGGGATTCATTTGAAGCACTATTTTCCTGTTTTAATGGTTTTGTCCAATTTTGCCTTCCCAAGATTTTTGTTCTACATAGAAAGTTCGTGCCACTTTTTAATATAAAAAATTTTAACAAAATTAATATATCTTCCTCATTTTTTCCCCAGACTTGCTTCTAAAGACCCTTCTTCCTAAACTCTTGTGGAATTTTCCTTTCATGGTTTTTGTTCTACATCATCTAATTGTGAAACCAGTGACCACATGACCACAGTCTTCACTAACTCATTCAATAGTGACAGTGTTTTAAAATCTTTCTATAGCTGTTCGCTATGGTTATTTAAAAAAGAAAAAAATCACCTAGGCAGTATCTCTAAGGAGCAATATGAAGGGCTGACTGTATTCTCAGGTTAACCCACTAGCAAAAGGCTAGTGGTACTACTGTGTGCTTCTTTTCTTCCATACTGAAACTTAGCAAGTGAAAAATAGTTATAATGCAGCAAGATGGTTGGTCAAATATTTTTTGATGGTGGTTAGATGTTGACTTAAGACTAGGGGAAAAATCATTGTGTTAAGCAGGAGTGTATAGTAAATTATGTAGACTGGATAATTCTTTCTGCTTTCTCTTAATGGGTTATGTCACTGTGATTAGATACAGTGTATCATTTCTTAAAACTGGTTCAGAAGTAATTTATAGTATCACATAGATCTATTTAGTTCTTAGTCCTTGGGCCTGAAACTATTAGGTATTAGGCCTTCTTCCAGTACAGCAGCTGGCAATTCTAAATTTTCGAGGTGTTTATGTGGTGAAAATCAGCCATAACACTTGGTTTATTTAGCAATTTTTGTGTTAGTATTAACACCTTGAAAATATTTCACTGGATTATCAGAAATAACATTTGGTAAAGATGGGACAACTATCCTAATTTACAAGTGAAGAAACTGCCATTGTATAAAGATGAAGGGGGGGTGGAATAAATAAACTGACCAAGTCCATTTTTTTAAAAAATATTTTATTTATTTATTTGTGAGGGAGAGAACACTAGAGGGGGGAGGGACAGAGGGAAAAGCAGACTCCCCACTGAGCAGGGAGCCCGATGCAGGAATTGATCCTGGAACTCCAGGATCATGACCTGAGCTGAAGGCAGTTGCTCAACCTAGCCACCCAGGTACCTGAGGCTATTTTATTTTGTTTATTTATTTTAAAGATTTTATTTATTTGCCAGAGAGAAAAACAGTGATAGGGGGAACACAAACAGAGGCAGAGGGAAAAGCAGGCTTCCAGCCAAGCAGGGAGCCCAATGTGGAGCTCTATCCCAGGACCCTGGAATCACACCAGAGTGGAAGGCAGATGCTCAACGACTGAGCCACCCAAGTACCTATTTACTTTTTTAAAGACTTTATTTGTCGGGCGCCTGGGTGGCTCAGTGGGTTAAGCCGCTGCCTTCGGCTTAGGTCATGATCTCAGGGTCCTGGGATCGAGTCCCGCATCGGGCTCTCTGCTCAGTGGGGAGCCTGCTTCTCTCTCTGCCTGCCTCTCTGTCTACTTGTGATCTCTCTCTGTCAAATCAATAAATAAAATCTTTAAAAAAAAAAAAAGACTCTTTGTCAGAGAGAGAGAAATGAAGACAGGAGCACAAGCAGGGAGAACAGCTGGCAGAGGCAGAAGCAGGCACCCTGCTGAGCAAGGAGCGGTTTACAGATGCGGTATTGGATCCCAGGACCCCAAGATCCCAGGATCATGACCTGAGCTGAAGGCAGACTCTTAACTGACTTGGCTCACCCAGGCGTTCTTTTTTTTTTTTTTTTTTTTTTAACTTATCATAGACTCACCCTTTTTTTCATTTACATTTTTGCTTTAGACCCAAATGCTTACTTTTATGACCTACCTCCTATTTCCTGCGGATGTTTGGGGGGGGTGTCAGAGGGTGGGGGTGGGTTTGCATCATTATTGCAGTGGTTTTCCAAATTTTAAAGTGCATGGACTCACTTTGGGGATTTACTAAAGCACAGACTGCTGACACCTACCCGTACTTCCCCCCCCCCCCACCCCCCCGCCGCCATATTCTGATTCGGTAAGTCAGGAATGAGACCCAAGACTGCATTTCTAAGAAGTTATCAGGTGGTGTTGATGCTACTGGTCTAGGGACCACACTTTGAGAACTACTGCCCTGGAACAACCTTTAAAAAAGGGCAAGGTTGTGATTATAATGGTAATGCAAAAACCATTTACTGGGTGTTTAGAGTGGGTCAGGAGTTGCTAAGCGCCCACAACGCTAAGTTAGTACGGAACACTACCAACCGTTTGCAGATAAGAAAACAAAGCTTCTGGAGATTGATTAAACGTCACAGCTAATTTCCTAAATGGCAGAAATTCGCTATCCAGGCTAGCAAGCCAAAGCCCGAGTTAACCACCATGCTACACTGCCTGAGGCAGTTTTAAGAACTCCCCCCGCCCCCAGCCCCGCTTTTTTGTTAACCCCATTGCTAGTCGGTTCCATGACAGAGAGGCTCTGGGACCCCAGTAGAGGTGGTGGCCCAAACGCCACAGCATTCCTCGAAGGCGCGTTAGAAGCTGGGGCGGAAGGGGCGGGGTTTCTGCTGCGGAAGAGGCGGGCTTAGTCCGGCAGGAAGTCCGGTGTTGATGGCTGTGTTGTCGAATGGCCTGTAGGTAGGGTCCCGGTCCAGCATCACTGTTGGCCCTTCTACTGGGCTGGTCCCGGCCGAGGCCTGGCCCGGCCCGACCCGTTACGGGTGAGGCTGCTGAAGTGACTGCTTGCCGCCATGCACGACGCCTTCGAGCCCGTGCCGATCCTAGAAAAGCTACCTCTGCAGATCGACTGTCTGGCTGCCTGGGGTGAGCTGAGGGTTCCAGGGGCCGAGGCGGGGTCGGCGCAGAGGCTGTTCCGACCTTTCACAGGGCTGGGAAAGTGGACGGGCATGTGGCTGTATAAACTCCCGTCGGACACTGTCCGAAAGACCTGGGATGAGGGAGGGCATTTACGCCGAGCGCAGTGGGACTGTTGGGGCAGTCCTCCGGAACCCAGTCATTTTAAATACGTTTACTCTTGCTTTCGGTACAGAGTTGAAGGTTGAGCTTTTCTTGTTAGCTGTACTGAGCTTTGGCTCCTTTCGAGACCCAGTAAGTCTTCAGTTTGGAGGGGCAAGCAGTGGGGAGTTTTCAACTTGCCCGGGACGTGAACTTGCCCGGATGATTCTGTTGTTTTCTAGATGAAAAACACTATTTTAGGGGCACTGAATGCGTTAACACCATATGCCTTTTTTCCTTAGTGATCACTCATCGTTCACTTATTATTATTGTAGGTAATTCACGTTGTTGTTCTAAACTCAGTCTAGCCAAGTGGTTGACTGCCTTATATTCAAAGTGCCCAAGCTACTTAACTGTGGGTACAAGAGCATCATTCGAGGCTGTCATGAAATCTAACCTATTAAAAATTTGTGTGATCCTCTTGGGATCGGCCAGTACAGAAAGCAGGGCCAGGCATCTCTTGTATGCTCTAGAATAGAAATGGTTTCAGGGGTCTAAACCTTGACTCTTAATTATGAACATTATGCTTTTAGAGTGGTTGTGTCTGATAACAGTCACCAAAGACCAAACAAATAATTTCAGTCTTTCTTGTTAATGTCCAGGTACTAGAAATAAGGGCCATGAAAAAATGTCTCAGAACGCTTCATCAGATCTTATACTGAGCTATACCCAAGATGGGCCTGATGGAATCTGGTGGTGCCTGGCATCTTCTGCATTGTTTATGGACATTGCCACCCAGGCAGTCTTGCAAGTTCTTCACAGCCTTTTCAGTAGGGTGCTTTCACTACAGGTCTTCATGTTAATGTGTACAGTCTTGCCTCTAGCAGCCCTGGGCTTCTTTAAAATCATGCTTTCACAGTAAGCTGTCCTAGTCCCTTGGGTTAAGGAGAGAATCTTGCTTCCTCTGAATATCTCAAGAAAACCTCCATTTTATGTTATTAAGTGCTTAGCAAAGATAAAAAATAAAAAGAGGAGGAAAAGAAATTTAAAAAATGAAAGACTTGATGCTGCACAAAGGGACACATTCCCCTAATTCTTCATCAGATATATATTCAATGCCTATATGGCGCAGTTTCTCTGCTGAAAACAAGGATAAAGGGATGAATAAGAAACAGTGTCTGTGCTCCTAGGACACACAGTGAGGGACAAAGTCATAAGAACAGATTATGATACAAGATAAATGATACTGAAGGCATATGCTGCCTATTATAGAAACATGGAGGAGGGGTACCCAGCTCAGCCTAGGACATATGCTTCTGGAAAGGGTGAATGCAGCTGCTTAACATGCTTTACTTAGCTTGCCATAATCCTTGACTGATACACTGTGGAACTAGTAGTACACGCATCTTATCCTCTCAACAGTCCATTTTGTCACACTATAAAGATTCCCTGTACTTGAGCTTTTCAGAAAGATAGTTTTGAAATGCTAGGTAGTTTTTTCTACCTTCATCTCCCAGCCTACAGGAGAAATGCTTATACCTTCTAGGATGCTATGGTAGGTATTGGTCTGCAAGAGGCTAGTTACCACCTCTTGACTCAGCTGTTTTCAGACTTAAGCAGCAGTGAATATTGGTATATCTAGTTATTACCCCTTTTACCTAAAATTCATCCAGGAACCTCCCGAAGCCAGATCACGCAGGGCCAGACAATATTTGAGAGACACCATAATCCATCTCTTGGGAAATGGAAATGGGGATACTGATGATGATGATGATGACTTCTCCCTAATCTCCGGAGTTGTAGAATCCAGCTGCCTTTTCAGCACCTTCAAATGGTGTCTAATGACATGACCATAATGGTTCTTGATTCCACTCTCCCAAAACAAGCTTGTCCCCCTGTATCCCACATCTCAGCAAATGACATTTCTATTCCCATTTTCTGCTGATGATTTTGGAACCATTCTTCACTTCTCTTATACACCACATCCAATCTGTCTGCGAATCTTATCTGCTCCACCTCCAGGTAAGGTCTAGAATTCAGTCACTTGTCTCCATCTGCACGATTTCTATTCTGATGAAAGCACCACCTCTGTCATCTGACTTACTGTAGTAGTCCTCTGACTGATCACCCTGTGTTTGTCATTGTGCCACTTTTAGTCTTTTATCCACACAGAGGAAGAGTGATCCCTTGAAAACTGGATCTGATTGCATCTCTCCTCTACTCAGAACCCTTCAGTAGCTCCCTGTCACAACTAGAATAAGTTCCAAAGTCCTTTCTGTGCTTTCTACATCTGACATCATCAGGTCTGTGGTTGCTTCCCCTCATCTACCTCATCTTTGCTCTTAGCTCCTGCTCCATTCTACTAGTCACACAGTCTTCCTTGTTCCATAACACACAAAGCACGTACCTACCTCGGGGCTTCTGCTCTTGTTCTTTTCCTCTGCCTGGCACTCTCTTGCTCTAAATATTACAGAACTCATTCCTCATTTCCTTCGGGTGTCTGCTGAAATGTCACATAAATCAGCAAGACCTTTCCTAACGATGCTATATAAAAGAAAAGGTGCTATTCTTACTCAGACTTATCTTTCTTCTTGTCATGGATTGTCACCTAATGCTATTTTATGTTATATTATTGTCTCTCTCCATATTAGAATATAAATTCCTTCAGAACTGGAACTTAGTTTTGTACATTGCTTTATTTGTAGTTCCTGGAATAGTTCCTTATAATGGTATACATTAAATCTGTTGAATGAATGAATGAATATTAATTGATATTAATAGGAACAACTTCCATTTATTGAGTACTAATCCTTATTAAACTTTTATGAAATAATATCTCCATTTTACAGAGGAGTAACCTGAGAATCTGAGTGATTTTTCCAAGGTCACATATCCAGTAAATCGTGTCTTATTCTGGAACCTGGTTCCCAAAATATAATATATATTCAGAACCTGTTAAAAAAAATGCAGATGTGCGTTTGTATCTGTGTATCTGTATGTGTGTCTACACATTCATTCTTCTATTTTCCAAAGAAACAGTAGGATAAAAAGGACTAAGATGGTTGCCTATAGCAGCTGGAGAAAACAGGGAGAGTGGACAAGGATGCAGGCTAGACTTCCTACAGTTTTAGCATTGGAACGACATAGATGCATCATATAATTAAAAAACTGAATTTAAAAATGTGGGTTTCAGGTCACCACTGCAGAATTATTGTGTCAGTATCTCTGGGAACAGCACTATGCAATTTGCATTTTTAGTAAGTTCGGTGATTCTGATGCAGCTAAACAGGCTTTTGCTTTAAGAAACACTGTTCTTTGCTCTATGACCTCAAAAAGGGAAGTGACCACTACCTGTTTCATTTCTGTATTCCCTGCAGTGGCCAGCATTAGGCCAGGAATGGAACTGTTTATCACATGAGCTTGGACTAGGTTGTAGTTGGACGAAGTTTCATTAGGGTAATTATGAACAAGATGGCCCAGCACTTACTCATTCTGCAGGAGGAAAAAAGTCCAACCTTGTGGCTCAGCATTAGGCTGTTAGGAGTTTTCTAGGGCTGATTCACATTTGTTTATGTATATGTTACCAACAGACTACACCGTTTTTGTAGTATGTCCCACCTTCTGATTTGCTGTATTGAATCTGGGAAGGGACTGTCTATTCCATTCATTCTGTGTCTGCTCTGCAAACCTCTCATTTTCTGTGCTTTGCCTCCATGATTGTATTATATGATGACATGTCATAGACTGTGGAGGCCCAAACATGGGTCAGGTCCTGTGGTCACCTGAGCCCCCACCGACTTTTTTTTTATTAAAAGAATTTTTTTTCTCAAAGATTTTATTTATTTGAGAGAGAGAGACAGAAAGAGAGAGAGCAGGAGTGGGGTGAGGAGCAGATGGAGAAGCAGGCTCTCTGCTGAGCAGGGAGCCCATGCGGGGCTCCATCCTGGGACTCCGGGATCATGACCTGAGCGGAAGGCAGATGCTTAACAGGCTAAAATTACCCAGGCGCCCCCCCCCCCCCCGCCCCTGACTTCTCTAACCAAATCAAGCCTCTTCAAGGTTGTGTGCCATGAGTGCATCTGGGTAATGTGTTGTTTTCCCTTGAGTGTGAGGCTAAGTAATGTGTGTGTGGTGCTTTTACTACTTAAAGGAAAGTTGTTAAAATACTTTATATGTATAATAAGTGGTTTTTCCTCCTTAGCACCTTCAAATGAACATGTGAAAAGGGTTAAATAAAACCTCAATTAAAAATTTTTAAATTTGGGCTCCTGTGTGTCTCAGTTGGTTAAGTGACTTCCTTCGGCTCAGGTCATGATCCTGGGGTCCTGGAATCAAGTCCTGCATCAGTCTCCCAGCTCCACGGGGAGTCTGCTTCTCCCTCTGACCTTCTCCCCTGTCATGCTTTCTCTCACTCTCTCAAATAAATAAATAAATAAGTATCTTCAAAAATTTTTTTTTAATTTTAATGAATATGTCTGATTCTGTTTTCTGACCAATAGATGTTTGATAAATAACATCTCTTGGCAAGTAAACATTTCAATAAAATGGAAGTAGACCCTTGAATGTCATGCTTATGAGTTTGACTTCATATTTTGGTAGTGCTCATGAGGATGTAAGCACCAGTGTGACAGTCTCACAAATGTGCTCTAGGTAACCTACAGCAAACATGGAAAGACACATATAATGAGACCAGTTGAGGCCATCACAGGGGTCCCTGGAGGGACTGGGATATGGCTTTTGCAAGCTACCTTGTAGAGCTAAAATTGATAGGAATTGCAGACCTGAGTGTTAAGATGTGGCTGTTAAAAGAGATAAAGGAAAACAGGAACTGGTAGGGATTTGGGGAGCAGAGTAGGGAGGGAAGAGTGGGGAAGATGGTGAATATTCTTTTGGCCTTTTGGTTATAGATTTTTATGTATGTTATAAGTGAGTTAAAAAAAAATTTCCACCTCATTTTATTTATATCTGAAATAGCAGTGGGGGTCCTGGAAATCAACTTCAGTATTACCAATTGCTCAGTACAGTGATATCTATAAGTAGAATTCTAAGCACAATATCTTTTACAGAGCAAGCATTGTGAACTTGTTTCTTTGTTTTCTGTGTTCTGCTCCAACATTCCTTTAGAGCCAGTGTTATTTTTGATTTCTCTTAATGTCATTAAGAGCACATACTGTCTTACTTTCTGTGTCCTGCCTTTGCTTTAAAACACAAGAGAAGTCAGAATCACTATATTTTTTTGGAAGACTGAGGACATCAACCTGGAAAAATGTTCCTGATGTGGCCTCTGGCCGGTTTTTATAAATACAGCCAGTGCCTTGCAGACAACCTCTGGCCAACACCCATTCTTTTGACATAGGATGCCTTTGTAATTGCATCACAGCCTGTGGTTACATCCTGACACTTTAACACACATCTTCCTACATGTATGACTCTGGACAAATTACTTATCCCCTAGGCCTCAACTTCCTCATCTGTGAAATGGAGATTTATAAGAAGGACATACCCCAAAGGATACTTGTGAGGATTAATGAAGTAGCATGTGATATGTGCTTAGCATTTCCTGGAGCACAACACATGCTCAATAAAGTTTATCTGTTTGTACCATTATCCAAGAGGATCAAGAGAGTTTATGAAAGGAATGAATGACCTTTTAAAGTGTCCAAAAGCTGAGGAAGTATCTGTACATGCTTACCTTCCCTGAATGAGTTAATATAGATCTGACAGGGTAATTATTTAAACCCTATTGGAGCCTCTTTTAGCATAGACCAGTGTCTCCCAAAATGTAGTCCTTGAACCAGCAGCATTACCGTCACCTGGGAACTTGTTAGAAATGGATGTTTTCAGGCCCACTGTGAGACCCGCTGAATTGGAAACTGAGGGCAGGGCCTAGCAACCTGTTTTAACAAATCCTCAATTAATTCTGATACATACCAAAGAACCGCTGGCGTAGACCAGTTTTCTTTTTTTAATAAGAATTTTATTGAGGGGTGCCTGGGTGGCTCAGTGGGTTAAAGCCTCTGCCTTCGGCTCAGGTCATGATCCCAGGGTCCTGGGATCAAGCCCCACAGCGGGCTCTCTGCTCAGTGGGGAGCCTGCTTCCCCCTCTCTCTCTCTGCCTTCCTCTGCCTACCTGTGATCTCTGTCTGTCAAATAAATAAAATCTTAAAAAAAAAAAAGAATTTTATTGAGATGTAATTCAACTACCATACAATTCACCCAGTTAAAATGTACAGTTAAGTGGTTTTTTAGTACAGTGCAAGTCTTGCCACAGTCAGTCTTAGAACATTTCATCACCCTAAGAAAAGCCCCATACCCATTGGTATTTACTCCCCCCGTTTTCCTGTAAACCCACCAGCCTTAGACAACCACTAATCTGTTTGTCTCTATAGATTTGGCTACTCTGATATTTCATATAAATAGAGTCATAAAATATGTAGCCTTTTTCATCTGGCTTCTTTCATGTAGAATAATGTCAGGTTCATCCCTATTATATAGGAATGTATCCCTATATAAGCATGTATCCACACTTCATTCCTTTTAATGGCTGGTTAATATTCCATTGTATGGATGGATTTGCAGCATTTTGTATATCCATCCGTCAATTGACGTACTTTTGGCTGTTAGAGATGCCGCTGCTCTGAACATCTGTGTACAAGGTTTTCTGTGGGCATGTGTTTTCATTTCTCTTGTGTATATGCCCAGGGGTAGAATTGCTGGGTCACATGACAACTCTATGTGTAATCTTTTGAGGAACTGCCAGACTGTTTTCCAGAATGACCGCACCATTTTATATTCCTGCCAACAACATGTGAAGATTCCAATTTCTTCACATCTTTGTCAACACTTTCTTTTTATATCTGCTAGACCGTCATTTAAGATAATGAGTTCTGTAAGCTTAATATTGGTAGCACTTCTTATTTTCCCTAAAGTAAAAGCATTAAACCTTTAAAGGATGCCGTTTAGTTTTGTTTCTGCTATTAGTTACCTAGTTTCATGTTTACACTATTCCATTTTATGATTTTATAAATTTGCATCCTATTTTTGGTCAGTCTAATTTTGAAACACTGAAGGCAAGGGCATTTTTTATTCTCTAATATGTCTGGTAATGATACTTTTTTGATGGGTTGCTTCTCAAACATTTCTTGAATATAAATAGTCCTTAGCTTTGCAAAACATCTGCTATCAAAAGCAACTCATTTTCTGGCCCCTTTGATTTCTGATTACAAGCCCCAGCTCAAGAAATAGGGTTTTGCTAAAGCTGACTGACCTTTTTCTCCGCTCTTTTCTCTTCCAGAGGAATGGCTTCTTGTTGGCACCAAACAAGGACATCTTCTTCTGTATCGGATCCGGAAGGACACTGGTAAGTGGCAGCTCTCCAGCCTCAAGAAAGAGGTGACTTATTACTCATGCAAAAAATTGTGATGGTCAGCCAGTATACAGCTGTGAAATCAGTGATTCCTGGACCTTTAAAAATGATGGGGGTTGAGAGTAGTACAGTGGGAAAGTAGGGAGAAGCATGAGAAAATCTCTGGCATTTTTGTTTTTTTTTCTGTTTTTCTGTTCCCTTACCCTGATCTGGTAGGTGCAGTTGAGTATTCCTCCCCTCTTTGCTTACAGGAGAGTCACTGTCAGAAATAAGAAGTATTACTGATGTGAATAAGACTTTTGCATGAATGATGTGGTAGTAGGAAACAAATTAGGAACAACAACTTTTGTTAACTTTTGAGGGGTGGACTAGAGAGAGGAGGCCCAGGTTTGGGCCCAGCTTTCCTTCTTCTTGGCCAAATGACTGAGTAGGTCCTTTCCTTTGTCATTTTCCTCTTCTATAAACTATGTGTCTCACAAAATTGTTGGGGTCAGATGCAAGGATTTTGAAAAGTAAAGCTCCAATCAGATGTGACTTTGTTAGTAAAAATGTAGACTAATAATTAAAGTATTTGAAATTTATTTTGTTAGGGTTTCCTCTGTTGGAGGGAAGAAAGCACCACACTTCCTTTTCCTGATTTTATTTCTATAGTTTCTTTATGGAAAATTGATGGGTTTGGATAATATACATTGGAGCTACAGAATCTTTAGAAATCTGCTGTTAATGCCAGAGTATGTTGAACCATATGAAATTGTCATTATTTGACTATATTAGGAAAAACAAAATTTCATGCCTTTCAACCCAATAAACTTTCTGTAGCAAATAGCTTAAAGTAAGATTGGAAATAGATACTTCCTTTTGGAACCTGGAGCAAGGAAATAAGGGCATCTTCCTAGGGCATGTGGAGGGGAATTTCATTCTACCCATTTTAGGTTCCTTGGGTGGGAACATGTAAATTGGACTGACAAAAGAGATTGACAAGAGAAAAACAAGTGTATTAACATGTATTACACATACACATGGGAGCACTCAGACATGGGTAACACAGAGGGGTTGTGGTTGGAATTTGGGCTTATATAACATCTTAACAAATGAACAACAAATTTTTAGAAAAGTGGTAAGACAAAGGAAAAGGACTTTGAGTTTCTAGGATGGCAAACTGTTAAAAGGCAGACACAGATGGCGGAGAAGTAGCAGCTGAGACTACTTCAGGTTGCAGGAGATCAGCTAGATAGCTTATCTAAAGATTGCAAACACCTACAAATCCAACGGGAGATCGAAGAGAAGAAGAACAGCAATTCTAGAAACAGAAAATCAACCACTTGCTGAAAGGTAGGACTGGCGGAGAAGTGAATCCAAAGGGACGGGAAGACAGACCCCGGGGGGAGGGGCCGGCTCCCGGCAAGCGGCGGAGCAACGGAGCACAAAATCGGGACTTTTAAAAGTCTGTTCCGCTGAGGGACATCGCTCCAGAGGCTTAACTGGGGTGAAGCCCACGCGGGGCCAGTGTGGCCTCAGGTCCCGCAGGGTCACAGAAGGATCGGGGTGTCTGAGTGTCGCAGAGCTCGCAGGTATTAGAACAGGGAAGCCGGCTACAGAGACGGAGCCGAGGAGTGAGCTCACAGCTCGGGCTTACCTTGAACTGGTCGCAGGCTCGGTGAGCTCGGAGCGCAGCCGGAGGCCAGGCAGACGGGAGTAATTGGACGCTGTTCCCTGAGGGCGCACTGAGGAGTGGGACCCCGAGCTCTCGGCTCTTCCGGGCCGGAGACTGGGAGGCCGCCATCTTCCTTCCCGTCCTCCGGACTCTACGGAAAGCGCTCAGGGAACAAAAGCTCCCGAAAGCAAACCCGAGCGGATTACTCAGCCCGGGCCCTGGTAAGGGCGGTGCGACTCCGCCTGGGGCAAAGACACTTGAAAATCACTACAACAGGCCCCTCCCCCAGAAGATCAACAAGAAACCCAGCCAGGACCAAGTTCACTTACGAGGAGTGCGGTTTCAATACCAAGGAAAGCAGCGGAATTCCAGAGGAGGAGAAAGCAAAGCACGGAACTCATGGCTTTCTCCCCATGATTCTTTAGCCTTGCAGTTAATTTAATTTTTTTTTTCTTTTTCAATTTTTTTCTCTTCTTCTGCTAAATTTTTTTAAACTTTTACCCTTTTCTTTTTTAACGTTTTTTAACTAGTTTATCTAATATATATATATTTTTTCCTTTTTATATTTTTTTCATTATTGGTTTTCTTTTTTTTATTTGTTTCTTTTTTCTTTTTTCTTTCTTTTTTTTTTTTTTTTTTTTTTTTTTTTTTTT